GGAGAAATGAAGTTGATGATGTTTATCAAAGAAGACATTTGGATCAAAAAATCGCGTGGTGATGCCAAATTGACAAGCATCAAGTGCCATTAAGATTTTTTTCAGTTTTGTCATAACCTCGCATTATTAACGCCAGAAAAATATTAAATTGAAAATCTGGAATTTAGTTTTTTGACAATAACTCAGAAGCGAAGTCATATCAGTCATTTTTTGTTCCTGCACTCGCGCAACTTTTCTCCCATTTAACCAAATATATGTATCTCTCGTAGTTCCAAGATGCCCATACTGAGCCATCCTTATTTTGGGCACAGGTATACCCATAGTGAGTAAAAAATTTGTATTGACATGAATGAATCTCAAACAAATATGAATTAGGCTGCAGATGGTCTTCTAGCCGTGCGGACAGTGTCAATATTTTAATCCGCATTCGCTTGCCGGTCGTGGGTTCGATTCCCAGCAACTGCAGAAATTTTTCTGATGGTTCAAGAAAGTGTTTGGGATCACACGTTAAAAGGTAAGGCCCCCGTCATTCCTTGCTCGCACAAGACTCTCGAAGACTTCTGAGGGTTGCTCGTAAGGGGGCCACCGAATGACGGATAGAACAATTTTTTTTAGAACAAAAACATGCCCCTTCTGATTGTGTAACAACACCATCAACATTTGTGGAGATGACTTCGAGTATTTCGATCCTTCCTTCCTTCGCAGAATTTCACTTCACTTTGAGCAATTATGGACTCTTCTACCAAAGATTCCGAATATGCAAATTTTTCACTCACTAGGAATACTAGCAACTTTTGTTGTACTTTGTTTGAGATTTTGTAAAAATTTTAGAGTGTTCTTTCAAGTTATGTCAGAGGGACTGATGAACTTCTGACTATTCGTACCGTACATCTATCTATATTATATATACTCATTATTTCAGCGTATTAAAAAATGTATTATACGAAAATACCTACCTACTAGTACCTACCGAGAATAAGTTGCATATATAGGTATCTTCACAAAGCCATTAGAAATATCTGCACTATACCTACCTATTCAGTTTTCATTAGGACATTCTTGAAAGGGTAATAAAACCTTCAATGATGTAAATCTTGGTTACAAAAAGCAATGAAAAGATGTATGTACTAACTGATGGAATGCAAGAATCAAGAATTTATGGTTGTATGATGATTAGCAAATTCTAAACAGGGTAACCAGGGTGGTCCGTCGGGATAATTATATTGCTCGTCAACGTTTTTACATTTTTGTGAAGATTTCGTGTAGAATATATATAGAACAGAACATTTGAAAATTAAGATTTGTGATAGCTCATATAGCTTTTGATATGGGCTATCCAAAGGTGAGAAATAATTTAATTCAAAAAAAATGCCTGATGGTCCGTATAAAAAAAAATAAGTTGATTATAGTTTCTGATAGAAGACCAAACGTCGGATTTCAAGTTTGAAAATGGCTACCTGTAAGTTCGAAAGTGTCCATGATGAATTTTCATTCCATTTCCAATGATGTCTTCAAATATGTAAGTTAAAAAATTAAAAAAGGTTTTATATAGGTTTCGCTGTCTTTCGGATATCTCCGAGTATTCGAAATATTTCAACTTCAAACAGGTATTTATTTCAGGCTCAAAATTGCAATGGTTGGATATCTTACTGAGACTATAGGGTTCGATAAATAGGCGAGCTCAACATTGATCTACCTTTGTATCCATTCCCAGACAGCACTGGATATTCATAGAATATTCTCTAAATATGCTAAAAAGGAGGAGTATATTCCGAATATTCATCGATTATTCCTAGAATATATACATGCCTCTGGAACATCTAAAAGGAATATTCCAAAGTGAATAGTCGGACATATGTTCAGGGAATATTCAGGTATGAATCTTCCAGGAATATTCCCAACTGAATATTCTCTGTTGTATATTCATGAAATATACCCAACTGAATATTCTGTGCGGTATATTCATGAAATATACCCAACTGAATATTCTGTGCGGTATATTCATGAAATATTTCCAACTGAATATTCTGTGGTGTATATTCATGAAATATTCCATGAATATTCCGATGTTTCTCAACACATGAATATCATTTATTATTTCAGAGATGTGAGTATCGAACATCAATTAGATGTAAGAGGATTTTGAAACAAAAAGTGTTTATGATCCGATTTCGAACAATGCTCTCTTAAGAACTTGATATGTATATCATTATTCAATTCGATTACTGGCCTAGTGGTCAAGGCGTTGCTCTGATAGTCTTGAGGTCACGAGTTCGATCCCTACTTGGGTCACTTTTTTTTTAGTTTAGAATATGTTTATTGGAATATTCCAGAAATGAAACTTAATTTAAACATTACTCTCGGATGACTTATTTGAATTAAGAAAAATATCGAAATATAGTCATCTATTTGCAATTTTGTTAGATATCTATCACTATCGCATTATTTTGTTGGCCAAACTTTTGTCGTTTATCTCAAAATCATGACAGAGGGGTAACCACCCATCAGCAAACATCAAAATATCTGGCCGCCTTCTGGTCCAGTACATATATATGATAGATCGGCAGATTGCTGGTCTTGGCAAACTGCACTCTGGTCAAACGTATCGGCCCATTGAATGGCATATTATTGTAATCGTTTGCTCATAATTCAGCCGGGACTGGGCCAATAGTGTCAATTGATATTGTGGTGTTACCTACGCCATACAATCGTCTACCCATTATATGGCACATTGAAATCGTTTAACAATAATCTAGCCGGCACGGTGCCAAATAATAGAGTATAATTATATATTTCATAGTTTGAATTGAAAAATCAAATTTTTAGGGCGGCGGAAGAGCGCAGTGGTTGAGGCGCTTGACAAGTAATCAAACGAGTCATAAATTATAATTTTCGTAGCCTTCGCCGGAGATTATTCCACACGATTCGCTGTTGCGTTCCAATTTACAGTGCTGCTCCTAAGATAGCGTATGGAGTTAGTAACAAAGCCTACTCAGAACATGAGCTAAAAGACTTCTCGAAAGATCGATGACTAGTTATTGATGGTATGTATACATATACATATACGTATACGTACGTATATGTACATCGTTGATGGTATGTATGTATGTACATACCAACTTGCCATCCACCGTACGAGAGGTCATTCAGCTCATGTGCCCTGTGTAGGCCTTTTTACTAACTCCATACGCCACCTTTGGAGCAGCACTGTTATAATTTGAACTCCACAGCGAATCATATGCGGAGTCATCTACGAACAAGGCTACAAATATTAGAATTTATAGCTCGTTTTATAAATAAAAATTCTCTGCTCTGCCAGGACTCGAACCTAGCAATCTTTCGGCGTTCTAGTTTCTAGTCGAGCGCTCAACAACTGCGCTATTCTGCCGTTTTGCATTTAAATGATATCGTGAGTCATCGAATTCGGCCATAAAAAAATGTCGTCTGATTAATAAATAAAAATATATGATATGATGATAATTATTAATGAAATATTCCTATTCTGAAGTTGACCATAAATAAATTCTGTACACACATATCATTTCAATAAAGGTGTAGTAGCTCGCAGTTGGAATATAAGTTGGATTTGTAACTAAGTGATAGCGGAGAAACAGGGTCGAATCCATGCAGTGGTGGTCGTCTTTTTTTTAATTGAATGTATCGGCAGACATGAACTGGCCCTGATGACGGCCAGTCTCCTATTGGTATACTGGCCCATCAACGTGTTTACAGAAATTTCGCCGTTCTGGCCAATTCTGGCCAGGCCAGAATTAGGCCGACCAAAATTGTTTGCTGATCAGGATCGTATAGCGTGAATTATTATGACTGACGATGTATCTTAAAAAAAGGATGTTTTCTTCAAATGGCATTAAAAGTGGCTTTTTAATGACAATTAATATGCCTCGGCAGAGAAAGTTGTGCCTAGACAGAAAAATATGTGTGTTGCTATGAGAGGTTTATTCAAGTTATATTTTTTTAATTGGGAATCAAAATTGACAATATGACTTTGGGTGAACACAAAATGATGAATCATTTAGACTTGCGCGAAATTGGAACGGTGGTCGAGAGCGTTAAGGCGCTGAGTTCGTATGGGGACTCCCACCGAGACCTAGGTTCGAATCCTAGTTAGGCCATGGATGTTTGTGTTTGTATGTATACCTAACCCCGCACAAGTTTCGACTTATAGGGCGTTTGGTCCCAGTGCTGGGACTAACGAGGTATGCAATTGCGAAGAAGAAGAATTCGGAGAAAAAATTATGTTTCACATAGCAGAAAAGCAGATTTAATTCCTATTGCTGGTTTCGCTATAGCCTCTCGGCTACGCCTTGGCTATGTACGCCAGCCGCGGCATCAAAACTTGTGCTTTGCTGCCTCCTAAATAAATAACTATCAACTGTATAGGTATGGTTCAATTTCTCATAATGTTGAAAGGATTAACATACTTCTGAGCAAAACTTTGAAAACCATAAACAAATGCGAAAATACTGTGAATTTCGAAGATCATAATAAATTTCTGCAAAAAAGGACTTGTTCTTTCTTATGGATCAGTTTTTCAATGCAAAATTTTATTAGATATTTTTTTTGTTTTTCCTCTCATTATTTGGAGGTTACAAACATTGAAGGACTCTGCTTACGGCCATGGTGATAGACAGTAAGATCGGTATCTAGTGGTCGAGTCGAGTAATAATATATTACATAACCAAGTATAATTATTCTTTAAAAAATTAATTATCTGATCTGGAGAAATTGTTGAAGAGAAGGAAGATATAACCTCGATTCACGACATTAACATGGATGAACTGCGAACATCGTACTTAGATAGTTTTCGAATTGTACTCTCTGCATCGCCAATGTCACTTGAGTTGGGTCCTTGAAATCGGCTATAGGTCAATTTAAATAAATATCTGCATGTTGATAGTTTTGTTATTTTTGCAAAGTTTTAATCCCGACCTGCCTATCGTTACAATTGATCATAACCAAGAAATCATTTACGTGAAGAATTTCTCATAATCATTAATAACAATCAATCAGGAATTCGTTCAATTCATAAAAATGGAATGAGATGGAGTCAACATAATGCCAACACGGCAACACAGGATTCATCTTTAGGGGAAATTTATCTGAATTTAATTCATAACATATAATAACAATGAACTATAAACCAAATACATTTTCATAATATATATTAAATATATATCTGCTCATATATCGGGTGGACAAAACAACTGAAATGTTTCATTTCGCACGTAGTTTCGTTACTTTCCAGCCGATTATTGTAATAAGCAGTCCCCAACGTTCCAAATGATGGCAACAAACCCAACACCGGTCAAAAACCAACGAAACCACAAGCAAACCGAAACTTCCCGTCACAACTTCTGACCACCCGATATACACATATTTCAAAAGTTAGCTCATGGAGAGTTGGCCGAGAGACAGCAATCTCTCCACCGCGGCGTTTATGTCCCCAAAAGTAGCGATCAGCGCCTGAAGATTGGCCTCCCTGTTCACGAATCCCATCGCGGTGAGCTGTTCGAGTTGCGCCCTGTAACGCTGCTCCGGCGGCACCTGATTGGTCTGGCCCTGGCCTCCCATGCCGGCTATGACTTGCGCCATCAGCTATTGACAGAAAACAGTTATGGTGGATTTATGCAGCAGGTTCAAGGCCTCAGTATTAAGTCATAGGAAGTCCAGTCATTGCTTTTCTATACAGGCTGATTTTAAAATAACTGCATATATTTTAAACACTAAGAAAGCTTGAGGTATACAACCGAATAGCACTATTAAGAATATTATTAGGATCAAAATAGATTTGGGGCAAAATACCCTTTTTCCGCCCAGATTTCTACTTCTGTCACAACTATCGTTTGCGATCCGCAGTCGACCGTGATGAACGAAGCGACGTTGCCACTCTACATGAAAATTAGGAGATATTAAATAAAATGTATAATCGAGAAAATGTACATAGGGAAGAAGTTAACCCTGGTCTTGAATTTCAGAAAGATAATACAAAAACTTCAAAATGGACTCACCCAAGATTTGTACACATAAGCTTGAATAGCGTATAGCTTAACACCTCACGGTTGGAAGTTCTTTTACTGAAAAATCCTTCAGACCCTTCCTTCCACCTCCTTGCATCGTTCCAATTATTTCGTGTCCTTAGAGGAGTCTCATGGGCCCCGCACAATAACGACCCGACACAAGAACCATATCATTCAGCTCAATGTTTGAGAAATGCATCGTCAATTCGTCACATTCCAAGCAAATTGTCAGAAACGAAACTATACGTTTACTAGTCAGTGTTGTTCCTGGGTCTGATTTTTTCGTAATAGATTTCCTTGGAAAAAGGAATCAGATTTGTATCAAAAGGTAATAGACTCGAAAAATCTGACATTTGACATTCGGAATGCCATTCTAGTCAAACCCTATCGCACTAATCACAGTTTTGACATAAATATAGAACATAGAACGGAACATAATTATCCGCTGAGCACAGAAATAGATTTTTTAGTATTGGAACATATTTTGGTGCTTATAGCAAATAGTAATAGATTCATGACAAATCGTAATATCGTAACAATCTTCGTGAAATAGTAATAGAACGCGAACAATCCTAGTTAGTACTGTCAAAGGTCACAGCAAAGAGGTAATCTATGGTCACAGATACTACTGTTCTGAGAAATGATGTTGACAGATCATATGATAATAGTTTTGTTTGTGTGGTTGCTGGTTTGTAAAATAATTGTAAACGTAAAATAAAAAATAAAATAATTGGATGTTGTGTCTTGTGTCGTGATAATCGTGATATGGTCGTGATCGTGGTTTTTAAATGTGAGATTGCCAGGAAGGATATGTCGTCGTCGAATCGTTTTCGATGGTTTGAGTGCGAATATGAACCAACAAGAACACAGGACGATATTAGTCTGGAATGGACTCGATATTAGTATTTGTTTGCTCTCGGGAGTTTTGCTGTTCGAGCAGGTATGAGAAAATCTACTAGGTGAGTCGATTTTCAACTTTGTGTATGTTGTGTACCTATTTATTGTCTGCTAATTTTGTATCTACCCGCTGGGGCCTTATTTTCGAATTGAAGGAAGGGGGACGTTCTATCATTCCCCTCATGTTTCTCTCCGTCTCTCGTGATCCATGGAGATAATCACCCCACAGTTCTCTCAGTAAACTTTAAAAAATAAGGCTCCTGTACATATTACGTTCACCTCTATTAGTTTCCATAACCTATTCCAATTCATATTCATTCTGTGACAAATTTTTATCAGGATATTCGTCTCTGAAACAATCTGGCATCACTGTCTTGTTTTGACGTTAGTGAAAGACGAATTGGAGATTCCCTGGGATTCCGCAGATTTCACTTGCTTCCCAGTGGCGTTCTCGAATTTCGAAGCATTTTATGTTCAATTTTCAATATGAAATTTCTCGTTAATGTGAAGACTTAGGAAAAATCAAATATTTTAGTAATTTTTGTTAGACTCTCTCATATATATGTCTTGAATATATGCACTCATTTTAAAATCAGCCTGTATAAACGTTCATGCACGTGTCATACGTTTTGAGTCATAAGAAAAGTTGACCAACTTTCGTCTCTTAGGACTTGGGCCTGTATTTATAATTGTTTTCTCAAGAACCCCTCAAGTTCCTCTCATCTGAGGATTCCTTGAGGACTCCTCAGCACTTTATGTACAAGTTGTTTTAACCCTTCTAAAAAGAGTCTTCACACTTGGCAACAGTGTATAATATTAGTATTCCGTGAACAAATTTGTTGTTTCATGTCAGGTGTTTGTCACAAAATGAAAAATGTCAAATTTGACAAAAAAATTAATATTTTTACTGTGGACATCGATAAAGGTTGATATATTGGGCCTAACAACATATTTCTCCGATCAAGGATGATTACCGGACAAAATATTTCCAAGGTTCGCAAAATGAAGAACAAGAGTTCCAAGAGTATTGGTGAGGATGTTGGAAAATCACAATGTAAAAATTACTCTATTAAAAACGGATTCTTTTGAGCTGCAATGTAATAATATGCCGAAAAGAGGAAGACTCATCCATTTAGTTGAATATTTTGAATGAATTTGACATGTGATTTTGTGTGGTTGTTCCTTAAAAATGTACGTATTCCAATTTCATGAACAAATTATTAAGATGATACCTATATAATTGTAAATATGCTGAGTTTCCATTATTTGTACTATAAACCTATTATTTGAAATAAATAAAGATTGGTAAAACTGCACTTATCATGCGATGGTTTTTTTTTTTTCGAAAATGTTTTTTTGGTACTTTCGTATTCTAGTCTGAAAAACACGAATTTGATAATGAAAATGTGAACAAACCATTATTCATTATCAAGATATTTCACTATAAAGTTACAAATTTCACGTTCTTTTCCTCCTGTCTTTGGATCACACTTAGAACAATTTGCCCTGCTTTTTTCATCATTGGAAAATTTATATATCACAATGTACTTCAATGACACATTTTCTTCTATTATATGAGTCAACTAGAAATATGATTTTCTTGCGATTTATCCATATTTAGAGAAAAGAAGGAAGAATATGATTTAAAATAATGGCGTGTGTAATATCATTCAAAAGCAATCTGTTGACATTTGACATCTCGTATTTGGATTGACTATTGATTGAATGGCCGTCATCTGGTATGATTGTTCACTAAATATGATAAGTGCAGTTTTACCTGGAGATTTACTTTTCAACTGAACTGAATTCCCTATCAGCTTTTCTGGAAATTGATAAACTCGAATCATTTTCTCTGTACAAATATCAAGACTTGAATATTCATTTGATAAAAAGCGTCCCAAATTCAACACTACCCACACCCGTAATATTATATCTACTTATGTGGGTACATATTTATAACATAACTTGAGATAATACTGGAAATTGGATCAAGGAATGCTCAAAGTACCTCTTTACCTTCCTTGGTATTGACATTTCCTTGAGGCTTGTTTTTGAATGTATAACAAATTGATGTTCATCATACAAGCTTTCTAGGAGCTCATATTTCGACTATAAATTGGAAACTGGTCCTAAAGGATATCTTAAGGGACGAGGTCGACAATAAATACGGGCCTTTAGGCTCAAAACTTATGACTGATTTGCTCTGTGCATGAGCCATGCGCTATTATTTGTAACCTTGGTTTTGCTTACATTTGTTTCAATCAAATCAAATCCAAAACAGATATTTGTAACTGCTGAATAATACAAAAAACATATTCTGTGTTACCTTAAGCATGTATGAAACTGATAAACAATAAGCAAAATGAGCTAATGAAGGGGTGCTCTTTCATGATATGACAGTTGTCCACAAAAATCAATTTTACAAGATCCGGCTCGAAGCACCAAAAAATGTTCGATATTCGAGTGGACTGTATTTTCTTAGGCAGGTTTCAAATCTCATTTACTATATATACAGTATGATGCAAATGTTTCAGAAATGGGCGACATTTGAAGAAATTCCAAAAACACGTGAGTTTTAATTTTTGAAACCTCATCTCATGACATTCATATGAGAGATGTTACGTCACCAGTGTTGGAGTAATGACTTAATGGACGGTTTTTTTAAATACAAACAGGGGTCATATATGTGACACCTCGTTTGAAAGGTCTACTGATTGTCTATCCAATAGTCAAAATTTTGCAAAAGAAGATTGAAATTAAAATGGATTATCATTTGGTTAACTGAATCTTGCAGAGATCTTCCACTGAGAATTGAACATCGAAGGGTCGTCTAGTTGAAAAAATACATCGATAAAAAAGTTCTGAACTCTACTTTTTGGATTTTTTTCGGAAGTCGTCTTGTTTTGAAATGAATTTATTCCATACATTTGCATCATACTGTAAATATCCAATATGGTGAAGAGCTTTGTAATAAATAGTAGTTTGAAAAACTATGATGAAACACGCTTTTATAGATATCCAAACTCGAGGCCAAACTGAATAGAAGTAGAAAATTGATAGTACCTATAGTTTAAAAAACGAGATAGATTGTCGAACTAAAAAGAAGTATAAAGTAGTTTGAAATACTAATGAAACACGATTTCATGGATATCCAAACTAAAAAGAAGTTCAGAACAAAATAATAAAAGTGTGTTGATGAATATTCAACTAAAAAAATATTTTCTAGAAGAAAATGTATATAGCAAAACAACGTGTGCAAGGTATCAGCATCAGCTATTGTAATAAATAGTAGTTTGAAAAATTAATGCTACTAGCCAAACTAAAAAGAAGTGAGTAGGAAATAAATAAAAAATGAAGATATAGAGTGCCGAACTTTAAAGAAGTAGAGAATAAGTAGAATAGTTTGAAAAACTAAAGAATCTCGTTTTCATGGATAGCCGAACTAAAAAGAAGTATAAATAAAATAATGAAAGTTCTTTGATAAATATGTATGTAGAAACATTTTTTCTAGAAATATTGTTATGGCAAAACAACGTCTGCCGGGTCAGCTAGTGGAAACATAAAATGCAGTATGGTATGACGAAAACAGGATGAACCAGATGAGAAAGGAAGCCTTACTTGTGAAATCGAGTCGTTAGAAGGTGGAACGGCGCTCGAATTCGTGTTCGCTGTCGCGTTGTTCGGTTCCGTTCGTGCCCCCTGGTTCGCGCTTCCCGTATTGCCGGCAGGGGCGGCGCCGCCCAAAGGGTTCGAAGCGGCACCGCCCAATGGGTTCGGGGCGATGGTGCTCATCAGGTTCGGCGCCGTCTGTCTGAGCGTCTCCATGCCTTGCATGATCTGCGTAATGGCGTTCATGGCTTGCGGGTTCGACATGATGTTGGCCATTTCGGGGTTCTGCAGCTGCTGCAGCACTTGCGGCATCATGGTTCTGACCTGCGGAAAGCGAGAGATGTACATAGCATGATGAGTCTGCTATTTTGAATTTTGTTCTTAAAAATAGTACCAAATGAAAAATAAATGGAATGAATCATTACACCTGAAGTCTAATTTAGCATACAGATTACGAATCAAATATTGTGAAGTTCCGGAGCATCGGCTGGGGATAGTCCTGCACGATTCGCTGTTGCGTTCCAATAAACAGTGCTGCTCCTGAAGTGGCGCATGGAGTTAGTAACAAAGCCTACACAGAACACGCAGAAAGAGATGATGATGTGGTTGTGAGCATCAGAGAAGAAGTAGGACGGTGTATGTAGGTGGGTGTGGAAAACTACCAGCTGAGCGTAAGAGCAGGCTAATGCTGCTTAGTGGACCCCAGTCTCTAGCGGGGGTTAACGAGGATAGCTAGCAGGCCTGCCACTGCAGCATATGGTAGTGAGTACATTACTAGCCTACAAAACACAGCCGAAAAACTCTGAACTCTGTCATGGCCAACTATAATGTGAAAAAATATGTTGATAAAATCTATTCGTTTTTGTTTTATACGAAAAAAACAGATTTTGATCATTTTCATGTCTCCTACATAACTTCTTTATTTATGAGAATATTCGAATAGGAATTTCACATTCTCATGGCAGTTTTTCAAAGTGATTTCGAAAAAAATATGAAATTTATACCAACTCTTCTAGAATTTGAGATATCAGCACCAACTTTAGTTTTTCAAATGTAGTTCATAGCTCACTATGACTTAGTTACGAATAACTTTTTTTTCTCTTACCGATGATATGTCGCGGTAATAGTTTTGTGCTGATAACAACGGAGTTATCGTCATTTATACAAAAACAAAAAATTATTTGGAAGCCGCCATCTTGAATTCATAAATTTTAACAAAAAAATCATGATCTCCGACCTCAAAAACCCCTACCCACCAATTTTGAATGGAATCGGACCAAATCTTGTCCGCTATCTTGGAACAACCATTTTTTTTAATTTCAACAAAAATTCCATAACTCCGATTAACTTGAAATTTGGTAGTTGTTCATAATTTCGGTGAGACATGAAAATGATCAAAATCTGTTTTTTGCGTATAAAACAAAAACGAATAGATTTTATCAAAATATTTTTTCACATTATAGTTGGCCTTGAAAAACTCCACATTTGGTGTCATTTAACCGACCTCGTATCTCTCACCGTTAAAAAGATACCCATGATGAGCATGGTAAGTGGGACACACTGTATTATGTACCGAGTGTTATAAACGTCATTTCATTAATGAGTATTTTAAGCACGAGCGTAGCAGAGCGGAGCGAGTGTTTAATAAACAAGTGTCTAGAAGAGTTTATAAACGCGTTACATACTATACTTTTTTTACGAACTCATAATTCTTCTCTTCGACAAGATCCCATAATTCCGAAAATTAGATTAACCTACCTGTTGATCTACAAAATAATTCGAAAGGAATGGGAATTGAGAACAATACATAATACTTATGCAACTGCATGCAACCAACGAGACACATATAAGTTATATTGGTTGTAGATGTGCATCCAGTCCATTATATGGATTTCTAATGAACTGGCTTGATTACTGGTCTTCGTGAATAAAATGTCAACTGACGTAGTTGATAAAAACTCTTCGATTTGTTGGGGTGTCAAAGTTTTCGATTTCTCAGGTTTGTATTTATATTCCGATTGCATAATTTTACTCACATGGATATTGTGTTCTACGTTTATCATGCTTAGCATAGAATAAACTGCCAACAAAGATGAGAGCTACATTTTTACCTAGAGTTCTTGGAAATATGCAAATAGGTACCTACCTAAAACATTCTCTTCTATTTCACTTTCGTCTACATTTCCCATATATTTTTCATGGAAATTCAATAATACAACCAGAAAATGTTTGAATAATTCCGATTGCAACGAAATTCGGAAATGACAGTTGACAGTTCCTACAATCGACAAGCCGGACAGGACTGGAACAACTGGTGTGTTTAAAAAACTCTGTTGTGGTGGTAATGTGTTAAAAGAATTCTGTTGCCATAAAAACGTGTTTAATTTTTTGAATAAATCACAGATCATGAATCTGTGATTAATCGATCATTAGCGTGGTCCATGTTCTAAATGCCATTTTAGTTATGTAAGTAGAAAATAATGCTTAAAAATTCATATCAGTTTAACTGGAAAACCGGAATACCTCTATACAATGCTTTTGAATGATCTAAACTAGAAAATGGCTCAGTTAGATGGAATCTCCACACCATTGTATATTCTGAAATAATAGAAAAAGTACAAGGAAATTCATTAGAAAGATTTACTACATAAAACATAAAGAATCTGCTCTTATGATCTCATACTGTTCTCAACTCGGTTCTCAACTGCTGGAATCTGAGCAAAAACATCAGTCCTGAGAGATATAAATGATTTGCTGTTTGTATCAAACATAATCTGAATGTTCCTGGTTTATTTAGGGCAATAAACATTTTTGTACCTGATGTAAGACTACAGAGGAAAATCATATTATCTTCTATGCTGTTGTTCTTGCTCACCTTATAAAAATGACAATGGATTAATAATGATACTGATATTTTCATTTCCAGTAGTATTGGAATTAAAGGATTTTTCCATCTCTTCAATATTCTCGAATTTGATAGTTATAGGCTAACATGTATATTGAGATTTTTAAGGTTGTAATGGACGTCTTGATTTTATCTGTTGACCCAATAATTCTTTTTCAAAAACTTTAGTATATTGTATCTTCTGTGGTAATGAATTTTTTCAGAGATATAATGTTTTTTCCCGTTAGAATTTTGCGATTTACATGTTTTTCTCATGAATTAAACTCATTATTAGAAGTTTGTCTTTATAATTTTGAAGTAAATACATCTAAAAACTCAATTCACCTACAACTGTGAAAAAATTTCTAGTCCTTTTTTTCCATGTGTCTCTAATTGAAGACCTCGGTCAAGAACCGGGCACCTCCAATTTTTTTAAATGTTGGGGAATGGAAAAAAACTTGATATTTTTGAGAAAAAAATGTGCTAAATGGTATGAATCCTTAAGAGTTACGTTAGATAAGTTGTATCAACTTAGATACTAATTTTCATTTACATTGTAGAAGCTAAAAAAAAAGTTTGAAAACATGGAGTTGCCTGTTTCTGGCCCCAAAAAGACGAAATTCTGAAAATATAGTCAATATCATGTAATAATTTCGATTTTTTATTGAAAATGAAATATATAACGAAAAATATTGTAAACAAATAGTTTTTTGAACATAGGAAGAATCGCTGACGTTTCCTGCGTCTTGATCTTCGTTAACATTGCCAGAATTTGGGTCCTCGTCGTCAACAGTTATGTTTTTGGAACATATTCACTCCCCGAATCTTGAAAGGGTTCACTTTCACTTTCCTACGACATTACATTGTATTGCATGAAACAAATGATCAAACTAATCACGCCACACACGATGGAAGACGCGGGAAGGCTTGCCGCTAATAACCTAACTCCGACATCTCCCACTACACGCGTACATATCGGTGCTAAAATCGGGTAACTCCTGGAGTTGCCCGACTCTTGCACCTCAATGGCTCATCAGGTAAATCATTCCCCGTGTTAACTTAATAGGAAATTGTTGGATTTGCTTGATTCTTGCACCAAAAGATGCGCAAGAAAAAATGCTATATGTCAAATACAATAACCCAATTTCGGCATAAAATGGAATTGCCTGGTTCATGCACCGTGGTCTTCAATTACATCTTTGCCTACCTGGTCCATAGTGTACAGATTTTCCGCCTGGGTGACATCGGGTTAAAATACTATCCCTCCTCCATTATTGCCCTCAATAGGCGAATCATGTTAAGAAATACACCCTCTACCGATTTCTAATATAACTAACGTATGGGCCATTGATTGCTTTGTTTACATCAGTTTGCATGTGTTTTATATGAGAAGTAGTTGTGTTTGAATCGTCTATAATTTTGTTTGAGAAATTTTATAAACGTTTAAAAACATGAACTATCATTGTTGTGTACCCCATTGTTCATCTTGAGCAAAAAAATTTCGAATATAGCTTTCATACCTTTCCAAAAGTTGTATTTGTAGCTAAGTTGGGAAACAATGAAGTGATCCATGGTGTCTAAGCATATTATGAGAGATTATTCTTTTCACTTTACTGAAAATTTACCCATATATCTTCAAATATTATAGGTATATGTCTATTATGAATATAGTACCTACTTCTTGGGGTAATAATAATAAACAAACAAATTCTCAACTGATTATCTTTCATCATAATACTACTCATGAACAGTAGAATTTATAAACAGTAAAGAATTTCATCAACCAGAACCCTGGGCTTCACATAAAACATGCAACATTTAATTTATATAATTTTCTTCCATAACATAATATTTTCTTTGCAAACTCAAAATCAAATTCTATCAATCACCAAAATAAATTCAAAATTATGTAATTGAAAGATGGATATGTAACCAAAAATGTATCGTTTAGATTAAAAGTAGAGCCATCCCCAATTGTATCTGCCTATAATAATTATGTAGCTTCTTCAACTATATAAATTCACCATTTCCTTGGACTACATATAAGTGATATTTTCGAGAGCTTCAATGATAGTCTTCCTACTATGTACCTGTAAAATGATGTTTAACATTCAGTTTTTGTATCAAGAATATAAATAGAGGTATTTGATTATTATGTGTTGTAAAAAGTAAGTAAAAAAGAGGTATATAACTTCACCTACGAAAGAACATTTCATTCCCAAAAGGTAGGTATTTCCTTCCAAAAATATCAGCTGAATATCCCAGCCATCTATTTGTATTGGAAATTACAGGTTGAATCATGATAATTCTTGTTCAATAATGATGAGAACTTATAGCTTACATATAAATGTCAACTAGAGGTAGGTAGGTTATCTACTGTTGAACATATATAATCTTGTCCTCAATCAAAACATAATAAACCACTGGAAAACACGAAGTTCAAAAATATACAAATAATGTTGAAATATCAAAACGAAATAAACATAAACACCATTACTGAACAATGTAAACAATCTGTCAATGGCCCATAGAGTAGTACCGACATTCGCCGTTCTGGCGCTACGACTTTAATCTCAGTACAGTGACTGCATTTAACACAGTGACGACAACGGGCTGGCATCCGCCATGTTTAGGCTAATGTCAAATGCTCTGTCTTTGTCTAATTAGTTGGTTATGTTTGTTGTTTTGGATATTTTGAAAAGCATTTTGTTGTTATTTAGAATTAAATAATTATATTTCACTTTATTCAAACAATGTAATGAAAATAGACCATGTTAGGTCATGTAGATGACTTAGTTTCAGAAGAAGAATTAAAAAGGAGCCAATAAAGACTCGGAAGCTGGTACTCAAACCACAGTACTCAAACCCACAGATAGGTACACCGACTTTGCTAAACTCAAAGGAATCACAAGTTTACTATCAGTAGGTAAAAGTTTGAGTTATTGAAAACAGTCTAATTAGATCTCTGGGAGAATCAAACATATGCATGTCTTCAGGAATGACTACTTTCAATAAGTACATACTTTTTCCAGGAGTGATGATTTCAACTCGAAGGAAAAAGAAAATATTTAAAGCTTCTAAGGCAACAATGTACCTATACTTTGTCTTCTCCCAAACTACAATGAAATAGAATTCTGCATACAGGATTTCTTGGATGAAAAAAACACAGTGAAGACAACATATCTCACAAAAATGGTGTATTGATTGGAACATCAGAGAAGGTGACATGGCAATCTGGAATTTCAAGTAAACCAATGTTAAACCACAAAAATGAAAACAGACCTCATAGATACTTCCATAAGACAATAATGAGATATAATATTGTGTGAAAATATCATTTTGAATCCACTTTCTAGTTGGTAGGTACCTGTTATCCACTAGGGAAAGAGATTTGTGAAATTTTGTAGTTTTCAGTTTAATTTTGTATTTTATAATGATGATCATTTTGTTAAATCATACATAATTTGTCATGTTCAGGAGAACTAATCAAATATCAGTAAATTGATAACTATAATAATGGTGAAAATACTACATAAATGTAAAAAAATATACCTATACTAATCATCAGTGTTGAATAATGTCAATCACCTATGTGTCTGGCAGTATATTTGTGAGATATGTGAGAAATAAAATGAACTTTTTCCATAAAAATTATGTGTTGTTAATAATTAACTATTGAAAATCATAGTCAAAATACAGCATAGTGAAATCACTGACATTTTTATATAAACAAAACATCCTACTAGTCATTCTGACTGAAAATATGCATCCACTTTGTGCAAATCAATGTCTTTTTGTATTAATGAGTAGTTTTTTACTATTTTCATCACATTGTCATCATCCACCAATATTCTACATTGTGTTCCATGAACTTCACTTGATACACATACACTGATAATTCTACATTTTCCAAGCACATACTTTAGGTATTTATAATTTCATGCTGTTTCAAGTCACTGCTTGATTATTTCTTTATATGTTTGGTATTCTATAGCTTCTCAATCACATGGGGTAGCTGGAGCTATGACCAACATATCATATTTCATCATCAGGAACCCATCCTGCATGCAAAGTCTTCATAAGAGGCTTCTAGGAGCTTTCACATAACTTATTGGATCACCCAATCTGTCCAATTCAATAAAGTCATTGCAAATCTGCATACTGTAGTAATACATTTTCCAGCCTCATTAATAAATATGCAACTTATAAAAAGGGAGGTAGAAAATCTAAAAAAATAAATAAATGAGGTTAAACCATGATTATTAAAAATATTTCCTAACTTACCAATATTATGTTCTGCAGAAATATTTGATCTTGATCGAATAGAAAATAATACTGCATGAGGAAAACAACAAAACCACAGAAAAACACTGACATATTTCTGACACAAAGTTCAAATCATTTAGCGCCTGGGAATTTGCCTAAACATGGCGGACAGCGGATTTCCCAATTATTACATAAATCATTATTAATTATCATCATTAAAAATATTTTTTAACATGCCAATATTATGTTCTGTAGAAATATTTGATTGAATGGAAAATGGTACTGCATGAGAAAAAACAGGAAAACCACAGAAAAACACTATTTTCAACACAAAGTTCAAGTCATTCAAATTTGCCGCTAATTTTGCCTGAACATGACGGATTTCTATCGACCAATAGAAAAGATGACATACCATTGTCGTCACTGTGTTAAATGCAGTCTCTGTAAATCTCAGTCGCCTATAAATCAACCAACAATAAATCTCCAATCTCTCACCTGCTCCTGCAAGGCGGCATTCCCGGAGAGAAGCGGATTGTTCGCCATGAGCGAATCGGCCATATTCGGATTAGCGGCCAACGCCTCGACCACCTGCTGCATATGTGGCAGCGACATCATGTTCCGTACCGACGCCGGGCTATCGGACATCTGCTGCAGGAACCCGGACAGCGGCGGCCGACCAGCCGCTGTGGGGTTCGAAGTAGGGTTGGAGGTTGGGTTCGCACCGCCGGCGCCGGACCACGGGTTGGGCAGCGGCTCGGTGTTCTCTCTGCCCTGTTGCGGGTTGGCGGCCGAGTCGGTTTCGACCAGGCCGGCGAACGGGTTCCTGCTGAACTGTTCCGCTGTCGCCGACAGCATGGGCTCCTGCAGATACGTGGATGGGTTTTTAGAATAAAATAGAACTTTTTCACCTATGAGGAGTAAACAGGTACAATATTATTATTGCACAGCATACACTATCAGGCTAGTCACAAGAATGTAGAAAATACAGAATACTACAGAACTCTCTATCTGGCTTCACTATGTATAATGAAATAGAGATCATCATCAGAAATATACACATTGAAATCAAATTAATTGTTTGGGATAGTGGAGAATTTGAAATAAAAGGTAAAATTGTGACGAGATACATGATCATAATATATTTTTTTTATGTTCTGGTTCCCACGAAAAGGGATATCCTGTAATGTTCAGAGAACATCGTGAGAACCAAGGGAAATAAGGTAGGAATTGGTGTTCTTCTTAAATTTCTGGAGGTTATATGCCTCGGGGAACACCTACCTTGGCAATGTGTACCAGAGCCTCGCTGTTCGTTGGATGAACGAATCTTTGGAAAGAGATGTTCTGCAGGCCTCCAAAGTGACCACGAGGGGTGCGAAGCCTCAACTCGACGGGTCAATCTCGCGGGGACTGCCAAGAAAGGTACAATTGTTGATATTTCAGAAGAGCATCGTCCATGAAAATATATCTATAAAATAGAGCCAGATCGCCAACTTTTCTACGATGTTCCGGAGAAGTGAGTGAGTTTGTAAGCAACGCATCACCCACGAGACAAATTGACCTTTTTTGGACAGAATTCAACAGTTTCAGGGTATGTTTGGGTGCTGCACTCCAAATATGGAAACAGTATTCCAGGACAGGCCGGATCTGTGCCTTATAGATCATAAGCAGCTGACTGGAAGTGAAATTGCTCCTGGCCCGAAACAAAAAACCAAGTTTTTGGGATGCACTTTTAGCAATTGATCTCACGTGATTTTCCCAAGAAAGGTTATTGCTGATAGTAATCTCAAGCATCGAAATGGGTGTCTTCAAAGGTATGGTTACTCCTGACAAGCTTATGTGGTACAGTGAGATCAGCTTTTCTAGAGAAAAGGCATGCTTGTGTTTTGTTTGCATTGAAATCTACCAAGTATTGAATCCCCATTCGAGAATTGTTGCCAACTCCATATTTATGTTGTCAACATTTCTCCCTCGTTCGTTTCTGGAGGGTACTATCATCCGCGAAGCTCTGTACTGGAGATGAAGTTGCTTCCAACAAATCGTTGATATGGAGTAGAAATAGTGTTCGTGCTAGAATTGATCCTTGCGGAACACCAGCATTTATGATAAGAGCCAGATGAAACTCCGTCGACCACTACATGGAGAGACCTGTTTGAGAGAAAACTAGCTAGCAGAAAACATAGCTGGGGAGGCAATCCATAAGATGGAAGCTTGGCGAGGAGTCCGTGGTGCCAGACTCGTTCGAATGCCTTGGAGATATCAAGTGCCACGTCAAAGGTTTCCCCAAATTTTTCAATAGATTGCTACCATATATGCACATATTACTAACATGAGAGTGAAAATTCCTCTATTGAGAAAATTGCGTTTTTAACAAGGTGATTAAATAGAAGGTTTTTGAATGCTTGATGATTACATGTAGTTTTATTGTTTGATTAACTTGTTGAATTTGTTGTAACATTTTGTTAGTTTTGTCCGACTGCCAATCTTGAAGAAGGATACAAATTCTCTGCATTTCTTGTATTGTCCTGGTGAATCGAGTAGTGCCGTACAAGTTCAGCTTTATGCTTATGAACATGCAATGTGACTTGCACAATATACAGACATAGGAGTGTTAATATTTGTAATTGTTTGAAGATAGGTTTGGAGGTTTCACAGGAACGTGCTACTGTCATGATTCTTACAATTTTTTTTTTTTTTTGGTGTGACACAAATAACTTATTGATGTGGCTTGAATTTCCCCAGAACATAAGTAATAGAGAAATGATTGAGCTAGTCCATAGTAGGCTAGTTTTGAGGTGTCTAGTTACACTGTGTTTCTCAGTTGCCTAATTATGAAAGAAACAGTACAGTGGCTCAAGTCATCATGTGTTCAAGGAGGATACCAAGAAACTTAGTAGATAGAACTTATTAAATACTTTTACCAAATATGCAAAGAAGACAATTGTAGTCATAATTAAAATTTATTGGAAACAACGTCATAAAGTGTGTTTTCAATACATTCATGAATGAGCTGGGCTCTGTACATCAGATTAAAATGCTGTGCAGTAGTGCCGGCTTGATGACATTCTTGCTGCAATGAATCTTCAGTAAAGAAGAAGTTAGAATCGTCTTAGTATCGTCAATTTGAAGTCAAAAGTGGAGGTTCGCGCTGCCGGCGTCAGACCACGGGTTGGGCAGCGGCAGCGACACCGGCTAACCCAACGGTTCAAAAAACATTCATCTTGGAACTATCTTACGATCAGCCGATAATGCCCTGAACAACCGTCTTGTTGGAATATCATCCGTCCTCTGATGGCGAGAGAAACATCCTCAAAAAGCTCCTGTAGATAATGCCGTAGAAAATGTTCATACATCTCCCTGTTTAAATTATCTAGGAAAAATGTGGTCCTATTGAATAACTGTCAATGAGTTCTATCAACACATTAACAAAAAACTTCCGTTGGAAACTAGTTTTCCTTGTTAAACGAGGGTTTTCTTCGGCCCAATGATGGAGGTTATGAACATTTGTTATGCTTTTTGGATGCCTCGAGCAAATAAACGAAAATAAATACTGCCGAAAATGAATACTGATAGGCATTTTCAAGTGTGTTTTATACTATTTCTTCGAAATAACAAATCCGTATCAAGCACTTTTAGTTTCATTTGTACCCAGTTAGAAAGCTATTGCCTTAAGGAAGTTTTAACAAATTTTGACAAATGTGGCTTATAGATTTTCCTAAAAATAACCGCTAGAATGTGGTTTAAATCCACAATTCACAAACAAAAATACGACTTTGTATCTACAATTCATCTATGATCTAAATTATTTCTGTAATTTTGTCAATTTAAACATGAGACCATAGTGTTGATCATGCATTCTAGATGGAAGTTTGAAAAAATGTAGAGCAGATTTTCGGGAAACTAACTTTTGAACCCTTGAACTGTACCTCTTGGAGAAAGAAAAAAAAAATTAATATCTCAAAAACTATCAACTTTTGCATAATGCATATTAGGGTTTAATTTACTCCTTACCACCTTCCCTATCACATCTCCAAAGGAATGTATTTAATTACCAGTAACCCTGTATACTAATCATTCCTTCTTATTTTTAGAGCATACTGTATAAAGCATATAGGAAGTTGAAATAAATGATCCCAAAACCAGCACTAGCTGATTAGGAATGTTCATTCTATTAACATTTGTTTTTGTATCACCGTTATTATTTGTAATCTATTATTTTTGTCATATTGAATGAATGAATGAATGAATGAATGAATGAATGAATGAATGAATGAATGAATGAATGAATGAATGAATTTATTACGTTCCAAAAAACAAAAATGTCATCTAGGAACACCTCTGTTACTAGTTACAAGTCAGTTTCACATATTACATAATATTTGACACAATAATTAAATTATTGATTAAAACCTGTTATCAATTTAGTGAATATACCGTAGTTGGTACAATAGTAATATATGGGTAACCTTTTCCACTGAACTATAATATATGCTATATACAAGTATCTAATTGTTTTCCTTTCTAATCCAAACTCCTAATCTCCTAATGCTATAGCTGTACAAATCATAACTTAAGTGGAATGTGAGACTTCAACAAATATTTGAATTTTTTTACACTTTCTTTTCTTATATTTAGTGGTATTTTGTTGTACTCTGTAGCTCCTTTATAGAATATTGAACTGATTCCATAGTTTGTCATTACTCTTGGGACTTGAAAATTTCTACAGTTTCGAGTATTATATCTGTGAATTTCCTCTCTAATTTGTGAATGTCTAGCACTATTTACTATCTGATGTATAAATACATTCACTTGAAAAGTATATAAGCTTCCCAGTGATCTAATATTGTAATTCTCATAAAGATTCAAAGTTGAATATCTTAATGGCAGATTATATAAGTTTCTAATTGATTTGTTTTGCAGGATTTTAAGTGGTTTTAAATAACTCTCATATGTATTACTCCAAATTATTGTCAGATATTGCAAATGTGAATGTATTAGGGAAAAGTACACAGATCTCAGAATGTAACTTGGGACAGTGTAGCTTAATCTTCTCAGAATACCCACTGGCCCAGCAATTTTTTTCCTAATATATTCTAGATGTGCTTGCCAGGAGAGTTTTGTATCAATTATCAGTCCCAAGAACTTAATTTCATTTTTATATTGAAGTGATCCACTTTGACAAGTTATTTCATTCTTAACATAATCAGGTTCAGTGCTTGTGGTTATCCACATAAAAGATGATTTTTTAATATTCAATGTAAGTTTGTGGCAGAGTAGCCATTTCGTCAGCTGTGATAAGTCTTGTTTGATATTCTCGATAACTGTGCTATGAGTTTCACCGAAATATGCAATTGTGGTATCATCAGCATATAGTATAACATCTCCAATGATTTCCAAGTTTGCTATGGAATTTATGTATATTAAGAAGAGAGTGGGGCCCAGGATCGAGCCTTGTGGTACACCACATTTCAAATTTTTGTATTCACTTTTACATTCTTTCAGATAAGTAAATTGCATTCTATTGGTTAAGTAGTTCTGAAACCAGCTGCTACAGTGACCCTGGACACCAATCAACTCCATTTTTTTCATCAGGATTTCATAGTTCACCGTATCAAATGCCTTACACAGATCAAGGGATACAAGAGCACATTTTAGTTTCTCGTCAACTTTCATCTGTAATTTTGATATAAGGTCTACAACTGCACTACTAGTATCGCTCGATCTGCGAAAGCCATATTGGGAGGGTGTCAAAATCTTATTCATATCTAGGTATTTCAAGAGTTGGTTGGATTGAATATGTTGATGGAAATGTTGGAAAAAATAGTTACCTGTATGTCTCGGTACATCCTTTGAAGGGCGTTGTATCCCCCCGGGATGCTCTCCAAGTTGCTGATCGCGCGATCGTGACTCCTCATCAGCTCCTGCAACATGGCGGGGTTCCTGGCCAACTCCATCGTCTGTCTCAGCAGCTCGGGGTTGTTGAGCATGTGGTTGATCTCGGGGTTGCGCTCCATCAGCTCTTGCATCTGGGGGTTGCGCGTTATGAGGGCGCGCATGTTCTCAGGATCGTTCATGATCCTCTGCACCAGGGGGTTGTCCAGAACGTTTCGCAGCATGTCGGGATTGGAGAGCAGCTCGGTTTGCATCGTGTTCTGGATGTCCGCGAAATTGGCGCCCAAGCCAAGTTGATCGAGGCCTGGCAGGCCGCCCAAGGCGCCCAAGCCACCTAAGCCTCCCAGGCTGCCTAGTATGGAGGAGCTGTTGTTACCTATATTGCCCGTGAGAGGGCTTGCTGTATTCACTGAAAAAAACACACTAAATTGCAATACTATTGATTGGCGACTTTATTGATGTTTGTCGGTGTTGGAAAGCAGTTCATTTTGCATTGTGTTTTAGATGTCTGCGAAATTGGCGCCCAACCCGAGTTGATCGAGTCCTAGCAGGCCACCTAAGCCTCCTAGGCTGCCCAGTATGGAGGAGCTGTTGTTACCTATATTGCCCGTGAGAGGGCTTGCTGTATTCACTGAAAAAAACACACCAAATTGCAATACTATTGATTGGCGACTTTATTGATGTTTGTCGGTGTTGGAAAGCAGTTCATTTTGCATTGTGTTTTAGATGTCTGCGAAATTGGCGCCCAACCCGAGTTGATCGAGTCCTAGCAGGCCACCTAAGCCTCCTAGGCTGCCCAGTATGGAGGAGCTGTTGTTACCTATATTGCCCGTGAGAGGGCTTGCTGTATTCACTGAAAAAAACACACCAAATTGCAATACTATTGATTGGCGACTTTATTGATGTTTGTCGGTGTTGGAAAGCAGTTCATTTTGCATTGTGTTTTAGATGTCTGCGAAATTGGCGCCCAACCCGAGTTGATCGAGTCCTAGCAGGCCACCTGAGCCTCCTAGGCTGCCCAGTATGGAGGAGCTGTTGTTACCTATATTGCCCGTGAGAGGGCTTGCTGTATTCACTGAAAAAAACACACCAAATTGCAATACTATTGATTGGCGACTTTATTGATGTTTGTCGGTGTTGGAAAGCAGTTCATTTTGCATTGTGTTTTAGATGTCTGCGAAATTGGCGCCCAACCCGAGTTGATCGAGTCCTAGCAGGCCACCTAAGCCTCCTAGGCTGCCCAGTATGGAGGAGCTGTTGTTACCTATATTGCCCGTGAGAGGGCTTGCTGTATTCACTGAAAAAAACACACCGAATTGCAATACTATTGATTGGCGACTTTATTGATGTTTGTCGGTGTTGGAAAGCAGTTCATTTTGCATTGTGTTTTAGATGTCTGCGAAATTGGCGCCCAACCCGAGTTGATCGAGTCCTAGCAGGCCACCTGAGCCTCCTAGGCTGCCCAGTATGGAGGAGCTGTTGTTACCTATATTGCCCGTGAGAGGGCTTGCTGTATTCACTGAAAAAAACACACCAAATTGCAATACTATTGATTGGCGACTTTATTGATGTTTGTCGGTGTTGGAAAGCAGTTCATTTTGCATTGTGTTTTAGATGTCTGCGAAATTGGCGCCCAACCCGAGTTGATCGAGTCCTAGCAGGCCACCTAAGCCTCCTAGGCTGCCCAGTATGGAGGAGCTGTTGTTACCTATATTGCCCGTGAGAGGGCTTGCTGTATTCACTGAAAAAAACACACCGAATTGCAATACTATTGATTGGTGACTTTGCTGATGTTTGTCGGTGTTGGAAAGCAGTTCATTTCGCATTGTGTTTTAGATGTCTGCGAAATTGGCGCCCAACCCGAGTTGATCGAGTCCTAGCAGGCCACTCAAGCCTCCTAGGCTGCCCAGCATGGAGGGGCTGTGTTACCTATATTGCCCGTGAGAGGGCTTGCTGTATTCACTGAAAAAAAACACACCAAATTGCAACACTATTGATTGGCGACTTTATTGATGTTCAAACTCCCGTTGCCAGAGTTTACCACTCAATTTTATACTTAACTAGCTGACCCGGCAAACGTTGTTTTGCCATAAACATTATTTCTAAAGAATATTTTTTTAGTTTAATATTTCTCAACACCCTTTCTTTATTTTATTTTCTTTTTAGTTTGGCCCCTAAAAACGTGTTTCCTTAGATTTTCAAACTATTCTATTTATTTTTTACTTCTTTGTAGTTCGACAATCTATCTCTTCAGTTTTTTAAACTATACTATATCTATTTTCTACTTCTATTTAGTTTGGCCTCGAGTTTGGCTATCTATGAAAGCGTGTTTCATTACAGTTTTTCAAACTACTATTTATTACAAAGCTCGTTCGCCATATTGGATCCGCCATCTTGAATTTCCAAATTTTGACGAAAGAATCCGACTTCGAAAACCCACCAGATACCAATTTTGAATATAATCAATATTGGATTCGCCATCTTGAGTTTCCAAATTTTGTCGAAAGAGTCATAGGCGATCGGAATGATCGGATCATGATTCCAAAACTCGTCCGCCATGTCGAACTTCTTAATTTTGACGATGGAATCATAATCTCCGACTCCGAAAACCCCCGTACACCAATTTGAATTTCAATCGGATCGTAATTAAAAAACTCGTCCACCTTATTGGATCTGCCATCCTCAATTTCCAAATTTTGATGAAAAAATCATAATCTCCGATACCGACAACCGCCAGATACCAATTTTGAATAAAATCGGATTACAAAACTCAATTTAAAAAATAGCTTTTACGACCGATTTTCATACCTACAGAATATACGCACAAAAATTATCATACCAATCGGTCAAGCAGTATCGGATGAGTTTGGTGACAAAAACCGTGACAGGGACAAAAGAATTTTTGTAACATAACCACTCGTTCAACAAACTCATTTAGCTTCATTTCTGGATGTTAACATTGTTAATTTTCATATCTACAGGGTGTAATTTAACCGATAGTTGACAATATAGCACATGGTTTTAAACGGAAAAACCAGATATTCTGGTTTTTACTTGATTTTTTGGCACTAACAGAAACTCAAGTGAACTCGTCCACCAACAAGGTCCTGGTTACGAACTCCATTCTCGATTCAGGTTCAGAGGTGGAGTGTGTCTCTCCGCTAAGGCTAACCTTTCATGCCAGCGTGTAGAGCGTGTATCGCCTAATGATAATGAATATTGGTGTTGTGTTTTTATCACTCAAGCTGGACTTAATTCAGGAGAACCATCCAACAGCTGAAATCATAACAATGGGAGACTTCAATGTACACAACGCAGCCTGGCTCAAATTCTCTAACAAAACAGATGATGCAGGTCGTCAAACTGAGGCATTCGCTATCACTCATGGTCTAGAACAACTAGTCGAACTATCAACCCGCATTCCAGATGTCAACAACCAGTCTGCCAATACACTAGATCTTTTTCTCACCAGCAATCCTGATTCATATAGAATAGAAGTTTGTGCCCCACTTGGAAACTCAGACCACGCCTTCATCTCCACAACCTGAACTTTCCATGTACTATCCAGCACCACAATTTCTACCCTCTCATGTGGCATTACAATTCGGCCGACTGGGAAGGTCTTCGTATGTTTTTTCAGCGTTTTTATGGAAGAGAATTTGTTTCTCCCCAGCAGATCCAACACGATGTGCTGAGACAATTTCTGAAATCATCATGTTGGGGATGCAAACCTACATACCGAACACTGCAAGGAGAACATCTTCCGATAAGGCCTGGTTCAGTAGAAACTGCTCTAGACCTGTCGCTTCCAAACAGGTAGCATTCCATCGAAGGCAGAAAAATCCAGGCCCTGAGACCAGAACAGAATATGTCGAGGCTAGAGGTATATGCAATGAGACAATTCGACCATCAAAGGTCCTGATGGATCTCGTTCATTTTGGTCCTTCGCCAAAGCTGTAGGAAGAAACTTCACTTCCAGCTCGTTTCCTCCTCTAACCAAGGAAGATGAAACACTAGCCACAACTGCCCAGGAAATTCCACTCTGGATTCATCGGGAAAACAACCTCCAAACATATGCCCGAGATCACCTTTCGCCATCAACGTACTATATGGAAGATTTTATTGGGTCTCAACACCAACAAAACTTGTGGCTCCGACGGAATCCCACCGATTGTTCTCAAGAAAGGTGCTCCCGAACTAACACCTGTTCTCTGCAGAATGTTCAACTCATCTTACAAATTGGGGATATTCCCGTCCAACTGGAAAATTGCAAGAGTACAACTAATTCCTAAAAAAGGCAAAAAGACCCTACCTAACAACTACAGAGCGACCGCACTGCTATCTGTTATTTCAAAGATCATGGAAAAAGCTGTCAACATCCAGCTTATGAAACACCTATAACATTCAGATATTATCAACGATAGGCAATATGGCTTCCGTCATCAGAGATCAACTGGTGACCTGCTCGCTTACGTCTAACATATGTCAGCAATCTATTGAAAAATATGGTGAAACCTTAGCCGTGTGGCACTTGATATCTCTAAGGCATTTGATCGAGTCTAGCACCATGCACGGACTCCTCGCCAAGCTTTCATCTTATGGCTTGCCTCCCCAGCTATGTTCTTTGCTAGCTAGCTATGTAGTGGTCGACGGAGTTTCATCTGACTCTATTATCATAAATGCTCCGGTGTTCCGGATCAATTCTAGTAACAACACTATTTCTACTCCATATCAACGATTTGTTGGACGCAACTTCATGTCCAGTACACAGCTTCGCAGATGATAGTACCCTCCATACCACCTTCTCTTCCAGGGCTCCAATACCAGCCAGGCAAATCAGAAACGAACGAGGGAGAAATGTTGACAACATAAATATGGACTTGGCAACAATTCTCTAATGAGGATCCAATAACTTGGTAGATTTCAATGTGAAGAAAACACAAGCATGCCTTTTCTCTAGAAAAGCCGATCTCATTGTGCCCGACATAAGCTTGTCAGGAGTAACCATACCTTTGAAGACATCCATTTCGATGTTTGGTATTACTATCAGCAATAACCTTCCTTGGGAAAATCCCGTGAGATCAATTGCTAAAAGTATATCCCAAAAACTTGGTTTTCTGTTTCGGGCCAGGAGCTATTTCACTTCCAGTCAGCTGCTATGATCTATAAGGCACAGATCCGACCTGTCCTGGAATATTGTTCCCATATTTGAAGTGCAGCACTCAAACATACCCTGAAACTGTTGGATTCTGTCCAAAAAAGGCAATTCGTCTCGTGGGTGATGCCTCGCTCACAAACTCACTCACTTCTCTGGAACACCGTAGAAAAGTTGGCGATCTGCTGTATTATATAGATATTTTCATGGACGCTGAAATATCGTCGATTAACAACGAGGCTCTGGAACACTTTGCCAAGGGAGGTGTTCCCCGACTTACCCCGAGACATAAAACCTCCAGAAATTTAAGCAGAACACCAATTCCTACCTTATTTTCCTTGGATCTCACGATGTTCTCTGAACATTACAGGATATCCATTTTCGTGGAAATCAGAACATAAAAAAAGCCCATTTAAAGAGCAAAAGTTCATATGAACATATGCACTAAACCTCTCAACTTTCGAGCTATATCAGCTATAGGGTGTAAAAATTTTAAGAAAAAAAACATCTTATCATCACTTCAATGCTATGCACCGAATAAGCACCATATGGATGTTATTTGAATTCAAGATTTGGTTTTGTCATTTTTTTTTTTTTTTCAGTATTCAAATGATGAAATTAGCCAGAATGGTTTCAATTTTTTTTACGCATAAACGTTCCGTCAGACGGATAGAATTCAAATAGTCAAATTGTCGAAAAATAAATGAGGATTTCTAAAATTAAATCTATTTTTGGAAAAAAACAAGGGCGTATCATATTTTTTTAGAAAAATGTCCATTATTGTAGATCCCATACGGACGCCAATGGTAGAAATATTTCAAAATCACATGCATCAAAAACTGTCAATTGGTGCTTAGTAGGTGCCTGTCAAATTTCATGAAAATATCTAGAACAGTATTGACGTTAGGATAAGAAAACGGTTGTTTCCTTGAAATTCCAACACCCTATAGCTCGGAAGTTGAGAGGTTTAGAGCATATGTTCATATGAACTCTTCATCTCAAAATTAGCTGAGGAACCACATCCTATATTTTCAGCCATCAATAAAATTACACCCTGTATTATCAACTCTGATGTTCTACTTGCTCATCTCTATTTATTATCAACTTGTTCGTACATAGAACGGCAAAGTTTGGACATTCTCTGCCCAGGCAGAAGAACTTATAAGCCCTCCAGAAGTTGAAAAAAAAATTCAATCCTACCTCCTCTTCCTATTCTCCATAGGTATGCAACATGTTCCATGCATGAACCTGTTAGTGATTTCCTTTTGTGCGCTAAAAGTTGAAAATTATAAACCTGTTCAAATAGCACATATGTAATGTGTGCATGTATTGTTGTTCATTGTTCACAGCCTTTAATTTGATCTCTTTGATTTATCACTGATTGTTGTGATTGTTTGTTGTTGATTATCTTGAACTGGGATTGTCAAGTTGAATGAATTAAAAAAAATTCAATTTACAATGTAATGTATGGAAGACATAGTGCACTGATAAAGACTAATAGAATTCAACATATAATATGTTTGAAGTACCTCATTTAGCTTCACGTTCTTGTAATAGAATTTAAAAAATAATTCAAGATAGTGTCACCAAGATGGCAAACGATTTCACAAATTATTGAGATTATTAAAAAAACTGCATATTAAGGTTTTTTTAGGTGGGAATTAACATTTGATTGGAAATTTAGATATGAGTCTTCCAGGACAGACTAATATTTTGCCAAAAATAAAAGAATTATCCTGGAAAGAAAACTCTTAATGGATGTTCCACCATACACTCAATATTCCAAGTGAAATATGGTCCTGAAATCATAGCCATTGGACTAAACAATCACTTACCTGATCCTGATGTAATTACTTTAGTTACCTGCTCCAACAAACAGTTCAATTCAGAAATTACAAATCTACTGATAAAGAACCTATTAGATTCTCTGCAGAAGTTTCTTGACTAATAATTTTCACATGCTTAATGTAAAGTTAGTTCATGATGTTATTCTGCTAGGTCCAATTCCATCATTTTATTGTTGACCCCTGACAATGCCAGAAATATTGTAATATCTCAGTCAATCATATACAAAGCAGGGCTGGAATAAGTTATGACTTAAATAAGTGAAAAAAGTCCGACTTTTTTTGAATCAATTCACTTTTAAAAATCTTATTTTATTCAAAAATTTTAAAGCATAACATAATGAAAAATGCAGGCTTGGCAAAACAAACTGAAACTTTTGATTGAATAGAAATCAATAAATCTATATGCAATGTATTACTCATTAAGAATTTTCATTGGAAAAGTTAGTTTTTCACTTGATGACACAGTTGTCAGATGTTTATCATGGTCAGGTTGCCATAATGCCATGGGATTTTTCAGTTTGAAGTACTTTAAAGTGAAGGTAATAATGTGATTTGTTCCCATTGGAGATAGTTCCAATTAATTCACCTCTTATTGAAAAAGTCATTCATATTAATTCAGGAATTAGAGCACTGACTTAAATCATATGAATTAATTTGTGCCAACCCTGATACATGTGCTTTCAAAATTGAAACCACATACAATAGATTCATGGACATTTTTTTCATTTTTATACAACTGTGATACAATCTCATGTGATATGGGCCCTGAAAATAATCTCAAAATAAAAATACTAATTAATGCAAAGATATAATAGATATTCTAATGACAACTTTATAGGTATTTTGTAGTCACTATGGATAGTTCTTTCAGATGTGATTTTCCTATGGGATCAGCATTTCTTGTCTCTTGATATCATGTAGATGTTTATATGTATAGTGGTTAGGACACACAAATAAAACACACCATATAAAATCCTGAATATTGCATGAAGACCTCATTTGAATGAAATCATTAGTCCATTGAATTAAATCTTATCTGAACAACTAAATTATCCAGTAAATTATATACTGAATACATGGAAACAATTAGAATTATGGCTAGAAGAAATTGCTTTCCATCTATGACCCTAACATAAATTCCAGGATATCAAAAAATCACTAAATTAGGTTCATGATAGGTGAAACACTCACCTGGTGAGGAAGTTGAAGTATTTTCTGTATTTCGTTGAGATGATCTCAATACTAAATGAATAGTTAGACCATCCTTGATGTTATGTTGTTTTAAAGTGTCTTCATCTTTCAATATCTTTCCAGCAAAGATGAGGCACAACTGATCAGGCTCTGCAGTGAATTTTGTCCTTATAACCTTTTTGAACTGAAATAAATAATGAAGATGACAAGTAGACTTCTTGTCATGTTTTCAGATAGTTGAGACTCACCTCCTTCACAAGACAATTTTCATCAACCTCAAATGATTCTTTTTCTTTCGGGGTTTTTACAAAAACATTTATTTTTGTTGGTTCTTGGGATTCCTTGGAGTCTTCACTAGATTTCTGATCTTTTTGTGGGGTGACAGGAACATCGTCAGCCATGATTATGTGGAATGACTAATGATTTTATTCCTTACTGTACACGAAAAACGATGACTCCAAATTAATTATTATATTGCATTATTATACCTCACTTACGTTCGACTTGTATTTTCTGTTAGATATAAGAACATACGTATTTATGAATAACTACCTTCGATAATAACACCTTGCCAACAATCATATATTATTGAGTTCTAACAATGTTCCAGAAGGAATATTCAATGATTAATCACAATAAAATATTATGGATGGACACGACAGCGACTCGAACTTGACGACAGATGGATAACCATAAATTAACCTAACCAACAAACCAACCACACTAGAGATGGGTATCGTGCATAAAAGAATCGATATATCCTCTGGTCGCTTGATCAATGTTTCCTGTGCCTTCGTGTCAGTCACTCGTCACTATGTCCTATCAGTTGTCAGTTTTCCTATGCTGTGCATACTAGGTTTGTTCTCATTAGAAAAATAAGCAGTTCCAAACCATCGGAATCATGCGCAGTTCCGCGGAACATGAATAATGCCTACAGTTCCTTGAAACTGCGCATGCTCCTGGTGGTTTCGGACTGTTTATGTTATTGTTCGAACGAGAACAAACCTACTGAAAACTGATTGTTGTTGATAAAAAAAGCGTGGTTTCGCTTTGTGTTTTGGGTTCATTAATTTTTGAAAAACATAATATTAAAATAAACCCTAATATACTCAAACATGTTCTTGATGTATTATTTGAATGAGTTGGGTCAAAGAATTTACACCTTGAAGGTAAGAAATATTTGCCAGATTTTTATTAAGTGGCATACATATCCTTAACCTCAAAATCACCCATGATTCTTGCATGATTATTTAAGGGATAAGGTATAAAGGAAGACATATACACTACCATCTTACTGCTCCATAATAATCATAATGCTCTTTATTTCAGAAGGAAACACCAAGTGGTAAACCCACACTCTCAGCTCATCCTGGTGAGTATCTACTACCTCTACCTACCAACCTTCAATGTCATAGGGAGGAATGAGGAAATAATAAGGGTTCAGTGTTCTGACTATCAATACAGTAGTCAAGCCATTGTTATCAAGTGTTGATACATATATTGCAGTCTGGAGTTGGGATCCCAAATTATTAATTTGCTTGGTATTAGCTCCTTCAGGTATTACAATGACTTCATTGGAGTTTTATTGTTACAGCTCGTTTCTCTCCAGAGGATCAGTATTCAGAGGAAAGGATAATTTTGAAATCCAGGCATAAGTTACTGAAGACCCAGCAACCAGAACCAGCTTATTGATCTAATGATTACATATTTCCAATATCAATTACTTTTTTTGTTAAGTTTGCCAATACAGTTCTGCAATCCTTAGTTTTGAATATGTGTGTTGCCCAATAGGAAGGAATCAAATGAAAATAATTTCTAGCTCACTGTAGTTATCCTATTCCAGTAAGCATGGGTGGAAGTTTATATTTTCTTATCTTTGATTTTCAAATACAATAAATAAATAGCAAAAAGTTCCTTTTTTCACACAGTGTCATGACAAAATAAGTTGAATTTGAAATAATCACTGGAAGGTGAAGGGGTTCCACAATAACAAATAAGCTGAGGTAGAAGTAGGCTTAAGGTGGCTAGATAGCCACTTTAAGTAGGCTGCTAACTGAAATGTTTGAGGTATCTGATTGGTCTTAATACTGGTGGATGTATGAAGTCGGGTCTCTCTAAATTCTTGCTTTAGTACTTTCTTTCTCTTGTGAAAAAACTGGTGTTTGCCATCAGACATCGGCTTGTTCCTGAATTCTATTTTTATTTCACTGTATAGATTTCATAATATGATCAAATGAATTCAACTGATTCCTTTACAAAAAAAACATTCAATTATTGAGCAGGCAGAGTTATGTCAGTACATAGATATATGCATGCTGAGAAGTTCAGTGCATTATTGATAAATTTAAACTAGTGTTCCTATTTTCATTTGCAGTAGAACAAATAACATGTCTCATTGGGACTAAAACTGTAATTTATCCTTTGCTTTCCAAACAAAAAGTGACACTTCAACTCCTAATGGAACAATGTACTTTTGTGGTATCGGTTATCTAAACTGGTCAACAAAATAAACGTCGTGGTCGAAAATATAATCCGATTTCAAAATCGAAATAATCATGGTTCCCATAACTAATTTCAATTCGGTTACTTGTTTGATAATATGTTACTTGTTAATTGAAAGATTGGAATCGGCCTATATTTCGGACCAGGACGTTTCTTTTGTTGACCAATTTATTAAAAATATTCAACAACTATTTAGTCATTTTTCCTGGAACCCAACATAAACCAGGTTAACTTTATGATGACGTCACGGTTTACTTGTGAAGCTTGACAGTTGCCAGTCTATCAGCTGTTTTTGTTTATTGTCTGGTTATAATGGTTTTAGTAGTATTTAAATATTGAATAAATAATGCATCTTCTGTAACAAGAATATATCATAGATACTTCAAATTCAGGAAACAATTTGCTACATACATATTTACAATGAATCAAATATTCATTTTCAACAATAATATGAAGTGATCTCTCATTCTTCATATGAATCCATAATTATCGCTAAGAAGTATAATTATTTATTCTTATCAATTAAATAATCTCAGATTATAACAACAGGAGCCCAATCAAAAGCCTCAACTACTCCATGAAGTACCTCAGAGAGCTGGTTAACTATTACTTGATAGTTTGGAATACACATCAAGGAAAATGGACTAGTAAACTTATTGTTGATCTGGTTTGTGTGGTTAACTTTGAGGAAAAATGGTTTTTGTAAGTGCCGAAAGCAGAAAATTATTAAAACAAAACTTTAATAATGAGTAGTTTGGAATAATACATAATATATCAAGGTATAATGAAGAAAATAAAATAACATCTGGAAAGGCCTTTTCTATATGATATAATGTGAACAAGAAGACCCTTTTCAATTTATTATACACAATCGAAAGAAAATTACGCCAGGCCTAGACGGCGCATCTCCTTAAGCAACTCGTTGCCCATCTGGGCGGGCGACATGGTAACGATGACGCCGGCCTTTTCCAGGGCGCGGATTTTGTCCTGCGCCCCACCTTTTCCGCCCGAAATGATGGCTCCGGCGTGTCCCATGCGACGGCCGGGGGGCGCAGAGAGACCAGCGATGAAGGACACCACGGGCTTAGCGTTGGGACCCTGAAAACAGAAACTGCTCAGGAATAGTACAATGGAACCTCGAATATTTTCCTCTCCCATAGCTTCAAAACTGGAGAAGAATTATGAAGTACACGCAAACGGCGTAATGTGAATCCTAGTGGGTAAAATGAATCAGTCGGGTGTTTCAGTACAAAAGAGGGCTCTGTTTGCTCTAGCTGCGAAATTGAAACGTTTTCGTGTACCAGTCGTCTCGTCAGTACGGCTAAGTGAAGAAGGGTGTTTCGCCCACGTTTTGCCGCGCTCAAAGAAACACTAGAGTATCACGAACACATTTTAGGTCGCACTTTGGGCTCTAACAGATTTTACTATTTTTACAAAACTGTTTAACGATTGTGGAGGCACTAACTTTATAATTTCATTTACTTCCATGCTCTAAATGTGTTAAATAGTTATTACTGAAGAAACATTTGATAACATTTTTGTCCAAATGTTTTTAGTTAAATTTTAGCATTTTTTTTTTTTTTACTTTGAAGTGGTAACTATAATGGGTAGAATGAACCATTCTAATTCCTATGAAATCGGGGTTTATATTTTGTGATTGTGGATATTTATTATGTTATATCTTGCAATACTATGAATTAATTATCAATTTCATATAATTTGATTTATTCTTAGCATGCCGAGATCAGTGCCGGTTTTAGCACTACCAGCGCCCTGGGCAAGAATTCTACGGCGCCCCCTAATAACTAATATATTTCACTTTTCTAGCCTTTGTATTGGCAAACTCTTTCATTAGATCTCGGCCCGAGATTATAATATATCATAAGAATGCAATCACAACAACAAAATATTTTACCAGAAAAAAATCAAGACTTTTTTGTAGATTTTTTGTTTTTTTTTTCAATACGAAAAAACGATAAAAACGCAATTTTTTTTCACGACTACGTTTGAAGGTACTCTTTATCTCAGGGGCGTTAATAATTTTTTTCTTGGGTGGGAAAAGGTAATGGCTTCTTGGTTTAGGCAATGAAAAAAAAATGATCTGTTCAAGAAGAGTACAACCAAACTTCAAATCTTTTCCCCTGCCGTAAAGCTTCAAAACTGGAGAACTCTGAAACTCTTTATCCCAGGGGCGTCGATAATTTTTTTTCTTGCCTATCCAATGGATAAAACTAGTGAAACATTTCCAACAAATTTCCATAATGTATCTAGTGGACTGAAATAATGCATATGCCATCGCCATCTTTGTTTCGTGTTTCCTTTTGTCAGTTTGTCATGTATTCCGTCGCATGAGTCGTTCGTGTTTGCTCTGTTATTGTATGCAGAAGTATGTATCATTTTATGCATCAATATAACCATCGTTACATTTTCATTATGTTATTACATTTTTTATCGTAGGTACCCAGCGTTCAAGCAAAAGTGAACTTAGTGAACTAATTATTCAAGGTCAATTTGAGGTTGTGTTATGATTACCTACTTTTTCAATTTGTTCACATAATATTTTAGCGAGTATTATAGGATGGGTGTGCATATGTTCTCTCATTTATTATTTCTTAGCGATATCATCCATCGTTATATAATATGAAGTATTCAATAGTGATTTAGTTTTCTCAATAATTTACCCAATGCAGTGGAATTGTGATCAAATCATCAAAGTTTTATGAATCAACCATTTGGGCTGTAGAAAGGTACACTTCCTTAGCCACGCTGGAGGTGTTTGTTTTCGAGATATTTACAATTTTTTATACCGATGCATGTTTTGGAAAATTTCGGAAACAAATCGTTTTTCGATAAACATTTTACAGGAAAGAAGTAGTTTATTTTGACGAGACCTACCACATACTTAGTTATTGTAATGTTCTCAGCAACTTCACTTAGCGCCCTAGGAGCTAAAGAACCATTTTTACTAGAAAAAGGTGTGGGAGAAAGGTATTTTTATGAAAAGTACCAAAAGTTCACTGTCAGAAATGCTGGGGTAATTTTAAATGAATAATGACAGCGTACTCAGCGCCTATTAGATGTTACATAAAAATTAATACGGAAGTATCATTTCCCACGTCAACAAAACCCCGGGTACCAAATTTCCTGCAAATAACTCACCACCCTTGGTCTCGGGATCGGTCAGGAACACCTCCAGACAATCGATAAAGTCGGTGCCGATGAACGGGTCGCCGCCGATTTTATTTATATCTGACACCTTTGCAGCCAACTTCACAATACGAAATGTGTTACTCTTGAAAAAACGATAAATTATTGCCGGTAAGCTTGGTCGGACACCAAACCAAACTTAGCGAAAATCACCAACGCAACTGATCGCAGAACCACAGTTTAATCCTCTGAGAACCAGTTATGTTTTTCCACTAAATGTTTGTATTCATATCGAATCGGCTCATGGTGTTGTGCAGAAGAATAAAACATCAATGTCATTCGTGGTCAAGTCACTGAATAGCATGCAGTAATGAATTTGCGCCTCCGAAGTGCCCACCTGATATTAGGTTAGATATTTGTTATTTTCATTTCATCATTCGAATATTACGAGACTTACGGGGCTCAAAAGAGGTATTCTAACAATTGATATAAATCATTGCCTATAAGCTTGGTCGGACATCGAACCAAACTTAGCGAGAATCACCAACGCAACTGATCGCAGAACCACAGTTTGATCCTCTAAAAACCAGTTGTCTTTCCACTAAATTTTTGTATTCATATCGAATCGACTCGTGGTGTTGCGCAGAAGACTAAAACGTCAATTTCATTCGTGGTCAAGTCACTGAATAGCATGCAGTAATGAATTTGCGCCTCCGAAGTGCCCACCTGATATTAGGATAGATATTTGTTATTTTCATTTCTTCATTTTAATATTCCGAGACTTAAGGAACCCAAAAGACATATTCTAACAACTGATATCCAAGGTACATGCATATTCAAGTGTTGAAATGCAGATTACTATTGATGTTATTTACCCAGTGTTGTTTACCAAGGTACTATTTCAACACTGGATATTTGATTAAATAAAACAAAACGGGGTAACGGCGACAGGATCTTTACCTCTCTTCTGTGGCAAAACAGACTCGCTCCACTAGTCCACTCACCGTATTATGCGTCATGAGATAATCGGCGGCCTGCTCCTCGGCCACCCCGCCGATCTCCCCGATGAGAATAATTCCCTTTGTCTCGGGATCGTTCAGGAACACCTCCAGACAGTCGGTGCCGTTGAACGGGTTGCCGCCGATGTTCGTGATTTTATAGAAATACAATAATTTTGACAGTGGCGCCGATTTTATTTATATTTGATACCTTTGCAGCCAACTTCACAATACAGTAAATTATTGCCTGTAAGCTTGGTCGGACACCAAACCAAACTCAGCAAGGATCACCAACGCAATTGATCGCAGAACCACAGTTTAATCCTCTAAGAACCAGTTATGTCTTTTCACTAAAATTTTGTATCCACATCGAATTGGCTCATGGTGTTGCGCGGAAGACCAAAACGTCAATTTCAATCGTGGTCAAGTCACTGAATAGCATGCAGTAATGAATTTGCGCCTCCGAAGTGCCACCTGATATTAGGTTAGATATCTGTTATTTTCATTCCATCATTTAAATATTCCGAGACTGATGAGACCCAGAAGACGTATTCTAACAATTGATATCCAAGGTACTGTGACGGATCTTTATCTCAGGGTGCAGTGTTGGGGTTCTGGCTGTCTCGGATTCAGTGCCCAAGAAATGAAAACCCAGAGATTTGAAGTAATGCAGACTAGCCTTATTTATTTTCACAATAAATCTGAAATTTGACCAGGCGACAACACGAAGAATTTTGGTGTTGAACAAACCCAAAAGGTTCAAAAACCATCAATTATTGCAAGTTAGGGACATGTGACGAGTCCAAGAAGCAAATGGTCGCCCACTTTCTCTGAAATCTCGAAAGAGCTTCCTCAAATCGAGCAAGGACTAGTTTTTATACATAGTCGATTGATAGGCGATTCGAATCATGCCGCAAAAAAGATCTGGGTACAAATATGGGAATTATGAACCTGACGCGTATGCAACGGACCATGTTTAATGCGGTAGTAATGGTTGCCAAAGCAAAAGGAAGAAACAATGTTTTATTTCATTGATTTGCCCTGCCAAGTATACCGTGGGCGTACTATTAGGAAGATTTATTTACATTTAAAATTGAAATTGTCAGAATCTCTGTCAGAGTGCATAATCATGAATCATGGAGCGCTACACAATGGTCGTGCAGTACATGCATGTCCAAGTGTTGAAATGCAGATCACTGTTGATGTTCTTTACCCCATGTTGTTTACCATGCCACTATTTCAACACTGGATATCTAATTAAATAAAACAAAACGGGATAACGACGACCGGATCTTTACATCTCTACTGTGGCAAAACAGACCCACTCACCGTATAGTGCGTCATAAGATAATCATCAATGTCATTCATGGTCAAGTCACTGAATAGCAAAATATCTTAAGGGTTTCTCCCATGCAGTAATGAATTTCCGCCTCAGAAATTCCCGCCTGATATTAGGTTAGATATTTCCGAGGGGTAGACAACTCGTTGAGACTGGTGTACACTAGGGAGTACCTGTTGATTAAGTTTGAGTAATTTTCAGACTTCTTGATACTCTTGAGTATTTGATTATGTTGAGTACACACATTCCACATTTCGCTGGAGTTGTCTACCCCTCGGATATTTCTTATTTTCATTCCATCATATGAATATTCCGAGACGCAAAAGACGTATTCTAACAATGTATATCCAAGGTACCGACGTATAGAGTTGTATGTCCAAGTGTTGAAATCCTAATCATTATTGATGTTCTTCACCATGTGTTGTTTACCATGCCACTATGTCAACACTTGGACAGACAATATCCAACAATCAGACAAGAAACTCCATACGCTTGGATATTAATTAAATAAAACAGAACGGGGTAACGACGACTGGATCTTTACCTCTCTACTGTGGCAAAACAGACTCGCTCCACTATTCCACTCACCGTATTGTGCGTCATGAGATAATCGGCGGCCTGCTCCTCGGCCACCCCGCCGATCTCCCCGATGAGAATGATCCCCTTTGTCTCGGGATCGTTCAGGAACACCTCCAGACAGTCGATGAAGTCGGTGCCGTTGAACGGGTCGCCGCCGATGCCGACACAAAGCGTCTGGCCCAGCCCGACTTGCGTCGTCTGGTGCACAGCCTCGTAGGTGAGCGTGCCCGAACGGGACACGACGCCCACGACGCCGCGCTGGTGGATGTGGCCCGGCATGATGCCGATCTTGCACTGCTCAGGCGCGATGATGCCTGCAAGAGTCACAAGGGTCTAGAGACAAGACGCATCAAATATTGCCGCGTGATGGAGGAGACGTTTTGTTACGTTTTTCGTTTATTCTTTATCAGTTAAGGTATCCAAATCGTTAATAGTCTTATCCATGAGAAAGTCAAATCACCCGGTATATTATAGTCGCGATATTGGAACCTGTTCAGGTATAGGTTTTGCGGTGCTGGAAAAAAGATGATAAAAACAAGGAGATTCGTTCGAAGACGATAGCGAGAAAATTATCGAGGAGTACGATCCAGATAGGTATGGGCCTAATTTCGGGTTATCAAATTGAAATTACGTGTTTCACGGATATTTTCCCGACTTGGTCTATTGGGGGTATTGCAAGTCTTGTAGAAGAGTCACTGATGAAAGTGAAGTGTGACACATTGTTGCAAGTTTGAAATAATTTGGATATATAATATCTCGGATTGTGTTCGAAGTAGCTTCCCATACATCTCCGTCAGTGTTAGGGTTTCGGCATTGGGAGGTGAGCTATAACAATTATTATTAGAAGATAAGTATTTTGAATTTTTCTGATTCATAATCAATTATTTTCTCGAAAGCATTCGTGTTTTTATCGCGGTTCAACTTTTTTTAGATGTTTTGGTTAGGCCGCATTGTTCTATAGCGAACATACCGGCGTATCACAATTTTGGGACGGTGTTTAAAAGAACGTCGATCGTATATCCAAGTGCCAAGCGATCGAATTGGAAAATCGACAAACTAGCAGCTGTCGTGGTCGGTGTTAAACCTTTTTCATCCTTATATGTCGCTGAGACATACCAACTATAACGGAAATTTCGATCGAGTTTAATGCTGACACATCGTACCAAGGAATTGTTGATAAGTACCTCATAGAGGATTCTAATTTATGGATTGTCGTTACAAAAGCAATAAGGGACTATTATTTGATAGATTTACTTTGCTGGGAATTTGATTTTGTATGGTGTTATTGTTGTGTTGGGAAGTTCAGTGTTCAATAATTATCGATGATAAATATGAGTACATGAGATTCATGATTTAGATTAGGATTTAAGCGCATATTACATGTTCGAGTTGGTGAATGACGTTATTTTCTCGATCATTCAACGACTTTCACTCTTGCTAGATATCCTGGGGATCCCTATTTTCGATTTAGACTCATCATATTTGATACCTGTTACTGTATTCCTTACAGTAATTATTTCTGCAGTCAATTTTTGTGATTTTACTATCACAAATATACATTTTATACATCAGTACATGCCCAGCGTGTTTATAAAATCGGTAGTATTCGAACCACACACGTCTGGGGATCAGGGGCTTCGCGAATATGGAGTCGGAAACGGTGTTGTCGATGCGGAGGAAGTTGAAAAAGCTGATGCAAACAGAAGAATTAGAATAAGCTGAAGCATACGTTCAGGATGTTACCGTCGAGTTAGATGTTTGTAATACGAAATTAGTTGACTTGGAAACTTACGTTAATGCTCGAGAATACCGTTCGGTGAATAGTAAAGTAAGGAATCTAGACACGTAGACAAAATTGAAACATTTATATGCGCGATTAAAAAGATTAAATCTGGCCAATAAGCCCGGGAAAATTAGTGAAGGAAATTTAATGGAACAGATAGAAATAATAGAAACTTTATTCGATGAAAAACTGAATAGTGAACCGGATCCTATCATTCCTCAAGTTCAAGGTCGAGTTGCTAATTTACCTGTGGCACAAACACAAAGTATTCGCCCTACAGTACCGGTACACATATGGAACTTTAATTTTTCCGGCATTTCACATATCGATTATCGATGAGTCAAAACATATCGATATATCGATATTTTTGAAATTATTTATCGATATATCGGTATTTGTCAGATCATATATCGATTTTTTTCCACGCCTAACCCAAAATAATCATATTGTTTATCCTAAACAACGGTTATAAAATCTTCAACAAAACTAATTGAATCAGTATAAAAACTATTTACCTAACTACCTACGCCATATATTTTTATGCCTGATGCCTGCGCAAACATTTGAAAAAAAATTGAATTAATTTCAAAAACATTACTATTGTCTGGATATTACGAACGTGTCTAGGGGTCACATAAATAAAATGAATTTATTGTTTCCAATATATTGAGAAGAAATCGATAACTATCGATATATGTATAGATGTTTATCGATATGAGTCAATAATGTTTGTTGCCGAAAACATGGACTTATTTGCAGGATATTCTAGAGATCATCATGAACAGCATAGGAGACACAAGTATCACTTATTGAATATAAAATCGAACTTGACATATTATGTTCAAAAAATATATACAATTTACTGTGATACAAATTTATAATAAGCTACCAAAATCGCTCCAAAAAAACTCAAACTCAGACTGAAAGATATTCTTAAATCAAAAGCATATACCATAAAAGAGTATTTCTCTGACAGTTGGTAACTATAGATTACATTTTATTACACCTACATCATTTATGTGTTATTTTTATGTCTGTGATGTCCTATATACACAGATTTCTGTATTGTATTTGTACTATCATTATTTTATATTCTCTTGTTAATTTTGGTGTATTTATATATTAAGTATTGTTAAGTTCTACGCCTATTTTTAGGCTTTGATTTCAAAGAACAAATAAAGATCTATCTATCTAGTTATTGATATATTGATATTTTTGAAATTATATATCGATATTCAATATATTTATACTTTTATAGATATACATATCGATATTTTTTCCAAGGCCTGGTCGGCAGGCACCTTCATGCTCCTATTTCTGTTTGATTCTTGGCGCTTATATCCATGGGTATGATTGCAGTGGCTTGTCTGGCGCTTGGCACGTTAATGCCCATTTGAAGAGGAGCTTTTGAACTGGCGTTTGGCTAGAGGGGCGATATAAAGGTTTATGTTTCTGATTTTGGGACTCACCTGGGCAGTTAGGTCCGATTAATCTAGATTTTGACTGACGGAGAAGCCTGTGTTTCACTCTAACCATGTCATGCTGGGGAATACCCTCGGTTATGCAAACGATAAGCGGAATTTCAGCGTCCAACGCCTCGAAAATAGCAGCAGCCGCACCCGGAGGAGGGACATAGATCACAGAAGCATCAGCTCCGGTAGCAGCACGGGCCTATAACGTGGTCTCTTGTAAAAGTTAAAACTTGCAAACAAATACAATGCAGCATTTCACATTTACTGGCAGCTCTAAGTTATTCATCAAATTCTGACTGCTCTGGATTATTTCCGATTTCACATTTAGTATTATTTCATAATTGAATGATTTATTGAACTAGATCTCATAACTAAGAGATCCAGAATGAACAGAGTTGCCACTAGATGGCAAAAGCATGACTAGATCATCATGCAGTATCCGGCGTCTTCGAAATGGGTGACATACCCGACGCGTTGGGTTGTCCCAGTTGTCAGCAGACCGAGAGCGGCTGATGAGACCTGGTGGGCCGAAACAGTATTCTCTCGCTCCTGCGAACAATTGGGGCAACTCTGTTCATCCAAGTTCTCTCACCCATTAGATTTAATGTATTTCTTGCTCAGAAGTGTATTTTAAGATGCCTAGTTAGTTGTCCAGCAAAACACTCATCTAAGAACATATTCAAATAAAATAAAATTCTAACAGTCACTGGCATATACATCCTTGAGCTTATGACATAATATGTTCATCAAAATCAAAATTTGTACATAAAGAATAGGGACAAGCACTCTCACAATACTAGAAGGAAAGAGGACTACCATGTACCATTCAGGCACCCTGGAACTAACCAAAAGGTCACCAAACAATTTGTGTCGACATGTTAAATTCTCTATCACAAAATTTGAAAACTATCCTGCCTGTTTGCAAATTCAAACGTGCATTGTCCAAACTCCTCATACATCTTTGTCCTTACTCTATACAAAAATTTGAAGGAGCACTTGGTTAATCTATATCAATTTTAATTTTATAATTTTAACTTTACATCAATATCTGTGTGTTTTATTCTTATATTATTACTAGCTGACCCGGCAAACGTTGTTTTGCCATAAACATTATTTCTAGAAAATAATTTTTAGATAAATATTTATCAGAAAACTTTCATTATTTTATTTCTACTTCTTTTTAGTTTGTCAATCAATAAAAGCGGGATTCTTTAGTTTTTCAAATTACCTATTTTCTACTTCTTTTTAGTTCGGTACTCTATACCTCTTCATTTTTTCAAAATACTCTTCATTTTATACTCACTTCTTTTTAGTTTGGCTATCCATAAAAAGATGTTTCATTAGTTTTTCAAACTAATATTTATTACAATAGCTGATATCCGGCAAACGTTGTTTTGCTATATACAATTATTTCAAAAAAATATTTTTCAAGTTGAATATTTATCAACATACTTTTATTATTTTGTTTTCTAATTCTCCTCCGACCCCGAAAACACCCAGATACAAATTTTGAATAGAATCGGATCATAATTACAAAACTCAGTTGCCATATTGGATCCTTTATCTTTAATTTCCTAATTTTGATGAAGAATCATAATCTCCGATCCCAAAATCCCCCAGATACAAATTTGGGATGAAATCGGATCAAAGTTACAATACTCGTCCGCCATATTAAATCTGCCATCTTGGATTTCCAAATTTTGATGAAAAAATCATTATCTCCGACTCCGAAAACCCCCCCGATACCAATTTTGCATAGAATCTGATCATAATTAAAAAACTCGTCCACCATATTGGATCCGCCATTTTGAATTTCCCCATTTTGACAAATGATTCATATCTCTGACCTCTAAACCTCCAGATACCAGTTTTGAATAAAATCTGACCATAATTACAAAACTCGTCCGCCATATTGGATCCACCATTTTGAATTTCCAAATTTTGACGAACGAACCATAATCTCCGACCCCGAAAACCCTCAGATACCAATTTTGAATATAATTGGATCATAATTACAAAACTCGTCCGCCATATTGGATCCGCCATTTTGAATTTTCTAATTTTGATAAAAAATCATAATCTCTTACCTCGAAAACCCCAGATACCAATTTTGAATGGAATCTGACCATAATTACAAAACTCGTCCGCCATATTGGATCCGCCATTTCGAATTTCCTAATTTTGATGAAGAAATCATAATCTCCGACCTCGAAAACCCCCAGATACCAATTTTGAATGGAATCTGACCATAATTACAAAACTTGTCCGCCATATTGGATCCGCCAACTTGAATTTCCAAAATTTGACGAAAGAATCATAATCTCCGACCCCGAAAACCCTCAGATACCAATTTTGAATATAATTGGATCATAATTACAAAACTCGTCCGCCATATTGGATCCGCCATTTTGAATTTCCTAATTTTGATAAAAAATCATAATCTCTAACCTCGAAAACCCCAGATACCAATTTTGAATGGAATCTGACCATAATTACAAAACTCGTCCGCGATATTGGATCCGCCATTTCGAATTTCCTAATTTTGATGAAGAAATCATAATCTCCGACCTCGAAAACCCCCAGATGCCAATTTTGAATGGAATCTGACCATAATTACAAAACTTGTCCGCCATATTGGATCCGCCAACTTGAATTTCCAAAATTTGACGAAAGAATCATAATCTCCGACCCCGAAAACCCCCAAATACCAATTTTGAATGAAATCGGATAACAATACTCGTCCGCCATATTGGATCCGTCATCTTGAATTTTCGATTTAAAAAATAGATTACGACCGATTCTCATACCTACCGAATACGCACAAAAAATATCATACGAATCGGTCGAACCGTTTCGGATGAGTTCGACCACTAACACCGTGACCGGGACGGGAGAATTTTATATATTAGATAATAAGGACATATTATTATTATAATTATCACTATTATTTTGAATTATATTTTTGTGTGCTGCTTTGTTGACTTGTCCTATAACTCTTGTAAGTTCCAAAGGATTACTAAATTGATTGATTGATTCTAGTTCAGTGTATAGGAATGGTGGGTTTAAACTCAAGTATTCATTCAGGTGGTGCCATCTGTCAGCAGAGTGTTTTACTAGTAGTAGCACTCTGTAATGTGTAGACGTAGGGGTCTCTACATGTTAACTATAGATGGCAGCGTCATGCTGTGTATGACGTGCTTAGAACTAACGCCGCTAGATGGCGATAGCATGACTAGATCATTATACAGATATTTTCATCTTATTCCTGATCCCTTCCCAAGTTCTATCTGAATCCAAGAGATTTCACACATTTTCTTGGACACCCTGTATATTTCAACAATATCTAATGATATAATATATGAAAGTCTCCTGTCCCTGTCACGGTGTTTGTCGCCAAACTCCTTCGAAACGGATTGACCAATTTGTATGAAAATTTTTGTGAGTATTCGGTAGGGATGTGAATCGGTTGTAAGTTGATTTTTTAATTGAAAATTCAATATGGCGGATCCAATATGGTGGACGAGTTTTGTAATATGATTTTATTCATTTTGGTAATTGGTATCTGGGGGTATTGGAGGTCAGAGATTATGATTCTTTCATCACAATTTGTAATTTCAAGATGGCGGATCCAATATGGCGGACAAGTTTTGTAATTATGATCCGAATCTATTCAAAATTGGTATCTAGGGGTTTTCGGGGTTGGAGAATATGATTCCGTCGTCAAAATTAGGAAATTCAAAATGGCGGATCCAATATGGCGGACGAGTTTCGTAATTATGATCCGATCCTATTAAAAATTTGTATCTGGGGGTTTTAGGAGTTGGAGATTATGACTCTTTCGACAAAATTAGGAGACTCAAAATGGCGGATCTAATATGGCGGACAATTGTTCTGATTATGTGATCCGAATCTATTCAGAATTGGTATCTGGGGGTTTTTGAAGTCGGAGATTATGATTCATTCGTCATAATTTGGAAATTCAAGATGGAGGATCCAACATGGCAAACGAGTTTTGTGATTATGATCCAATTCCATTGAAAATTTGTATCTGAGGGTTTTTGGGGCTGGAGATTATGATGTTACCTAAAAATTGGCAAATTCAAGATGGCGGACCCAATATAGCGAACGAGCTTTGTAATAATATATGTAATGATAATGTAAAAATGAATAGAATAGTTTGAAAAACCAAAGAAACATGCTTTTATGGGTAGCCAAATTAAAAAGAAAAAGAAATAATAAAAGTGTGTTGAGAAATATTTAAATAAAAATATATTTTCTAGTAATTATGTTTATGGCAAAACAACATTTGCTGGGTCAGCTACTCTGATATAATATATGACTGACCAACTCACTGGCTATATTCAACCATAGATAGAACCAGTTTATTTTTCAAATCTATGATAAAAACTGAACTGGGAAAATGTGTTATTTATACATTCATAATAGGCAAGATAACAGGAACTAGCAGCCATACTCAATTAAGAGTTAGAATAAATGACAATAATCAGTCCACAACAGTATACATACAAGATAATAGTACTTAAATATTTTCAAAAAATCATCTCATAAAGAGGCAGGACTTAGGCTCAGACTTGTGATAGCCTAAGAATTGGTTGTGATATCTCATGAAGAATTATCAATGACTCACTTCAATCAAGTAACTATTGATTTAATTAGGGCTAATGTTTGTGGACAAATTTTAAAAACTAATACTCAAAGTTGATCAACAGATTTCATGACCAGAAAAAAAAAATAGAAGGAGTAATGGAATTCAAGTGCTGATATATATCATTTCTTTGGTTGGATTTTGATTTAAACATTTTTAAAACATTTGAAAAATTCTTTGGTTTCAAAGGTCAATTATGTTACTGTCCTTTGATAGTTATGACACTCCCCAAAAGGGCAAAGAGCATTCTTCCAAATTGAAGGAAGTTTTATGGTGGATTTATGAACTCAACTAAAGCAAGAATAAACAACTAAATTAAGAATCTTTGGAAGCTGATTGGTCTATTGGTATTATTCAAGTACCTAACCAGTTTCTTGGATTCTTAATTCAATTGTTAATTCTTAGTTTAGTTGAGCCCATCAATCCACCATTAGATATTATAGATTGTTGATAATGTTGGGAACTCTAGATACCTAACCCAGAACATAGAAAATAACAAATACCTATTTTGATTTAAATGGTAGCCAGAATATGAAATGTCAAATTAATCCACTGAATAATATATTATGCCCTCTGAGGTTTTTTGAATTAATTTACCTCAGCTACTGTATTGAATACTGGCAAATCCAGGTGAGTTTTACCACCTTTGCCAGGTGACACTCCTCCAACCATCTTAGACCCATATTCTATGGCTTGTTTACTGTGGAAAGTTCCCTGTTTCCCAGTGAAACCTTGACAAATAACTTTGGTTTGGGCATTGAGTTTCAGATTCTTCCTTGTAGCCTCATAACTATTGAATCTGACTGGATGACCGACTTTGAATCCATCAGCTGAAATATAAGATCAGTAGCTGTGACATAAGAAAAACCTGGAAGTTACAAGTCTGTAGGCTCTAAAAAACACACGACTTCTTCATCATTGGTTAGCTAGATGTGTCATGAATTCTATTTTGGATGGTAGTGCATTATGTAAGTACTTACTGATCACACGGCCAAATATTCTTCCTATGGATACAGCCATCTTTGATTTGTCTAATCGTAGAGGATATTCTGAAATTTGTTAATTATTTGATACTCATTTAAAATATTTCACACCACAGCTCCGGCTCCGCTGATTACAAGAAGTTGCGGTTGCGGAGTTGAGAATGATGGAGGAGGAGCAGCACAGTGCACAGTGTTGCCAACCTATTTTGATAGAAATTCCCTAGCAAGGGTCAAGAAATTCCCATTTTTTTCCAAAATTTTCCCCATATGTTTGTTTTCGTTAGAAGTAGGTACCAAAAGAAAAAAAAGACTACTCCGGTCCATATTCATAATATTTTCCACATTGAATTTGAAAAAATTGCTTTTTTGATACATATCTCAACAGTGCATGACTTGCATCTTGCATGATGAAGAAGAGAAAAACTTCGATAATGAAAATGCTTCTATGCTCGAGAATCGAGTTCTGTGCATGAATCATGAAACGACTGCGGTAATTTTCATGTCAGTCGCCACTGTCGCCAACTTATCTCTGACAAGACCACCGATTGCCACCGAATGATAACTCTATTATGTAGACTGCTATAGTAGTGATAGTAGTCATATCGCAGCCTTGTAGGGTCAGTTGCTCGCCTGAAAACGCTTCTGCTCAATACGCATGAACCTCCAAGCTGTCTTTCATGACTTTGACGTGGTATCGAAGGCTATATTCAGAATTCAACTGGTCAGTAGGTAGTAGGTACTGGTCAGTGAAAATCTGTGTTACGAAATATAATATACCAAAAATACAATGCTGTAAATCGGAACACGTTTTCATAATAATCATCAGTAATCAGCAGCGGTTGATCAGCTGGTGAAATTTGAATATTATTCTCAGCGTCAATTATTTTAGTAAAAGGCATTTTATTCTGATATGAAATATGATATTATCAATTTATCACTGATAAGACGCGACTAAATGTTTGAAAAACATCGGAAATAAATGTGGCATTCCTTCTCCCTCTAAAATAACAGTTCACTGAAGACACTACACTACCTTTCGATAGTCAGCATTTTCAGCAGAATGTTGAATCGAAATATTTGGAATGAATAGTACATCTGCTAAAAGTATCTGTCACTCTCAGTGGATTTTTTTGATTTCAGAATGAAAAATTAGCAGATTCAGTACTGTCAGTTCAATTTCCTAGCAAGGTGGATGGGGTCGACTGAATTGTTTTGTTTCATCAGGAGTCAGCTTGATGAAAATAATATCAGAATTTACTGGTGATATTATCAACCTCACATAGTAGACCCCTCCCAACCTTCCACCTTCGATACGCCTATGTCCCTCGGATTCATGAGTGTAACACTTGAGTCGGTGTACACGACACACGACACAGAACACAGAAACTCAGAACACCAGAGCACTAACATAACATAAGATGGCATAGACAGAGATAAGTTAACTCATCCCTGGTACAGTGGTACAAACTAGCAGCAGGTAGCCAAGTACGGAAATTCCGATATGAGTTTATATCGAGGTTTATATGTTATATTGTTTTCAACAAAAATTCCCATAATATGGAAATATTCCTACGTTGGCATCACTGGAGGAGCGCACAGCTGCGCCGTCGCAGGACCAAAGTTATTTGACAGCGACAAATCACTGATATGACAGCTGACAGCATAGAAAAAATGCATTTCAGATTGTTTGGGAGTTATTTTTTCATTCTAGATTCCTGGGCCGCGATTCTTGACGTTGATAGAGTAGAAGGATCCCTGGGGAGCGCTCCCCGATTTGTTTCTACTCCTTTATATCAAACCAAGAAGTTCGTATTCTTGAGCAAGAGGGAGGGAGCAAAATTATAGCTCCCCGATAGACGGTGTTGCCGCGTGTTGCCAAAGGTGACGACCAATCAGATACGATTATTCTCTGACATTTTGACATTCTACAGGCAAGGTGAAGGGTGAAGGAGAAGGTTGGATGAATATAATTTTTTCCAAGTCAAATCAGTTGCCTCGTTGAATATTTTGTTAGCCGAAACATGCATTTACAAAAATTTCTGATCAGACAACTCAAAAGGGTTTTGTTTGGAAAGTATAACCATACACCAACGACATTTTTTAGTTCATCAACATCCAGAATATCTTCATTCATATGTTTTTTGAATCCAAAGCACAATTGAAATCCCACGAAATATGGAAATTTAAATAAGCTAACCTTTGATCACTGATGAAACTGATGAGAGAGTTGTCATATTTTCATTCAATTTAATGGCAGGGAGCCAATCAGAAGCGTTCCCGGTTTGGTTCTCTTAAAAATCTTGATAGATGCATTAGTAACTCCCTAGGGAACGCTCCTCTTGTGTTATTCAGTTCAAGAATACGGTTTTCAGTTTCGGACAGTGGACACGCCTACTTTCTCTCGATTGTTCTACTCCCCGATTTTCAAGAATCGCGGCCCTGAAAGATAATGGCTCATTCCCTCATTCCCAGATATGTGAATATTTCTTCTCTTTCTCGTTTCCTGTTCAGCACCTGGAAGATTCCATTAATGCTGGTAGGTAGCTTCAAGGCGGTTAAAATAACGCTGAACGTGAATCAAGTCACTGCTTATTTTATAGTCACCAGCCCATAAGGTGCAAAAAGCGCAACTATTACGCTTTTCTGTTTCGGTTTGCGCCATTGTGAGTTTTCGGAAAAAGTTGCACTTTTTGACACTACAACAATTTTCATTGCACGCATACTCAATATAGTGTCATTCTGAAATGTTGCAATTTTTCGTGCATTGCAGGAAATGGGTCGTGGACGTTTCGGTATTTCATACATCATTTATGCATCAGTATAGATGAAGAATTGGAAACTGTAAAGCTGCTCTAAAGACTATAACGTGTATTAATTGCATAGCTAACGCTGTTGATTGATATTTTAGCTGATGATTGATATATTTTACGACTACGCTGTTAACGATTTTGGATAATCCTTCAAAAATCTCAGAATTGTGTGCCAAAATTGCCCAAGCAGTGAACTACAGTAAACAAGTAAACATGCTTCATGAGCAAAATAAAAATAAACACCCACGTCAAAGAATATAGGCCTCTTTGCCCACGTCGCTGTGCTCTGCTGCTGTGCAGGGTTGCCGTCTTAACGGTTTTGTCACTAAATCTAGAGTGTCTATAGAGTAGATGAATGCGACATTTCAACTTGATTTGTGACGTGTCGGAATTCCAGCGTTTCGAGATAGTTATAGCGGTTTTAATGGAGATATTCTGATCACATGAATTTGTAACGACAAATATGAATTCACATTGAAACATTCGACACGAGATGAGCAGAGAAGAATATGACAGATGACAGGTTTTGTTATCATCATTTGTGCCACTCCTTCCACACCATTAGTATAATATTTTGTCTATTCGATATGGTTTAGAAAATTAAAATGCTTGTGTGAAACCTTTCATTCTTCCTACATCGTTATTGAAACTTATTGGAACCTATGTGACATAACTTGACTAATAACAATGAAGTCGCAGATCTGACTGATGTGGAACAGCTAGAAATATGAGTTGTTATGGTATTACAGGTTGATTAACAAGTGATTTGTCTAAAGAAATACTTCAAATACGTCCGAGGAACATATTTTGTGATTCACCAATGTACATACCAGTAGCAATAGCACGGAATGAGATGTTATAGGAAAATTAATATATTTTTTTATGAAGAGAGAGAGATTGTCCAAGTCATTTCCATAAACTGTGGTGTAGATGTCTTGGAGAATTTTTCTTCCTCCAATTACCACACCACTCTACTCTGAGCACTATAAACTTCTACACACATTTTTTTTGTTTTTTTTCTTTCTAATCTGAATAAACAAGGCTTTCACGATTTTCAATCTGATTTCAAAACCTGCCTGGAAATGAGGAAAGATGATGGAAAATATCGCTAACTCACGGAAAAAAGTCGCTGAATTTTCAAAAATTCTACCTGCGGAGGGCTCTTTGTTCGCTTTACAGTGACTGCATTCAACACGTTGACGGACACCTATGTAAATAAGGTGTCTGGTCAGCACAGGGCACTTTGGTTTTTTGCCGAATTCGAACTAATATTAGGCCCAAAAATAATGTGAGAATGAAGGAAAAAATTGCTTTGCATTTTTTTTACACAAAACACAGAACGACTCACCTACTTGGATACTTTACACCATTCTACGTTTAAAATCGACCGTCTACCCCGTTGGTGCCTCACAAATGCGAATAATACAAGGACGGCATAGGTTGCCGAAAATATTGAGTGTCCCTGCCAAGGGCAGAGACATCGACGGGCATATCTGGCGGTGTTCGTCAACGTGTTAACATTCGCTTTACGTTCGCTTCGCTCGCTAGCGACTTCTAGCGGTTTTATTCGTAACTTTCTGCGACATTTCATGTTCAGCAGCTGGCAACACTGCCGCTGTGTCACTATGTCATTTTGATTTTTTGACAGAAGAGAATTTTGTTATTTCAATTTGAAAAAGAAAATTCGAATTTCAAATTCTCAAATTAATTTCTCTAATATTTTATAGCAATAATGGGTGACATGGGGCCAGGAGAATATTTTATTTGTGGTGGTTTTGGTGGAATATGTACAGTATTGGTTGGACATCCCTTGGATACAATAAAAGTAAGTGAACATTCAGCATGATAAATTAATTGATAGATATCTCAAGTTGAATATACTTTATTATTTCGATTGTTCAAGCAGTGTCGAATATATGCACTCATTTATTAAATTCATTTCAATGAGCTAAATTCGAGGATCCTACCTAGAGGATACTATTCATTGAGCTATGCATAGTTTTTATGTTTCTCAATACCTACCTATCCAGCTACCTATAGTCTGTTCATTTAAATGTATTGATAAATTATAATTTAATGACGAAGCTCACAATAATGAGACTAAAAATACATGATCATATGTTACTATGCTGTCATAAATATATGTTTGGTACTAAATTTTCTTGAAAAAAACATACAACATGCCCAAACGAACATGTTCCCTCTCTTAACAGGTCAGGTTGCAAACTATGCCGGTAGTCAAAGCTGGTGAAACACCTTTGTACACAGGAACCATAGACTGCTTCAAAAAGACTGTGCGAAATGAGGGTTTCAGGGGACTGTACAAGGGTATGGGAGCTCCCTTGGTAGGGGTGGCCCCCATATTCGCCATTTCCTTCATGGGCTTTGGCGTAGGAAAACAAATTTTCGGCCCTGCCAATGGAAAATTGACCCACCTGGAATACTTCGCGGCCGGGGCATTTTCCGGCATTTTCACCACTCTCATAATGGCGCCCGGGGAAAGGATCAAGTGCCTGTTGCAGATCCAGCAAGGAGCTAATATGCCCAAAGTCTATGATGGGCCAGTAGATTGTGTAAAGAAACTGTACAAGCAGGGTGGCATAGCAAGCATATACAGAGGAGCTGGAGCAACTTTGCTTAGAGGTGAGATTTACCAAGGGAGAAAGTACAAAAAACTATGGATGTCTCTTTTGAGAGTATATCCATTTGGTATATCCATTGAATCTGATCAAACTTCCTTTTATTGAGTAAGGTGAAGGGGGGGGGCAGACTGAAAGCTATTGAACTGAACATTCTGAATATCTCATTTCTCATACTAGAGTCTCGAGATCATACCCGTGTGTTCACCGAACACGCCCGATCGTTCCCTAAGCGAGGGGGAAACGTAAACGGGCAGCAGTAACTACGTTATGAATATTGGCGCGTGCCTGAATTATTTTGGAGTCAAATTTGTCGATTTAATGTACTTCGAAACGGAACACTATCGTAGTTGTGCCTTCTTGTTTTACATATATTATAGCTAGACATCAAATCAATAAACATAGTGCTCTCGCCATCGGTATTTGCTGAACTTCGCTATGGGAAAAATGTTGAATAACTATATTGGGATGAAGAATGATCTATACAAGGTGTATCTAAATAACACCGAAATAATTCAAGGGATGAATCCTTGTGATATAATATGATGAATAAAGGTAATAAAAACATGTGTCCTAAACTTGCTTCGTTTTCGAGGTACAGGGTTACGTCCTGATTTCGAATCCGAAGTGATTTTCAACCTATATCTTGCCTCCTAATATCATTTTCCGGAAATGTTGGTGGGTCCATGACCAGAGCAGTGTTTTTCACTGAAGATTACCTCACTTTGGTCATAGTTGGTATATATATCTATCGCTCCTTAAAATTGAACAGTTACGTTAGATATATGGGTTGATATTCCATATTCCATTATAGAAGTGACATGCACCTTGTTTATATTTTTAAATACATCCAGTGGGATTGAATTTTATTTTATGATGAATAGTAGACTGTGTTTTTTTATGTGATATATTTGTTTTGTTTATTTCAAATATATATATTTTTTTAGTAGGCATATACTAGTACTTCTTTTATATAATTCTGAAATCTGATCCACCCTGTATTTGTTTAAATGGCATCAGTAGATAGTGAATAGAATGTTAGGATAGGGACACATGTAAGCCATTTTGACAAATCAATATAGGTATCGTATAGTTTCGATTAAAAAAAAATCTCGATTTTTCACATTCTACGTATAGGTATATCAACGAAATCATAGCTCGATTAGAAGAATCGAAAAATGTAATAAAATATAAGGTGTTCCATATTGAATAACAAAGCTGCTACTATATACTATACTACTAAGTACTACATAACTACTAATAATAATTTCTAGTGAAGCAGATGAACATTATCGAAAATAATTTGAATAGAACGAGCGTCCTCGCCAACAAAACATAAGCATATAATACCTATGTACAATTGTACATATAGTTTCATGATTTTCGATGAGTGGTTCGCTATTTACATGTAGGACTCGTCGTGACATAGCCTCGGACATAGCGAATTATTGCAAATCAAATCATCGCCTTCATTATCTGATAGGTCGCAGTAGATCACTTGATGCCTAATAAATGTTTCTTATTTATTCAAAAAAAAAATGTTGAAATGTGATCAAGAAAACTGTTGGTGGCCCACCCCGTACTACAAAAACAAAGACAGCATGAGAGAAGCTGCCTGCCCACTCATTGTATCATGACTGCCTGCTTACGTCTCGGTCTCCCCACCGCTTAGGTAACGATCGAGCGTGTTCGGTGAACACACGGGTATGATCTCGAGACTCTTGTTTTCTCATTAGTCAAAAAACTTCAATTCAGAACATGATGATTTGAAATTGACAGGTAATATGAACTGCATAGTACAGGAAGCACAAAACTCAAATATTCTTGGACGGAAAACAATAATAACATTTCACTGATATTGCACATTGAACTTTTGTCTGGTTCATTTCGGCAATGTTGATATTTCAAAACAGGGATTTTGCAATCGGCCTACTATAGCGTACTAGACAGAGTAAAATGGTGCTAGATCTAGTACGAAAGTACTTGGTCTGGCAACGCTGGAAATCGCCATCAGTGGTTAAATTCAGAGACAAAAATGTCTTCCCCATCTTTCCTTGTCTAATGAAAATTGTATGTTGGTGACATTGAAAATGAGAAGAAATGGAGAAGGAGACCATTCTAACCTTTTTTATATTGAGGTTAACAAGAAAGTCTTCCATTTTTTCTTGTGTCCAATGTTGCAAAGAGAACATTTTTTTATTTTACATTGGAACACTGAAGACAAGGATAGATGGGGAAGACATATTCTCAATCCAAGCTATCCCTGATTTATACATTTTTCCAGACAGGGATTGGTCAAGATTTATTAACTTCTAATAGAGTTAAATAGCCTTAGGGATAGGTGACTTCATATCTTCAAATGGGAATGTTACCAACTGAGATTGTTTAACTGGATAGGTGGCCTCAAAACTCTCCAGCAAACACTGACATCACTCTCCCTGCCCATTTGAATGTTCTAATAAAATGATGATTTATAGCAAGAAATCAGCATGCTATGAATAAATGAAGTGTGAACAAATTTCAGAAGTAATTCCTTGTCAAATTACAAAATACAGGGTGTCCCGACATTATATAGAAATATTTCAACCACAGATTCTAGCAACAACTATTGTAAAAGAAGTTCATATAAACATGGGTACAGAAAAGGCCCCCTGAGGGTTATAGTCATCTGGAGGGGAGCCCGAGATGATGATTTTTTGTAAATATTTTCGAAAATCTATATAATAAAATAACCAAATTTCGTACATGTGCCTAACTGTTTATGCCCAATTATAAAATGTTGAGAATTTTCCGAAATTTTGATCAGGGGCACGGGAAACAGGTGGGGCAGGTGCACTTTTTTCCTCAACTTCTTTGTTTATGCAATTTTTGGCAGTTGGACCAGGAAATATGAGATTTTATCTTTTTAACTCAAAAATGGTACTCTATTAAGAAAATTCCTCGGAAAATATACTATTTTTATTAAGCAGACTACTTTGAGAAACGATTTATCTTAAACAAGACTACCAATTTTGAGTAAAAATGAAGAGATTTTCATACTTAATGGTCAAACTTCCGAAAATCGCATAAACAAGAAAGTTGGGAGAAAAACTGTCCCTAGCCCTACATTTTTCCACGCCCCTGATCAAAACTTTGGAAAGTTCCTCACATTTGCAAATCGGGCATAAAAAGTTAAGTTTGTATGTATTACATTATATAAAATTTTATTATCTCATCACAGGGGGTTTAAATGCACTTTTTTTGCAACTTTTTTCCTAAAATCTGTGGTTGAAATATTTCTATTCAATTTCGGGACACCCTGTAAAAATTTCATGTGAATATGTGTGCCTTTTATTCCTTGGTTTTTGTGATACAGGGTGTTGAAGTAGGAAGTACTGATTGTTTTTTCATGATCATCTTGTATAATGATACATTTCAAGCTGGTTGGTGATTGTCAAAATTTCATTTCAAAATATGTGTATATACAGAGTGACCCATTTGAAAGCGGGACACCCCTGTATCTCACGTAATCGTTGGGTAAGGATCATGAAATTTGCTGGAGCGAGATATATACCAAAAATGCACTCTATGACCAAGTGGGGTCATCTTCAGTGATATACACTGCTCGCCAACAGCCATGGAACCACCCCAATTTCTGGAAAATGATATTAGGAGTCAAAATAGGTTGAAAATCACTTCGGATTCGGAATCAGGACGCCCAATTTACTAACTCTTCATATTTTTCCTTGAAAATTTTCAGTTCTGAAAAATTAAATTTTGTCGCACTTTTCACGGAAGCACCCCCGTATCTCACGTAATTATTGAGGTAGGGTTCTAAAATTTGCAGGAGGAACGGAAAGTCCAAAGATAAAGTCAATTACGTGAGATACGGGGGTGCTTCCGTGAAAAGTGCGACAAAATTTAATTTTTCAGAACTGAAAATTTTCAAGGAAAAATATGAAGAGTTAGTAAATTGGGCGTCCTGATTCCGAATCCGAAGTGATTTTCAACCTATTTTGACTCCTAATATCATTTTCCAGAAATTGGGGTGGTTCCATGGCTGTTGGCGAGCAGTGTATATCACTGAAGATGACCCCACTTGGTCATAGAGTGCATTTTTGGTATATCTCTCGCTCCAGCAAATTTCATGATCCTTACCCAACGATTACGTGAGATACAGGGGTGGCCCGCTTTCAAATGGGTCACTCTGTATGCACAGTTTTATATGGAAATATGAGAACAAATATTACTCTCTGAAATATTTCACACTTATTCATTCAAGAACAACATATAGGATCAGATATATCGGACAGGTGTGATGATGCCATGATCGTGCGACCTTGAGGCAACCTGTCTAAGCTACCTACCAACATTGTTCACTCATCAGATTTACAATTCAGTTTCTATTAGTTAAAGTATTTAATATCGAATGAACATGGAATATATACATGCTGTTTTAGTTTGTTTTCTTCAAGAGAAATATATTAAATAACATTACTAATATCGTTATTTATTTGCTTCATTCTTCTGTGTACTTTCCTGAAGCGTTTCCGATATCTTTTAACTTCAATATTTTTCACCGTACTGTTCTGAACATTCTTGATATAATTGTCCTTAATGACATCACCATCAATTGGCATTTCCTCCGGCATTTCTATACCTGGCTTACTCAGCAGCTGAGATATATTTCCATCCAAAGGATACTCATTGTATTTCTTCATTTTATATTTGAGTTTCTCTAGTTTCGTCATATTCCGAAAAGCTACCGTAGCGGACGGTTGCGTCGAACTCTGCACCTGAGTCCGGTCGTCCTCACCAACCACCGAGTGTTTCCTCAACTTGGGCTTATAATCAGCGCATTTTAGGATCCTCCTCATCGCATGGAACACGTTCCAGTTGACGAACTGGCTGGGCTCCGAACACTTGGGCGCCACCTTATTATCGTACACGTATCTGACGCCGAAACGGCTCTTCGTCGTACAAGCCACCCCCTTGTCGCCGGTGTAGTCGCAGGGTTGCAGGATCCTCTGCCTCACCTTATAATAATAACAATATTTTTATCGCTGTACAAATCTATAAAGACAAAAGCAACGTCAATAAATGTAACCACTAATAAAAAGACATTAAGAACGATCAGAAAAAAAAGGAGCAGTAGGGAAGAATTATTTCCAACAATTAAAATCATATTCACATTTTCTCTTTTAGAAAACAAATGACTGAACCCCTAAATATTGCTGGATTTTTAATGTCACTGATTTCTGTTGGTAATTTGTTGTAGGCCTGTATTGCTCTATAATAGTGCAATGTTTATTTTTTTGGAAAAAAATCAGTTAGCTGAATGTTGTGGAATACTCAGATTATTTCTGTTACATGTGATCATGTCCATACTAGATGTGTATTCATCCGAATTTTTGTTTAACAAATATTCATGTTTTTTTTTTCACAAAGACTACCAATAATAGATAAAACAATGAGGGTACAGTAAGCAGTCCATGTTTTATCAAAAACTATCTACATGAGGTATTATATTGCAATCCAAGAATGAACCTCAGGATACGTTTTTGTAATATTCATGAATATGAATATGTTGTTAGCATGAGAGCCTGAACCCCAGAACAATATTTCATAGGAATAGAAATAACATATTGCACATGCGCAAAATAATAAAGTTTTAGGCTGTTTACTGATACGTGTTCTCTTAATTCTTTATGACCTTACAAATTGAGGCTAATTTAGAGGCTAAGCGATTTATATGGTTATCCCAGTTCAAGCTACAGCCAATAATCATGACTAGAAATTTGTTAGACTTCAGTATGGGAATAGATCTATGTTCTATTTTGACATATGGTGATTCTGTACTGTTCATGGTAAAATTAACTACATACGGCTAGCGACACGGATTCCACTTTGCTCTGAGACTTCCGAACATTGAGAATTTCTGGTCACTGAGTGGTCAACGTTATGCGCATACGGAAGTCTCAAAGCCAAGTGTAATCCGCTAGAAAACTAACCTAACATGACCTAACCTTGTTTATTGTCAGAGGTTTCCAGTCGCTCATCGCGCATGAGCAGTGCCAGGGATTGTCGGTCAGGCGCAGCAGCTTCGGGTGGATCTTCGAAAACACGTTGTGGGCCAGCTGTTTGAAATTGTTGCCGTTCAGGTAGAGCTCTTTAATGCCGGTCAAGTGATCGAAGGCGCCTGGCGGGATGTACTCCAGGAGGTTCCTCGAGAGATCCAAGAGGCGCAAGTCTTGCAGGCCCATGAACGTGTCCATGGAGATGTTTTTTATTTGGCAGTTGGCGAGCGCGAGTTTCTGGATTTTGGGCACTTCCAAGAAGGCGTCGTACTCAAGCTCGGTTATGTTGCCGGTGAGGGCTAACTCTCTCAGCGCGTGCATTCCGCTTAAGAGATCTCTCTTGAGTAGCGCCAGTTCCACATTTTTCAAAGTCAACTTCTCCAGCTCATTCAGTCCGAGAAAGGAATTCGTGATTAAACCGAGCGGGATAGCGTCACTGCCTATGACCAAAGAGTTGGTGGTGTTCATGACCTCGAAGGTGTTGGGGAATACCAGACCGATAGGGTTGTCCGCAAAATTGGCCAGTTTCAGCTTGGGGAAAGGAGGTAGCGACAGCTCCGATAACTGTGTGAAATTGTTGAATGACAGATCTATGTACTCGAGCTGCAAGAGACCAGCCAAATCGGTTATCTGAATGTCCAGTAGCTTGTTGTGAGACAAGGATAGAGTTTTGAGGTTAGGCGTGCCGTAGAACGCGAAGGGGGGGATGAATCGCAGGTTGTTCTTTTCTAGGATCAGATACTGGAGTTCTGAGAGGCCGTCAAACATTTCCCAGCTGATGCTGTTCAACTCGCAGCTGGTGATTCTCAGAAGCAGTAAAGCTTTGAAGCCTATGAACAACGGGGGATCGCCGTTCTTTTCTTTTTGTTGTTTGAAAACTTCGTAAGGAACGATCTCCTCGTCGTTGGTGCTTCTTTGTACCATAGTCAAGTCGTGGGGATTACCATCGACTTTATGGACGTATTCGAACGTGACGTCTTCTTCTTTCACTTCCTTCAAGAACTGTATTATCTGCTGCTTGGAGTTTCTTATCAGGACCCTCTCTAGATTCAGGAATTTGAGTTTCGGGATGGCAGAGTCGATTTCGCAGATGAGGTGACTGTTTGATGTCCGGCTTTTCAGGTTGGGGCCTATCAGCTCCAAAGCTAGCAGCTGCGGGAAGATAGGCAAGTCGCTGAATTTCACAGTCTTGTTGCCCGATTCGAATCCTTTGATAATTGTTAGGCTTTCGATGTTTTTAGGAAGGTCTTCGAGCAGTTTCACGGCTTCTGTTTCCGTTTGAAGGATGCACGTTGCTGATCGTATGATCGCCGATCCGTGTTCCTCGAGGAATTCTATTGTATCTTCGTTTTCTTCGTATAGTACCTGAAGCAAAATATATGTTCAGTCATAATCACTGCAGGACTTGCGTGAAATTCAAGAATGGTCGAAATATCTCAGATTTTGCATAGATTTGATAGCCAGGAAAAAAACATACAGGGCATGAAACGAAACAGAGGCTCATCTGTAGGGCGCCAGAATCAGATTATAATAAAACACTGGAACACGTTACCTACATTTTCAAGGAGAACATCGTTCTAAAGTATATCCAGCGCTGCGGCGTTGCCGCTTCTGTTGAAAAGTGGCAACAACTTTCACTTCTTTCACTTTTTTATTTCAAATTGAATACCCTGTATCATATTGCATTTTTAGATTCTCCCTGAAGAGCTGCTTTCATCAATGTATCACAATTGGGGTCTAGCTGGAATTATTACATAGGGTGTTCAAAATCGGGATTATTCAACTTTAGGGTTTTTTTGTGTCAAAACTATCCATTATTGATAAAAACGGCTCTCATGCCCCTAACTTTACTTCCGATTTTCTATACCTACTGACATTTAATTGGAACACATACAGGGTGGTTCAAGATTCAAAATTCTGTTAACCCTGTATCTGTTCCAATTAGATGTCAGTAGATAGTAAATCAACAGTTGAGACAGGGACATGAGAGCCGTTTTGACCTATAATGAATAGTTTCAACACAAAAAATCCTAGAGTTGAAAAATCTCGATTTTGAACCCTATCTACACTGTAATCATCCCAGCTAGACCCCAAGTGTGAAAAATCGATGAAATCGGCTCTCCAGGAAGAATCTGAAAATGTATGTATTCCATTGGAAATAACAGAGTTATTGTTAGTTGTAGATAGAAGTGGCAACGCCGCAGCGCTGAAAATATTTTAGAACGATTTCCTTCTCCAAAAAGTAGTTGAAGTGTTCCAGTGTTGTTTTATAATTCGGTTCTGGCGACCTACAGAGCCCCTGTTTAGTTTTCGAATGGCCAAGAATTCCATAGAAAATTAAATTTCTATGGAATTCGTCATACTCACATCGTTATTTTCCACTGAACCCATTTCCTCGGAAACCGACCCATCTTTCTGTTTTTGCATGAATCTGTAAATGGCCGTTTCTGTCAGATGTTCTAACCGGCATGTACATATTGACGGGCAGTTGTTGGCCTCCTGTGTCCATAGCCCATTGGCCTGAAAAAAGGTCGTTACAATTTTGATAGCCTGCTTCCTTCATGGAAACGGATGGAGAATTTGTTTTCCTTCAACCATATTCTAGCCAGGAGGGGTTTGAAAACTGAACATGGTTCAGTGTTGTTTTTGTTTTATAGTTCAGATTTTTTTTAAATTAGAATATATTATGTAACATTAACGCTGTCGGTTTAAGCAGCATTGAATTCATTTTTTCAGCAAAGAAAACAGTCAAAAGGAAGAAAATGGCAACGTCACGTCAACTTCAAATTATAGTCTTCTAATTTGGAATGGTATCCGAATATTCATGTTTCCACATATATCTTTTTTCACATTTTCATATACCATCCAACAAGTTGACGACAGTGTTCCAAATACAAATATTAATGAAAAGGAATATTCTCAGATAAATTATGAACATACAAAAATGGATATATATTTATATAAAGCAATACATTGAGAATTCGCATTCTCTATGTGATGAGATTATTTACTCTTTCTCAGTTGATTCCATAGAAAACAACTACTTTCCTGGCTATATGCCACGACGAACATTGAATTATATCTATTGAACACACACGATAAGAGTTTGAAAATAAAATATAAAAACTTCTGAAATTGAGAATTTGCATTCTCCTTCAGACAAAAATATGTATATGCACACATCATTCTGAATATTCAACAGAAAACAACTACTTTCCTGGCTATTTGCCTCGTCGACCATTGAATTATATCTGATGAACATTCAAAAGGAGAACATGAAAAATAAAGAATAAAATCCTCCGAAATCGAGAATAGATATAATTCAATATTCGTCGTGGCATATAGCCAGGAAAGTAGTTGTTTTCTATTGAATCAACTGAGAAAGAGTAAATATTCTCATCACATAGAGAATGCGAATTCTCAATGTATTGCTTTATATAAATATATATCCATTTTTGTATGTTCATAATTTATCTGAGAATATTCCTTTTCAACACTTTCATACCCAAACTTGAACGATGGAAACTTGTGATTTTTATAGACCTCTAATCGCAGATTCGTGATAGAGTCTCAATTCAGAATTTCTCTCCACGCCCTGTATGATGAATGTCAATTTATCATACACCCAAAAACAAATATTAATAATCGGTTTTATTCAATTCGGAAATCAATCGAAGAATTGCGAGTGGTCGAACTGCGTACATGCATCGTATCTCCACAATTTTCAATCAAGAATACAATTTTCAAACCCAAAATCCTTCGAAACGTCGACTTTTTCATTTAAAAAGTAAATAAGGATTAACTTATCCGGTAAATCGTTTTTGTTTGCAAAAAATATTGAATAGTATTATAAAATTAAGGGAAATTGAAAAAAAAAAACAAAAATAAATCTACAGACTTGCCCTTAGCAAACCACTTGAATTACTTGATCAACTTTGAACGATCCAAAGATTAATTTATTAAACTATGAAAAGTTTATGAAATTTAGCCAAAAGCGTTATCTAATTATTAGTTGAAGGAAATTTTCTTGAAAACCTTTCTGTAACTTAAACAAAGAAAATGTAAATACCCAAGTGCTTCTCGATTTAGACCCACTGGTTAGAGTCGATATGCACCACCCTTCTTTAGTTGTAAATTTTGAACTTAATTTTGAATCTAAAAATGTGTTCACGCCGAATATGTCAGTCACAATTTTCGAAAAATTGATAATCAAAGTTTGTTCAGCTGTTCAACGAAGTAGATCGGGATTTCATAAAAACAACATCTGATGTGAATATAGCTTGTGAAAAATTCAATGCAGTCACTCAAAATATAATTCATCAATGCGCCCCTCTCCAAATCAATAGAACACACGAATATCACAAAATGTATAGAAAGTTCCAATATCAATTTTATCACCGATACAGATACATGAGACGAATAGTTGAACGAGACATAAATCTGGCATACTCTGAATTCAAAGACATCGAAAAACAACTTGACAAAACATCCCCGTGGGTTCTGGTTCTTTCTGAATTAAAAAAAAAATCACGCATCCCTGGACAAATGTTTTTTAATGATACGAAATTAACATCGCCGCAATCTATTGTCAATGCGTTTGCAGATCACTTCAGCACTGTATACAGTGACAGTGTGTGCCCCACTTACCATGCTCACCATGGGTATCTTTTTAATTCCATAACTCCGATCAACTTGAAATTTGGCAGGTGTTCATGATTTCGGTGACAATACATTATGGAATATTTGTTGAAATTAAAAAAAAATGGCTGCTCCAAGATGGCGGACAAGATTTGGTCCGATTCCATTCAAAATTGGTAAGTGGGGGTTTTTGAAGTCGGAGATTATGATTTTTTTGTTAAAATTCATAAATTCAAGATGGCGGCGTCCAAATAATTATTTTGTTTTTGTATAAATGATGATAACTCCGTTGTTATCAACACAAAACTATTACTGCGACATATCATCTGTAAGAGAAAAAAAAGTTATTTGTAACTAAGTCATAGTGAGCTTTGACCTACATTTGAAAAACTAAAGTTGGTGCTGATATCTCAAATTCTAGAAGAGTTGGTAAAAATTTCTTATATTTTTCGAATCACTTTGAAAAACTGCCATGAGAATGTGAAATTCCTATTTGAATATTTTTATGAATAAAGAAGTTACGGAGGAGACATGAAAATGATCAAAATCTGTTTTTTGCGTATAAAACAAAAACGAATAGATTTTATCAAAATATTTTTTTCACATTATAGTTGGCCTTGACAAACTCCACATTTGGTGTCATTCAACCGACCTCGTATCTCTCACCGTTAAAAAGATACCCATGGTGAGCATGGTAAGTGGGACACACTGTATAATATGTCTCTGATAAGGATTCTTTAAATGATACCACTACTGAAAATGCCAGCATCTTGAATAATGCTCTCTGTATATCAAAGATATTCCTGATGACCTCATTCTCAGAGCAGCAAAAAAGTTGAAGAATAAACTAACATGCGGGCCAGATAATATTCCTGTTAGATTAGTTAAATCTCATGTAGAAATCTTCTGTCGTACACCTATTGTTTTACAATCATATTTTGAAAACCGAAACTTTCCCTAACATCTGGAAACGTCCCGTGTTTGCCTTATATTCAAATCCGGAAATATTGCTGATATAACTACAGACCCATCGCACTTATTTCAGTTTTCTAGAAACTATTCGAAATTATTCTATTCGATGTCATTTACTCTCATGTTGGTCACTTTATCAGAGTTCCAACATGGATTTATGAAATCTCAAACCTATGCACGTTCACTCAGTATATATCAAACTCACTCGATAATCGTCACCAAGTGGTTGTTGTGTATGCAAAGCCTTCGACAAAGTTTCTCATAAACAGCTTTTACAAAAATTAGGTAATTTTGGTAATTTTCCAAATCGATGTCCGAAATTCACATCACTTCAATAGTCCAATCACATCAATGTGTAGAAGCCTAAATAATGTGCCGTCTTTAGATATACTTTTTCCAAATTTAATTTCAGAAAGCAAATGTACACTCTTATTCCAAACTAGTTATATCTTTTTTTCTACCTCATTTTCATCTGTTCACAGTATCTTCACCTACTGATCAACTGCTCAAATTATTGTAATTATTTCATGCAGCTCGGAGATATGTCCGTTCCTTCCAACTCATCCTGTACAATAATCAACCCCGGTATTGCTAAAGTAGCTATGAATTTTGTGTTCTGATTTTCACAAATAATATCCTAAGCTAAAGGTAGTTCATTGAAATGTAGAAGGGCGATTTTTTGATGATTTTTTGATCGATTTCAAAACGTTAAAATCGATTGAATAGATTATTTTATGTTGTGGGCTCACATTTCAGCAGAAGGGCCACGTTCACAAAATTATTTCATGGACTCTAATCTGTGACACCCTATATTGAATAAGCGATAAAAAAATAATTTTGCATGGATTACTTACTTCCAAAAATAAACTCATTAACGTACACCACAGGGCCAACAGATATCTCGACATTGTTGGTCAACTGCACACACACTGTTGTAGTAACATTGATACTAGATAGGATGCACATCCCACTCATTTCCTGACGCTTGAAAAATGTTTATCTTCGAACAGATTCGGCCAACAGTCGAGGAATTTTTAAGAAATCGAGTCCATCACCGTTGCTAGCCCTGGAAATTTGTTAAAATTTTGAAAATAAAATGAATTTCTATTTTTAAATAAATAATTGTTGTAAATAACGTATATTGCTCATTTTGAATGGCATACCCTGTATATTTTTACATTGCTCAATAGCTCATTGAATTTCCATGTTAATTCATGTTAATCAGACCAATAAAAGAATTCTATGATATATACAGGGCGTGTGTTGTACAAAAATTTCCATACAAGAGCATAATAGAGTCTAGTTTATAAAAAAATTTGAATGCCATTTTCCGGAATCAATTCAAAAATAAATACACCTCGGTACACACCAATGCCCTGAATTTTATGAAATATACAGGGTGGGCCACCAGTAACGCCTCGGTCTCTAGAAGGTAACCACTCATCTTCTTGGAATTCTTCCTCTCTAGGAAGTTGCATGTCATCATTTATTATTTCAAACATTTTTAATGAAACACCCTATGAATTTTTGCATTTTGAGATTCTCCCTGAAGGGTTGATTTCAACGTTTCATCATACTTGGGGTCTAGCAATGATAATTACTGAGATATAGGGTGTGAAAAATACTGGGTGGTTCAGAATCAAGATTTTTGACCACCCTGTATCTATTTTAATAAAATACCAATCGATAGTTGATAAAAACTTGAGATAGGGATATGTGAACCATTTTGACCAATTATGAATAGTTTCGACACAAACAATCCCTGAACTTGAGAAATCTCGATTTTTCTCCCCCTTTATCTCAGTAATTATTACTGCTAGACCCCAAGTACGATGGGTCGTTGAGATCAGCTCTTCAGGGAGAATCTCAAAATAGAATAATATATGGGGTGTTCCAATAAAAAAAGTATAACTTCAGTGGATTGCTTTTTTTGGGGACGACCTGTATTTTTTTTTTTTTTTATCGCTTGGAGCGCACGAGAGGGAATCCCTATAATGTTCAAAGAACATCGTGCGTTCCTAGGGAGGATAGGGACAGGAGGTAGGTATTGGAATTTTTTTTGAACTTTTGGAGATTATATGTTGTTGGGAACACTTCCACAGGCAATGAATTCCAGAGCCTAGCCGTTCTATGGATGAAGGAGTCTTGATAAAGTGCTGTTCGACATCTTTCGAGGTGGACAACGAAAGGATGTGCTGACTGGGCTTGTCTAGTTCGTCTGATTGGTATTGCTAATGAAGGGATGATAGCAGAGATTTCCGAAGAACATTTCCCGTGGAAGTATCGATAGAAAAGTGAAAGGTCGCCGACCTTTCTACGGTGTTCTAATGATGCCAAAGAGTGAGTGAGTGTGGCGTCACCCACCAGGCGAATGGCTCTTCTCTGGATGGAATCTAAGAGCATCAGCGTATGTTTTGGTGCTGAACCCCATATGTGGGAACAGTATTCTAGAACAGGCCGTATCTGCGCTTTGTAGATCATGAGAAGCTGTTGAGGTGTAAAGTAGTTTTTCGCACGGAACAAGAATCCGAGTTTTTGGGAAGCAGCTTTTGCGATGGATCTGACATGATTATCCCATGAAAGAGTGTTGCTGATGGAAATACCGAGCATGGATATGGTGGGCTTGGTGGGGATGGTGGAGCCAGACATTACAATATCGGGCATACTGAGTTGCGCCTTTCTAGAGAAAATGCAGGCTTGAGTTTTGGTGGCGTTGAATTCAACTAGGTTGTTTGTTCCCCAGGCTGTGATTTCAGCAAGATCTTCATTCACAGCATTGACCTGCCTGCGCCGTGAGGTCTTAGTTTCCTGGGAAGAAATGGGAATTCTGGAAGAGAAAGCAGTATGGAGGGTACTATCATCTGCAAAGCTGTGGATGGGGCAAGTTGTTACTCCCAACAGATCATTGATATGAAGCAGGAATAATGTTGGTGCCAAAATTGATCCTTGTGGAACGCCGGAATTGATGCCAATGGTATCAGACGATACACCGTCCACTACCACGTGAAGCGATCTGCCTGAAAGAAAACTCGATATGAGATGGCATAGCTGAGGTGGTAAGCCGTATGATGGTAGTTTGTGGAGGAGTCCTTCGTGCCAAACACGGTCGAATGCTTTCGATATGTCCAACGCGACAGCTAGAGATTCATCGTGTTTTTCTATTGAAGATTGCCATAAATGGGTGACGTAGGCAAGTAGATCTCCAGTAGATCTTCGGTGGCGAAAGCCGTATTGTCTATCATTGATGATTCCTGAGCTCTCCAGATATTTGATAAGCTCAATATTGATGGCTTTCTCCATCACTTTGGAGATTACTGATAACAGGGCAATGGGCCTGTAGTTGTTGGGCAGGTTCTTGTTCCCTTTTTTGGGGATTGGTTGGACTCTAGCTGTCTTCCAGCATGATGGAAAAATACCCGACCTGTACGAGATGGTAAACAACTTGCAGAGAATCGGTGTTAATTCTGGTGCACATTTTTTGAGGATAATGGGTGGAATTCCATCAGGACCGTTAGCTTTATTCGTTTTGAGACCAAGCAAAATTCGTCTGATAGTGCGTTGACGGAAGACGATTTCGGGCATTCGACTCTCAACGGGTGGAATGTCTGGCGGCACTTTTCCTTGGGAATCTAAAGTAGAGTTTGCTGCGAAAATTTCTGCAAAAATATTCGCTTTCTCCTGCGATGTTGTTGCTAATGTGCCGTCGGATTTGGACAGTGGTGGAAATGAACTGTTAGTGAAATTTCTTCCGACCGCTTTAGCAAGGGACCAAAACGAACGGGAGCCATTGGGACAATCTATGAGTTTCGATCTGATCTTGGCATTGTATGTTTCTTTCGAAGCATCTATTGTTTGGCTGCAGTTATTCCTGGCATCAACGTATTCTGCTCTAGTCGCGAGGTTAGGGTTTTTGCGCCAGCGATGGTAGGCTGTTTGTTTCAAGGCAACAGTTCTAGAACAGCTTTTGTTGAACCAGGGTTTCGAAGGTGATGATCTTTTCGAAAAATGAGGTATGTATGTTTCCATTCCGAGCATGATGATCTCGGATATTTCCGCAGCACACTGTGAAGGGTCCTCAGAGTCAAAGCATACTCTATGCCAAGGAAACTCGGAGAAAAACATGCGGAGACCGTCCCAATCTCCAGAATTGTAATGCCATATAAGACGTGGGGGTGCTGGAGCAGTTGATGGAATGAGAAATGGGCAGGTTGTGGAGATGAGTGTGTGGTCAGAATTGATTTCAAATGGTAGCCTTTGTTGACATGCAACGTCTTAGAGAGGAAGATTTCCAAGAAGATGAGTGGTTAGCCTTCTAGAGAGCGAGGCGTTACTGGTGGCCCACCCTGTATAGTAACACTGTAGAACTGCAAAGCTGAACTGATTCTGTTTATTTTTTGAGAACTTAATGGAAATCGATATTTTGAAACACTCATTTCAAGGATTTTACTACCCTGAATCATATAGGCATATGTTGTTGATTGGCTCCCTTTCATAACTCAATGCTTTACAGGTCTTTCTGAAGTTACTTCAACCAACGTAAGTAACTTTTAGAATATTTTCATTGTTGGTTTTGAACGGTACGCAACACTTGAATGTGTATAGGTGCTAGGCCTTTTGCGGCATTGGAATCAAAATAATTATAATGATTGAAAAACCTAGCGGGTCGACTAAGTTTCGGAAACATATTTCTATATTCCTTCAGTTCATTGCTGACTCCCCTCCTGTTCTATATTTCAGATGTTCCAGCTAGTGGAATGTATTTTTTAACATATGAAGTGATAAAAGACGTCATAACGAAAGGCGGTGCTGAATCGCCCAGTATTTTAGGAACCATCCTTGCCGGTGGATCAGCAGGTATAGCCAACTGGGCGATTGGTATGCCTCCCGATGTATTGAAAAGTCGACTCCAAACAGGTAAGTTATAGAAAAAGGATATTCTCTGATATAATTATGAACATAAAAAAATATGGATATATATATATTATATATAAAGAAATACATTGAGAATTCGCATTCTCTATGTGATGAAATTATCAATTCTAACTCGGTTTATTCAACAGAAAACATCTACTTTCCTGGCTATTTGCCACGTCGAACATTGAATTATATCTGTTAAACATCCAAAAAGAGAGCATGAAAAATGCAAATCCTCTGAAATTGAGAATTGATATTATCTGTCAAATCGGATAAAATAATATGATATAAAAATATAACTTACCAATATGTTGAGTATTGAAATTATATCTGAGAATATTCCTGTTCAATACTTCCACCCAATCAAAGGGTTCAAACTTAAACGATGGAAACTTTTCTTCATTCATCAACAATTCATCATACATAAAAAAAGGGTAAGTTATAGTTTTACGCGTAATTTAGACCTTTGGAATTTGAGTTTTATCAAAGAAGTCACAAAAAATGGATGTGATTCAGAACACGAGAAAACACCATGTATTACACTTTGGTTTATAATTTTTTCTACAACTGCTATGAAAAGTGGCGTATTTCTCATAGTTTACTTAGTTTCAAAACCAATGTGCTCGTACTGTGAGAAATATTTTTTTCATGGCAATTTGCCAACCACATACATTTCCATGGAGAATCAACAGAAATCGTCCAAAACTTAGTTGGCTGCTGTTCAGCTTTGAATAATTGTCACAACTGTCAGCAGAAGCTTTTTTAATTTTTAGGGTAGTTAGAGTTTTCATCAGTGCTCTGATAAAAATCGCAATTTCCATTGAATATTATTCCAACAATTCATAAATAATATATGAATAAACTGAGAGTATTGGCGATTTTCATAATGCACCGCCAGAGATAAAGGAAAAAGCTGCAAAAGTTTGTTGCCGGAAATTTCAAGAAAATATTATGAATTGGCATACGAAGAATTTATGAAATTTAAAGAAATACAAAACTAAAATCTTTTTCGGACAGTGCACCTTTGTGGTATACTTCGTGAAACTAGAAAAGGCGTCTATTTAGTGGTCACAATATTCAATGTCGCGAAGTGCCTTAGTATAAAATGAATACCAATAAGTTACATTAGGTACTTGTATTATTCAAATTTGTGCAGTTGTAGAAGTATATAGTGTTCAAAAAATTGAACTTTCCCCACTTGTTGCACAATATACCATTTCTCCACCCACTTTGGTTGTCTCTACACCAATCTCTAATTGATCAGTTCAACGAAAAAGTGTTCCCAAAGTTCTTGGACATTTATAGTGAAAATCTTAACACAAATTGTGTTTTTCGTACAACGTGGAGATTTCAAACATTCTAAACATGGAAGTTTTGACAATTATTCACTTTGTTTCGCGAAAATGTGATTTTGTCCGTGTTGTCATTGTTATGAGGTTGATATAGAAGCTCGTATAGAAGCTACTGACAAAATTCAACTCTTGGAGGATCATCATAATGGGTTCCTATGTATGTACAAGCGAATTGCTGCCGCTGCATTCCTTTGAAACTCGAAGATAAAAGTTTGCAAAGAAAATCTTATTTGTAGTCATGGATCTGTACCTTTTCCCGAAAACACAGAACTGAAATTAGCAAAATACTTTGCTAAATCAAGTCGATTGATATAGCCTGTCCCGCTCTCCTAATATTGTCACGATAGGAGCCACAAATATTCTATCATAGCTACAATATTCGAAATTATATTGATTCAAGAAAATATTTCATTAGTAAAGTTAATTTTTCATTTTTTCATCGTATAATATTTGATTAAAGGAAACGCGTATAATATTTGGAGTAAAACGCTGACTATGTCGAAATATTCTAAATAAATATCGAACAGCCGATAAGGCAAGGGGACAGTTTGGGTCTGATCAGCCAGCACCCACTATGGTTCATCCCCTGCGTCTCATAGAGATAATTTTGTAAGTACTTAAGTATCTATCTTCATGGTGCCAAGTTATGTAATGATTCTCTGTATTGCGAAGTCGGATGTACGTTTGTTGTGATCCTCGTTGGTCTGAACCACTAATGAAACTATTTTTTTTTTAATAAATTGTAGTTGTATAACGAATGACTGTTTTCATTTCTCGGCCTCCCAAGCGAGTTCACCCCCGAGTCACCACCCTGTAGCCATGGGTCGTGACATTGGAGAATGATTGTGTCCCCTGCGGATTTCATCCACAATGAAAATTCTGTTATTGAATTTTTTTTTAGCTCCCGAAGGCACTTATAAGAACGGTATACGCGACGTTTTCCGAGACTTGATGAGAAACGAAGGTCCACTCGCCCTCTACAAGGGCATCACGCCTGTCTTACTTCGGGCTTTCCCTGCGAATGCAGCCTGTTTCGTGGGATTCGAGCTGTGCAAACAATTCTTAGATTTTTTGTTTGCGAAATAGGACTTAGTTTATCCAGAATAATTTTCGAGGTAATCGACCCAAACAAAACGCTTTTAATGGGTGGTGTTTATAACGGGTCTTCAACAATGATTGATAACCACGTGACAGATTACTATGCAACCAAGACTACATTTGTATCTCTTTAACGTGGGTGGAAAAGAGACGCCACATAAAAAATGGTCACGTGGCACTTAATCATTGTTGAAGACCCGGTACTTGATGGTTAAGGAAAGTGGTTCTTCAAGTGGAGTAGGAAAAGTTGTGATTTGATGTCCAGATAGGTCATTTTTTGTCTCCTAATAAAGTAAGCTTTCCTCATGTTGAAAGTATATATTATGCACATATGTGAAGTATGCGCATATGGTCGTGAGTATACGCCTGGATCTCTGAAGATGCTTTTTAATAGAACGAATCTTATTATTTTATCAGATTTCCCTGTGATTGTGATATTGTTCAGTTGGCAATATTCGCATTTTTCCTAATCGATTTCCAATATATGAATGTCTTTGAAAAGTACCAAAGACGGCAGTCTGAAACACATACCAATTCACATACAATTTCAATTCTTGTTATTTTAAATGCTCTTATTGGCTGTGACGTTTTTGACATGTCTATAGGCCTGTTAATCATGATTTCTCTACCTGCTGAACTTGATTTTTTTCTATGACTCTCTGTTTACATTATGCCATGAACAGAGACAACTATGGGAACAAAATCAGCTTTAGCAAGTTCAGCAACACAAACGAACAGACCTAGTTTTTCCTTTCATACCACTAACACCTATCCACCTATTATTTTTGATCATTGTTCAGTTCCATTTCGTTTTGGTTATAGTTATTGTTAATTGTTATTATTAATGGACGTTCATTATCAAACCTGAAGTATATTATGCTGCCAGTGAAGTGATCCTTAGCAGGATGAGTTGGTTGATTGAAATCTGAGAACACCCTATCATTAAAATACCTTTATCAGTTGCACTGCTGCAGCATGATACTCCCATTCTCAAGTCATTTTTATTTCTATTATATATTATTTTATATAGGTAATATGTTATGTATCAATAATATTATTTATAAATTTTGAAGAGTTCAAAGTGTTTTATTTTCTTGTTCTTGAGGATAAAAACCTCTCTACAGCACATACCTACCTAGAATGGATTTATCATTTCGATTTGGTGAGACAGCCTGAGGAAAGAGCATGCAATAAATAGCCCAATATTTTCCTTTTATATTGGCTATTCAATTTTCATAATATATCTGTGAGAGCTGTTCTGCAATGAACACTCATTGAAGATTAAATTGAAGGTAAACTGCACACAAGTTTTTACTCTCAATTGACTAATCAACAATATGTACTGGAACTTATAACATATCTTGTGGTACAAATTCTGTAAACAGATATTCTGTTCTGATTGCAGGATGATACCGAGTCATAGGCATGACAAGGCAGTGAGTCAGATGAGATGAGCTATCGTCAATGATATAACCACATATGAAATATATAGATCATTTCTGTTTATACCTTTCGAGTAACAACTTGTCTTATAAGCTAGTAGTCGGTTCCAGTTAAATATAGAGTGTTACAGTGTTAGTGTCGTAGTCTCATTCGAAGACCTCACCCTCCTACATTAGAAGTGGTTTCTATGTTATGTGTGCTTGTTGATGATGCCGAATCCAGGAAAAGAAGCTGGAGAGAGCGTTCCAGGACAACGACATCATCTTCATCAAGCAGAAAGTACCGAAGGAGACAAAATAATTCCAAACGGAGAGACGAAACTGTAAGGGGAGATTCTCATCCCCAAATTCAGCTTCATTCCGAGTGAAAAAAGTTGGTCAGAGCTCACTTGGAAGGAATGGAAAAAAATATTAAATGATACTTTTCAGAGTACTCGAAATACTTACGAACTATTAATGAATATTGCCAATCACAGACCACAAATAAAAGGTGACCTCTCATTTTCAACACTTGGCAAAAATCAATAAACTGAATTAGAATTTTTCCAGCGCCGACAAAATATCACTCGTGATAGGTGCCATCAACGATAAGAATATTTCATCTGCTGTTGAAGTTTCAAATATAGGTGACCCAAATATCCTAGCTTCAGTAGCAACTTATTTGAAAAATAAAGTCTATTCTCCAGAAGAAGACCAACCTAAGCACCGGAACAATACGAATGACCCAAGTACAAGTCATTCACGATACTCTCAGGTGAAATACAACAAAACTCATTTAACTTATCATGCGGAAAAAAAGGACATGAGAGAAGAACGTGTAGACTCAAGAGAGAAAAAAAATAATTTCTGTGAGAAAAAGGTCATATTGAGAGAGTTTGTCACAGTTTCGATATGAAAAAAACTCTAGAGAGAATTAAACAGCAGTATTGGTTTTTTAAAATTAGGCGGTTGGGATGCCAAGAAGTAACGGCCAAGCTGAGCGAATGAACAAAACAATTCTAGATGCTCCTGCTACAATTAACAGGGGCAAGTATATACGGCTTCCGACAATTATTGGGATGTGGATTATTACAAATTCAACAATGCATCATATTGGCATCAACAGCACCAAACACCGAATCACTAAAAGCTCGCCTTATTACAGAAATCCTGTAAGAACAGAATCCAGCGAGCGATTCTTGGAATTATGCCTTCTTTATGTAAGGCTTTTTTGACCGCGTTACAATCGGTGATAATCGTAAATTTGTAACCCGTCAAGTAACATCTAAATCGTTCCAAAGTTTTCACGATTGCTAATAATTCTAGTTCGAACGAATGGTAATTTTTTTATGTACGCTGTTTTTTTCTTGGTCGGTGGTTTGTTTACTGAAAAAAGGCTACTGGTTTTTCTTCCCTATTGGCATCAGTGTAGACTAAATGTGGGTAAACTTGGGATGAATGTTGTTAGAATTGGCTTGGAAGATATTCTATTTTTCAACTCCTTCGCAATTTCCTTATGAACTTCATTCCACTCCCAGGGGGAGTCTTTTTTTAAAGTTTCGTGAGTGGGGCCGTTTTACGAGCGAAATTTTCTATAAATTTGCGAAAACAGTGGGATGTGGAACAAAACAATTCTGGATGCTCCTCTGCTACAATTAACAGGGGCAAGTACGCGGATTCCGACAATTGGGATGTGGAATTAGTAGAATTACATTTCGGCTACCAATTGAGAACAGACAACGATAAATTGATGAAGCCTTTCCAATTGACATAACTGAAATCAGAGCCGAAGCAGCAAGAAGGTTAGAGGATAACAGTGCTTAACAAAACATTGTCTTCAATAAAAAGAGGGGCCCTCCGAGATACTAGCTTCGCTACAAACAATCAGAGCAAGAAGCTTCTTCCAAAGTATCGAGGTCCATTCATAGTGGTAAAAGTTCTTCCTAATGACTATTATAAAGTGAGAGAAGATCGTTATACGAAAAGATCAAGTCGCCCCTATGAAGCTGTGGTAGTACTGGTAGTAGGGGAGCAGCTGTAACGTTTCGAGATTCAGAATAATCAGTTATGTGAAAAGGTTGGCCCTCAGATGGCAAATGTTGGCCCTCAGACGGCAAAGGTTGGCTCTTAGATGGCATATGTTCGGCCCTTAGATGGCCTATATATCAGCCCTTAGATCATTATTGCCTATGTCGCTCTCCTTAGGTGGCATATGTTCGGCTTTCTGATGGCTTATGTTCGACACTCTGATGGCATATGTTCAGCCCTGTGATGGCATATATTCGTCCCTCAGATGGCATATCAGCCCTAAGATGGCATATATGTCAGGTTAGGAAAAATGGACATTCGAGGACGAATTAAACCAGAATGGCGGATGGCCGTGCAGAGGATAATGCCGAGTCATAGGCATGACAAGGCAATGAGTCAGTGGAGATGAGCTGTCTATGATATAACTACATACGGAATATAGACCATTTCTGTTTGTACCTTTCGAGTAACAGCTTGTCTTGTAAGCTACTAGTCGGTTTCAGTTAAATATAGGGTATTACAGTGTGAGTGTCGTATTCTCATTCGAAGACGTCACCCTCCTACATGATAGACATTTATTAAAATCCAAAATAACCGGTGGTTTACACTAGTTTAGAGGACATTGATGAAAAAGTTCATGATAAGCTTCAATTGAAATTCGATAATTTAAATCACAATTGATTCGCTTCTTTTTTTCTTATAAACGTGATAATTTAATTATAAAATTGAAATTTGAACGTCCGCAGCCCCAGCTATCAAACTTGTTACGTTACTGTCACTGCTGTCATGGTCATGCTGCATGCAGGCATTGACGTCAGTTCTGTGGGTGGCTAATCTCTGACGTCAGTACACGCCGAATCCACCGAGGTATATCAATATTATTCACCTAAAAAAGACCTGTCGACCTGTCCCAATTGCCTCCTAATAACCACTGACCCGAGACGTTCTTCGGTTCTTCTGTCAACATCATTTGTCTGTCAACCGGACCAAAACATGTCAGTGCCAGCGCCATGTCAGTCACAGTCAGTCGTCAGTCGACCGAGTAACAACAAACCATGGTGGGAGTGTTTTGTACTTTTGTAGGAAAGGAACCTTCAGACCATGACCATTAGCGATATGAATTTATTTCGTAAACCTGTTTAATTACCTGTTTTGCTAAAATATGCCACATCGAAAACCCGAAATGTGAAATGGCTAGCGATATCCAGAAATCGGTCCTTTTGACTTCATTTCATAGTGGAAAGAAAAGAGTCAAGATAATTTTACACAAAGGAAATATTGTTTGGGATAATGAAAAACTTCCTTCTGGTGAGTATTTATTTCCTTTCCATCGATTTGTTTTTCCTTTCATATATTTCAAGCCATAGCAGATGGAAAACAATACCTACAGGTAGGTGCATTATCCTCCTATGTTTGGTCATTTCATCTAAAGGAAATCATCAATTATTAAGAGCAATTGATTGATAAATGAAAAACAAGACTAATTTTCCACAAACCAACATAAAATAATGATGTAGCTCTATTCACCTTGAAATATCGTGGTGACATATTTCCTATATTTATTATAAATACCAGCTGTATATCTATACTTATCATATGTTTAAGGTGATTGTCTGTTCTTTGAATGTAATTTTTTTCAATGAAAATCAGTTAATTAAGGTCAGGAACCTTTGAAACTAAATACATTGGACAAACAAATTATTGAAACCTGATTTGAAGAACATTAATATTTGGTCATAATTGATTTGAAATTATGTTTACTCAAGGAGACTTCTCACTCATTATTTTATAGTTATACAATACAAAATCTTTATTTCCATCCACTGACATACATCAGTATAGGCATTGACAGGGTCAGGAAAATATATAAAACTTGATACTAGAATAGAAAAATAGTCGAATGTACATGATAATATCAATTCATTCATGGAGTTACCATAGAATGGGGTGACTTGATAAGATTTTTGACACACTTCCATAGATTGCGACCTTACCATGCAACTTTCAACCAAACTAAAAATAGTCACCAACTCTTTCGACCCTAAAGAACAGAACGATACATTAAAACCGTTTCTATATAGTGTAGTTTTCGAAAAAAAAAATGTCAAACGTCATATTTCAAGTCACCCCAATATGGGGTGACTTGAAATATGACTTCTTATCAACGATTATTTCAAGTAGGATGGTCTAGGTGGTGACATGAAATGAAAATTAAATAAAAAATATATAGAAATCATCAATTTCATAAAAAAACACTGTGTTTTAGAACAAATATTTTTTAGCAAAATACAAAAAAGATAGAAAACTACAAAAATAAACAAAAAATCATTAGACTGACATGCGACGTTGCCACTACTTCAAAATTTTCACTGCATTTTATTTCAAGTCACCACACGATTTCAAGTCACCCCATCCTACGGTACCTAATTATCTATGCCATCATGATATTCAATCTCTAGGTGCAGTTCATCAAAATAGAACCTTACTAGAGTTTTCAAATAGAACACCCTGAAAATTGAAAGTACCCCAGAGTCCCTTTACAATCCTGAAACTTTTTCGTATTGTTCTCTGATCTTTATTTTTTCCCTAATTTTATCCCTATTGCAAGAAATATCTGAGTTCATAAAAAAAAACATTGTTTCAAGCTCTCAAGAAATAATATAAAATGAAATTACTTTTGTGATAGTTTAAAAATTGTGTAATGTGTTGATAAATTCACAGTATTTTAGAGGTAATAAGAAATGATATTACTTTCTGGGATGCCACTAGGGGTGTTCCAAAATGTCTTGCTTGTTTGTACTGTCAGATTTGTTTTTCTTGAATAATTATTCATGGTCAGGTTGGCCTCTGTTGATTTTCTATTTATGTTTGGTCATATTCTAGACTGGGTATTGAATAATGGTCTAACTTAACCTTGGCCTAGCCCATGGTTGGCTCTTATTCATATACAATTAAAATGTTGGTTTTTCTAACTTCAAAACCATCATCTTTTCCTATATGGGGCTTTTATGATGGCAATAATTAAAAAATTGTGTTCATAATGATCACAAATTATGAGGCATTTTCAAGTGTGCTTTGATGTTTTATCTCCGGTTTTATCTGTTTAAAAGCATTTGAAGATGTGTGAAAAATTTAATGACTGCCAAAAGATACTATTATCTTATAAATGAGTTTTCTGCTTCATGAATGAATCATGTTTTAAATAGATATTCGTTCATTATTTTCAGGAATATTTAAATTTTTTAATCATAGAGATTTTTCCAAACAAACTCTAAAATTAATGCTATAAACCTTAGAGTAGATCATGATCATACCATAGATCATTTAGAATTAAAATTTACTCAAGGAATGTGAATTTTTCAAGTAAATACCTACCATAAAATCCTGTGACATTTGCAAGGAAAAAAGGAAGAGATATTGTCTTCATAAAAATATACTAGGTGGGCCAAACAAGCTAACTCAGTGCTCAGAACAAAACCACCCCTCCAAGTTTTTTTTTTATTTGACTAGTCGATCGGATGATATTCCAGTTGAAATAATAAACATTGGAATTTGTCCTTAGTAAAAAGACGTGCCTAACGTATCATTGATAATTTGTTCATAAAAAAAATTCCGAATGACCTCAATTAACCCTCAGACGTGCTGCCACAGTATTGACTAAATTTTCAAATTCGTCCAGCACGTTTGATAATGATTTGTTGCCAATTTCCTGCCTTTCACATAGAATTATAGATTACTGCTTGGCAATAATTGAAACATTCTTATCTTTATCCGCAAGTTTCAGAAATGTAAGACCTGGCAAATACCATTTCCGATTTAGAAAATAATAATAATAAAAGTGCTTTATTGATTACCCAATTGGCCATCGACGGAAGTCCTTCAGTCTGTAATACATTGAAATCTATTGTACCTATTTCATTTCATTGATTGAATAATAAAATATAATCATATTTATGTAAATTATTGTTTGTTGATGTGAGTGAAAAGGAAATGTCTCTAGATTGATCAATTTTTTGGCATTTCTGCAATGTTGGTGATGCATTCCACCAAGGTGTTTACTAGAAACTTGTAACTTGAGGTCTCTGTAGGGTGTCTTTGGATGCACTGGGTTTGAATGATCTGCAGGTTACTTTCATTGTTGGAGAACTTCTGTGCTAGTTTTTCCAGCCTCTCGCTAATTGGTTGTACATTAGTGAGTTGGTAGAGGAGTTCATTTGGAGGATTGTGAAGGGGGTTTTGAGGATGTCGTATTTTCGTGATTGCTCTCAGGCTAGATCTTTCTGCTACTTCTAGATTCTTCATGGGTGGCTTTCTGGTGTGGATGTATATTGGGTGAGCATAGTCGAGTATGGGGCGGCATATGGCTTTGTAAATGTGAGCTGCTGTTTTTCTGCTAATTCCGCTCTTCTTATATGTTAGGTAAGTTCCGAGAATGTTTGGCTCTTGTGATACACTTTTTTTCATGGGTTTAGAGTGATTATTAAAGTTCAATTTCGGATCCAAGTGAACTCCTAAGTACTTGGCTAGTGTGCTCGTTCTCACTATATGATTATTCACACTGACTGAAGGTGAATTATTGGAGATATTATGGTTGAATATTATCAGTTGGGATTTTTCTGGGTTTGGCTTCAGTCTCCATTTGTCACACCATCTCATAGTATCCTCGATTGCTTCTTGTAACTTTCTCACAGTTTTCTCAAGTGTTTTGTTGTGGCTAATTATGGCAGTGTCGTCAGCGAATTGTATTCCATAGGGCGATGTGAATTGTTCCTGATGGTTTGGAATGTTCTGGACAAATACGTCGTGGCAGTAGATGTTGAACAGAAATTGTGATAGGGGTGATGCAGTACTTTCACTTGTAGGGATCTTCTTTCTAGGTAGTCTTCTACTAGGTGTATCATATTTGTGGCAGTCCAACATGAATAGTTTGTAGAGCATTCCCTTATGCCATACACTGTCAAAGGCCTTGTTTATATCTAGGAAAATTGCTGCGGAATGATATCCAGAAAGTTTGCATGCTTGAACGTTTCATACAAGTACTGAAATGGGATGTACTGTTCCACATTTTTGGCGAAAACCATATTGGTGAGCCGGGATTGCATGTCCAATTGTTTGTTCCATCAGAGATGTTTCGTCAGTCTTTCAAGGTTATTGCCCAACACTGGGAGGAGAGTAATTGGTCTGTAGTTTTTTGGTTGACTGTGGTTCATGTTTGGTTTTGGAATTGTTATTATTACTCCTTTCTTCCACTCTGGTGGGAAGTGTTGTGTATTTATGCAATATTCATTCATTTTGATAAAATGAAAAGGTGAATATCATAGTCCAGTTTTCTAATTATACTTTTTGTGATATTATCGATTCCTGGCGCGCTGTTTTCGCCTTGGTGTACTATTTTGAAATATTCTTCCTCGTCAATATCATATTCATCCATTTGGGGATTTTCTCGAAAGTATTGATTATACCATTCTTCGACCGATTGGTCTCTATCTTCTTGAAAGGCGCTTGTGAAATGGTCCGCAAATATTGTTGCTTTTTCTTCCTCAGTTGTGTATATTTCACCCATATTTCACCATTTCGTTCAAGATGGTGGGATGTAGTTTTTGGTTTATACCTGCTGATTTTCTTGATTTGGTGCCAGTAATTTTTCCCTTGCATTTGATTGATTTCATCACATATGTCTCCATCCACTTGTTTTCTCTCTATTGGTATATTAGATTTTGCATGTTTTGATTATACCTGTTCAAATGTGTTTTGAAGTCTTGGTTAGGGTTTTGTCTGTATTCTCGGTACATCTTCCTCTTTTTTTAATAAAGGGCAATAATGTTCATGTAAATGAGGCTTAGATCTGGAAGTGACCCGATTTAGATTTCCTGTTATTTTCAAAAAAACTTAACAGTAAAAAATATTAATTAGGCGGTGCTCAAAACCGATGTTTTCCTTTGCTTGTGATTTTCTATCTATTCATCATGAAGTTTTCATTTATTGAAATGTCAACAGGACAATATCATTTTTCGTGGATTTAAGTATTTGAACTTTTTATATTTCAACAACAATGTATTAATTTATAAATATAGCAATACAAGTATTAGCATTTTATTGTGCTCAGAAATCAGTGGCTACGAGGGTCATATAGAAAAACTATTAGGGAAAATTTCAAATTTTTTGCGGATTCTAGTTATTTATGTTGTAGATAAAAAAAGTGTGCCAATTGAAAATGTGATATCTGTGGAATATAATTACAAAAGTTGTCACCCCAGCGAGATCAGACAAATAGATCCTCTATCGTTCACAATTCATTATGCTGAAAGGGAGTCGGGACCGAAATGGATTTACAAAAAGTTACTATTAAAACATACAGATCCCCAACAGGTTTCATCGTGGGTGAAAACTTTGCAAGCTCATTTGAAAGGTGAGAAATCAAATATGATATATTTACCGTTATTCACAAGAAGTCACAGCAATAAATTCACATTTTTGTCCACCACTGGATTTAGAAGCCTCAATTCGGATTATCCCCGATAATAAAAATCAGATTCTTTCAGGTTTTGAAAAACGGCCGAAACATTTGCTTCTGTTTGTCAATCCGTTCGGTGGCAAACGGAATGCCATGCAGATCTACGAGAAATTCGGAAAGCGATTATTTGATGTGGCTGGCGTTGAAGTCACAGTCAATGTTTCACAAAGGAAAGATCAGATCAAGGATTACCTGATCAGCCACAACCTAGAGTTTTTCGATGCCGTTGCTTGCGTGGGTGGTGATGGGACTGTTTCTGAGTTGTTCAACGGGTTAGTTTTAAGGGAATGCCGACAGAATGGAATCGATGCTGATGATATTAATCAGTCGCTGCCAAAACCGAAGATTCCAATTGGTATCATTCCCGGTAAGTATTTCTTTTTGCGGTATTTCTCACCGTGCATTACTTTCTTATTTTTGTCAATACAAATTAATTTATTGATGTAATGAATATACTACTATATGAATTACTATCGATAAAAACTCTTGCCCAAACAGTTTTAGCATCCCATTAATTGATTGATTTATAGCAGAATGACCAGTCAGGGTTCGAAGCCCAAAACACTGCAGCCTTTGGGCCTATTGTATTCCTGATCATGATGTTGACTCAGGTGAACAGGTTCGCTACCTTGATGAGGTTTAGCAGCCTCTTCACCAAATCTTTCGTTGGAAAAACCTCATGTGAGTTTAGTGCTCCCAGAAGGTTGTATCTTCGATGTGCTAGTGCCTTGTACTCCAATATCACATAGGTGGCCGTTTCCTCCTTCTCATTGCATAGTCTGCATATGGGTTCGTCTATAAAGATGCCCATTTGATGCATATGCTTCCTCAAGGGGCAGTGACCGGTTATTAGACCAGTCACTTGTCTGATCTGATTTCTGTTTAGACTCAGAATGTCGTTAGTCACTGTTCTGGACAGTGTTCCAACCATCAGTTCGCTGTGTTTTTGTCCTGGAACGTTGTTCCAGTATGCCTGATGTCTTTCTCGCGTCCACTTTGCCAGCCAGCCGCATATTGAGGTTTTGGGGATTCCGAACACAGGTTCGGTCCAATAAACTACGCCGCAGCCCTTACCTAGTAAGACCGTCAGCTGCTTGCCATGGCACGCATTGAAGCGTGACCTTGTTGTGGTTTGCCAGGGTTAGCAGGCTTTGAAGGCAATCCCAGACCAGTCTTGATCTGATTCTATTGCATGTTAAAGATTGGTTGGCTGCCTGACTATCTGAGCATATGAGGCTTTGTTTATCTCTCTATCCTCTCACAATATTCTCTCTTGAGATATCCCGTAACCTCATCCGTCGACCTGTCAGTGTACCACGTGCCTTCCTCACTGTTAGTCAAGGCCATTTCTTCCCAGTAGAGACGAGTGTTGAAGGATCTGTAGTAGTTATTTCTGGGCAACAGTTGATCACTTTCCATTTCCATTAGTGGTCTTGAAACTAGGCTGATTTTTCTGATATGTCCCAGGGGGCACTCCTAGCGTGCCAGTTGCCACTACACTCCAGTCTGTGTGCCCCCATCCTCGCTTCCGCCTTGATGAAGATATCAAGTGGCGGAATGTTGCGTAAGATTTCCATAGCAGCGGTAGGAGTGCTGCGCATTGCACCAGTGATGCAGAGATATGCCAATCTACAGTTTTGAAAGCTCCATTATAGCCAATATCTGATCAGTATTAAGCCACCAGACAAGCGATCCGTATACAATCATTAGTCTCACCACAGCAGTACACAGGGAATGTACCATGCGTAGTTTCAGTCCCCATGTGTTACGAATCGTTCTCCGAGCAGCCATTAGTGCCATTTCGCCTTTGCTGACAGTCTTTCGCTGTTGAGTGTTCCAGTTAAGCTTGGCATCTAGGGTTACTTCTGAATATTTGACCTCCTGTCTTTCAAAAACTCTGAGAACTTTTAGTTTGGCCAGTTCCTTCTTCTTTGTGAAGGCCATTAGTGCAGTTTTACTAGAGTTGACCCTAAGGTCTGCCTTTCTGCACCAACTCTCTACTAAATTCAGGGCTCGCTGCATCAGGTCTGAAATAATTTCAGGATGCAGCCCCTCTACAAGAATGACGACATCATCTGCATTCCCTTGTGAGTAGATTCCTGCATTGTTTAGTTTTTCCAGGACCTCGTCAATAACCAGATCCCACAGCAGGAATGAAAACTGCACCCTGTGGGCAACCCCTAGAAATTGTCACCTCCATTTTTTCGCCAAGCAATGAAGATTCCGCTGTTCTGTTGTGTAGCAAGTTTTTTATCCAGGAAGGCTGCAAGAGCTTATTGGGGCTTCAATTTTCACCACCAGTTGATGAAGAGCCGTTTCACAGGATTTTCCCTATTGATATGCATGCTGGTTTATATGTAGTGGCATTTCAAAGAGGAAGTTTTCCCTGATTTGCATTTCAATTAGCTACTTCATCACCTTCAACATGAATGATGATAGAGTTATCGGCTTGAACGCTTTAACCTGAGAGTATGTCACCCGTTGCTAGACTTGCTCTCAATAACCCACGAATAAATTGAGCCAGCTGGACTGTGGCATTGCAGGGATTATTCCGTCCGGTCCCGGCGCTTTATACGATTCAAAAGTTTCTATGGCTCACTTCAATTTACTGTAGTCAACAATCTTCTTCGATACCGACCATTCCCGCACGGCAGCCCTCAGGTGAGGGTTTAGTGGGTCTTGTAGAAGACTATCGTTTTCAATCTCAACTGAATCTGGTAGATGAGCCTGAACTTGAATCTCTAGAGTTTCCCTGTCAGTTTCAGTATATGTCCCGTCAGGTTTCATTATATTATATATATATACATACAGGTTCGTTGGCCAGGATCCGATGGAGGCTTCCGATGCTTCTGAGGTTGTTTCCACCTCTCCACAGAAACGCCTCCACGTTTCCTTCTTCGCCATACGGATCTGTTTATTATAATTGGTCAGAATGATGGAATACTGCCCCCCAGTTTTCTTCGCCTACTCAGAAGTTTGCGTGTCGCATTCCATACTTGTTGAAGAGTTTTTCATATTCGTCAATTTGTTCTGTATATGCCCTAGTTCCTTGCGCAGCCGAATTTTTATTTATACGTTCAACAGTATTGCCAACCAAAGATGCTTCGCGAGTATTATGAATATGTGATTCTTAAGGATGCATAATATACTTTTTTTACAGTTAATGCCTGAAAGTAATCCCTATCCTACCATGAAAACATTCTTGAACATTATTAATTGAGAATGTATTTTTTTTAAGGTGGAAGTACTGACACAATAGCCTATTGCATTCATGGTACGACAGATGTAACGACTGCTGTCTTACAAATAATATTCGGGGATTCAATAGGATTAGACTTAGTTTCTGTATATGATGAACATACTTTACTACGTTTGTTCGCCAGCGTACTTAGCTATGGTTATCTGGGAGATGTCGCCTACCACAGCGACCAATATCGGTGGATGGGACCCCATAGATACGACTTCTCTGGTTAGTAAATTTTTTTATCACAATGAGCAAATTTCTAACATTCAAATTTTCATTCATCTGTATAGTTTATGAGAATTCAATGCACACATTATTTATTTTTGTCGTAGGATCAAATTTGAGTTCAGAAAAAAATCGTTAAGTTTTGAGTTTCAGCTCCTCGACCATTTTCATGTAGTTTATGAGAATTCAATGCACACATTATTTATTTTTGTCGTAGGATCAAATTTGAGTTCAGAAAAAAATCGTTAAGTTTTGAGTTTCAGCTCCTCGACCATTTTCATGACGTATTACTTCGAAAAGGCATGTACGCACAGTCACAGCTTAATATACATGTATAGAAAGTCAAGTCAGGAGTTTCAAAATCTCTCAGTATTGCGTACTTTGTAAAAATAGCGAGGCGTGGGAGAATCTTGCTAAATTTCCGAAGTTTCAAACCAAATTTACAGGCGATTTACAGGCATCATGAAATTCATTTGAGTACACATTTTCATTTTCATAATTTTTTGTTCAAATGGGAACGATGCGTCATATTTTCGACTTTTAATGGTGAATTCATGAACTACAAGAAGTCCCAACTCAAGAAAATCCTGTTATAATAGTTCATTTAGTCACTTTCGATACATAAAATAAAACGAATTTTTGTATTTTCAAACATTGCAGCAGTCAGTACATGATGAAAGCACAATACACTCACTCAACCAATGATATATTATCAATACCTGCTTTATAAACTACTAATGCTCTCAATTAATTCCTATCAAAAATTTGAACAAAATCTTGAATATGCCGAAAACATGACACTGTTTTTACCTACGCCATACAATCGTCTACCCATTATATGGCATATTGAAATCGCTTACCTATAATCTAACCGGCACCATGCCAAATAAAGAGTATAATTATATTTCAGTTGCTAGGTTCGGATCCCTGGAAGAGCAAGAATATTTTTTTAAAAAACGAGTTATAAATTATAATTTTCAGGCTTCAAGAAACTGGTAGGGAACAAGGGATACCGAGGAGAGATCGCCGTCTACTCGGAGAACGAGACTGTCGCCGAGGAACCTTGCCGAGAGAACTGCGCCCGATGCCGGTCGAGCGGCAGCCCGAACGCGGCCGATTTGGCCTGCAAATGGCGCACGATATCCGGCAACTTCTTCATGATCAGCGGCGCGAACATCAGCTGCGCGTGCAGCCGTAGTCCCAGAGGCATCGCGCCCTACAGCCACCTAGGCGAGTAGAGTAGAGTAGACTGACGAAAATAGTTGTACACTTTTTGATTGGTCAGACCTTCTATATGGAAGTGCATCCACCTGTCTTGTTTTCTCCATTCAATTCTATGCATTCTATTTCACTTTGCCAATGCTTTGTCTTTGTTTTTTCTCTTTGGACACGAAACATCCAACAATCAGACATGAAACTCTATACGTCAGTACCTTGGATATTAACTATTAGAATCCGTCTTTTAGGACTCCTAAGTCTCAGACTATTCAGATTGTGAAATAAAACTAAACCTAACATCAGGTAGGCACTTCGAAGGCGCAAACTCATTAATGCATGGGAGATGCCCTTCAGATTTTTAGCTATTCAGTGAATTGACATTCCGGAAATGGCAGCCATTTGGATGTCTATTGTCGTCACTTTATGTATGAAGTCACTCTAAAGTAGAGTAGTTTATTATCATCAATTTACATGTGTGTCTGACTGGTCAATATTGAGGCGGATTTCCTCCAAACATACACGTCAAGTTGCAACTCTGTTTCCGAAAATGAAAACTCCGACAATAGTTGCAACAAAACAAAAACAAATCAGAAACGTTGTTGCAAATAAACGGACTCCTAACCGAGTTCTAGTTTCATTTAAGTTTGTCAGACTGTACAGTGAGAACATGTGCAGTGAAGATGATTTTTCCATCATGTCTTGTGAATGGTAAATTATGAATTCTCTTGAAAAGAAAAGGAAAAAGCGTCGACAACGCAGGTACTAGGTGAGATCGCTGTTGAGTCGAAGTGAAAATAATAATGGCGCAGCAGAAATGCTAATTCAGTTGAAAACCGATGACTGGATTGTATGCAGAGTTACGATCAACATTCCATAATTTCGACAACCCTAATAACACACCTTCATCCATTGGTCTTCCAATGGATATCCTCAACAGGACATCCGGGACATCCATAGGATAACGTGTCTTTTCGATTTTCCATATCATTTACTGGAAGAAAGATATTTCGGGTGGAAAGTTTTCTAATTGACTCGGCATTTTTCGGAAAGTGCTCAACACAAAATGATAAACTGGGGTACCTTTGGAAAGAGAATTGAACGCTCTTCAAAATGATGTGCCACTTGATCCCCCTTCCCATTCGAGATTTTGATGGTAACATCTACCCCTCCAAGGAGGTTGAACCAAGAGGGCTAAAAATATTCATTTCAAGTGCCCTCCTTGGAAATAAAATGAACCTGTCTTTCATATTATTTACTGGAAGGAACAGTTTGGAGGTGGGAAGTTGTCAAAATGTCACCGTGTATACTCGAATGCATAATAAATAAATAAATAAATAAATGGATGGATCAACCATGAACACACAACGTTTACAAACTGCAATCCGCAAAAAAACAAGATACTTAACATTAGCCTTACCGTTTTCCTCCACAACTTCAGAAATATTCGCAAAAATATATTCAGTGTTACATTTACCATGGTTGCACCTCCGTATCTTCCGTAATAATCATTGAGGATGGATTAAAAAATTTGCAACTTTTGAGTCTGTGAGAGATATACCAATGATACACTCAAGGACCAAGTGGGACCGCCTCCAGTGATAACACTGTTCTTCAGCAGCTATAGAATCACCGACATTAATAGCAGTATTATTTGTCAATGTTTCGTAATGGTTCATTTATTAATGGAATGCCTTTTTTAGTTATACAGGGTGTCCGCTAATTAATGGTACACAGCAAAACTGCAGATTCCTTGATAAAAAATATTGAAGTTTAGCCAAACTTGGACAAAAAATGATAATAACAAAGATACAGAGTGTCAAAGTTTCAATTTGCATTTCGTGTTTTCACAATAATTCTTCAACAGAGTGACAAAACGTCACGAAATTTGGAGGGGGTTTTCTGAAGCGAGAAATTCGAATCCTTTCTTAGTTTGGATGTCACTTGTAGAGGGCGCCACTTACGGTACATTAAATCTCTTCAAAATGCATTTTTTGTGTCATGGTGTATTAGTCTAAATGTTGAATTTGCGAAGTTGTATTGAATAATTGATTCGCACATATCTCGAAAACGGCCACTCGGAGAGACAATGAGCGAGTGGACTGATGATGAATTATTGGCATTCAATTACTCCACTGTGTCGTCAGGAACCTAAATTACTTTTCGCAACACTCCTCACGCTTATTTTATTCATGTAAATAATGAGTCTATGCGTTTTTCGAAATTGTTGAATTTCAGAGCTCATTTCAAACGAACCTTCATGGCCGCCATTTGGCGATATGTCGAATGAATGGTGACGTCAGTTTTTATGCTGTTTCGTTATTGGTCAGATAATCTTCCATTTCCACTCATGAAGCAAGGTTGTCAAGTCACCAATTATAATCAAGTTATCAAAAAGATGTTGGAGTCCTGTCGTTGAATATAACATGAAAGGAGGAACCCATGATGTTATAGTTCATTCTTGACTTTTTCGAGCAACCAGCATGTCCAAATATTCCTTAGTCTTCATAACAACATATCATGGGAATGCTGGAGACTTGGGAACATTGTGCTGAATGCTGAGAACTGACAAGACCACGCACACAAGTCGTGCGCCGTGGCTGTCACGTTCACCGATTCAAATGTCCTCTAGTGTGAATTAACATAATTATTATTTACACAAATTTATTATAATCAATAAGCCACAAATCATAAGGGAACCTTTTGAGACAATTACATTTTTACTGCTAATTAGGAGTATAACTAATACTCAATTAAGAATGAATTATCAAATAACTAATATTTCTGAAATTCCCAATCGTATTTCAGCACATGGCAACTGTGCTGTGGTCTGCCCCTACTTACGACATCGTGGTGTCAGTTTTTACTGGCGGTAAATTTCTGGCCGTTTTAAAATTACAGTTGGCATTATTGATGATTTTAGCACCTTAAAATCGACCAAAAAATTCTTTGAAAATATGAAATTGAAAGTTATTTGAGTGATTCTATTAAAGAAATAAAAAAATAGTCTACTCCCTATTGCAAAGTATGCATTTTTTTCGTGAAAAAGATGCTTAATACATAATCTTTGAAATCCAGACTCATACACCGTGATACAAAAAAAATCAAATCATTACAAAGAGATTTAATGTATCGTAAGTGGCACCCTCTACAAGTGACTAAGAACGGATTTGAATTTCTCGACTCAGAATCCCCCAAATGTCAAATGTGCCGTCATGTCATCCTGATGAAGAATTATTGAAAAAAAAACGATATGCGAATTGAAACTTTGTTATTAACAACTTTTTGACTGATAGCGTTTTCCACTCGCCGATTTACAGAGCACACTAGCACAGAGCAAGTACAAGTGGCACTGGCTTGGTTCTTCCATAAAGTGCGGTTCTAGCACAGAGCAGTGGAATAGAAATAGAGAGTTGGTGCGACGTTCTTGTCATCAGAAATGTCAGAATAATAATTATTAACAATTATTGTTCTGTCTATCAAAAAGTTGAATTATTAAAAGTACATCTGGTTCCTTTGGTCCACATGAAATGGATTCATCTACCTCTTATTGTGGTTTCCCTGAGAACACTGCCAGAAACCACCCATAAACAGACTTATATTTGAATGTTCATTGTCATTGATGTTCAATTGAATCATTCGACAATATAGTGATGTAGCATTGAAGTGTCGTCCACGAAGTTAGTATTTTTCATCATTACTGAATCAACAATCAAATATGTTTAATACCTGCACATCTGAATAGCTTAATAATAGCAATAAACTTCAATGAGACATTCATAATTATTCAAATTCCAAACATTTTTCCACTCGTGAATCGAATATTTGAGGTTATGTGTATCGCACCGTCGTACAAGCACAGTTCTGAAAACTCGAACTCTGAGCGGGCAACGAGCAAATTTGAAAGCCAGTGGAAATCATTTCTCGACAAAAGTTCGCTCTTGAAATTCTCAGTGGATCATGCAAAACGCACTCAGTGTCGGAAAAGTTCGAGCTAGTGCGACGAGTGGAAAACGCTATGAGATAAGTTTGGCTAAATCTCAATATCTTCATTCAAAGAGTCTGCAGCTCTGCTAGTGTACCATTAAATAGCCGACACCCTGTGTACCTTTTTGAGACTGGTTTATGTATAGGCGACGGAATGCTGCACCTGGTGCTGGTCAGGCACACCAGCGTGCTCAACAATCTGCGGCTGCTGCTGCGGTTGTCGAGCGCCAATTCGAAGGTGGACGATTTGCCCTTCGTAGAGACCTTCACGGCCAGGGAGTTCTGTTTCAGGGGGGACGAGCGGGGCAGCAGGTGGAACTGCGACGGCGAGATCCAGCACCAGACGAACATCCGAGCGAAGTGAGTGCGGCTGTTTATAGAACACAACACACAACTGAAGAATCAGATAATATGAGGATTATATTCAAATATTCGCAGTGTCAAGAGAGGGGTCACACGAGCGTTCAAATGATGGACGTTATAGCGCGTATTAGGTGCGTTTTGTTGTGCTACAACTCAGTCTGGTTCTTGGCATTGCACACGTTTTGTTGTGCATTCAAACCCATTTCCATTCCCATTCGCAATCCTTCTCATGAGAAGGATTGAAAATTTGGAATGACAAATAAAAGTGACTTGACATGAGAATTGATTGTAAAAAAAATTGTCAGCATTTATCGCATATAAGCTATTAATAATGAATAGAAATTGAAGAGAACCACAGAAAACCAGGAATTCCTTCATCTAAGGCTAAGGCATTGATATGATAAATACAATCATTATTCTCAAACGTTGGTTGAGAATCATGGATATTAAATTAGTCTACATCAATTTTTGATTCGTGAGAGTAAAAGCAGAATGATTGTAATGGTAAAATGGTTACATACCAGAGACTAATACGAGGACAAATATAATATCAAATATTGAGGTTGGAGGAAATATCAAATGGTTCCACAGTTCCATTGTCAGGCGCCATATCCGTTTTCTTGAGCCCACTCATTCTATCACTTCCGGCATGGCACAACAAAACGCACCTATTGTATCGGACGTAGAATAACACCAGCGTGGGATCAACGTCCAAACACAATGCAAAAGAATAAGGAATAGGGATGAAAAACGTGTTCAAGGTTAGAATAATTGACCAATAGCATACCTCCATTTCTAATTATTTATTCTTTATTTTCGATTCCTTTACATTGTGTCACGACCTTAACACTACCAACGCGCATTCAAGTTATCGCACGGCAGCCATTGTTAACGGTCGCTCGCCTCTCTAGTATGCTCGTTGGTGGACAAAGCTCGCGCTTTTATTCAACACATGGTCAAACATACGTAGCCACATGATATTCATTTGAACCGTCGTCTTTCCACCCCTGATTCAAAGATTCAATAACGTAGCGTAACGCAAGTACTTTCGTGACACGATAGAAGATAACACATAGGATTTTTCCGGTTCTGTTTGTAGAATGTCGTTCCGCAAAACACTGATCGTGGCTGCAACGCGAGAGATGCCTAGAGTTTCATCTTTCTATGTTCTCGTTGTGGAATGGTGACAGAACGTCATGCAGAAGGGAAGTTGGGTTTATTGTTCGATTTACATTAGGGATTGATTAATGATATTCGGGTCGATTCTGTTCGGATCTTATTATAACATTGCTAAGATAATAATATTGTTATGATCATAACATATAACAATATTGCTGTGAAGTTCTGTATTCTGTTTGCAGAGTAACTGCAAGACTGGTTATAAGTTCAAATGATAGCAATATTGTTGAAAAATTGAGAATTTTTGAGCTGACAACACTGTTTTCAACTAATTGGTCAAGTGTTAGGTATTGATTTTGCCATTATTTCATGAAGAAGAAGAGTTCAACCTCTCAAATTAGTCAGTCCTGCGACCTGCACTGACATTTTACAAAATTATATTGTTCAAATCGAGAGATTTTGTATTTGCTTAATCTGGTCGTCGTTGTGCGACTGGTGCAAGTAATCAATCATGTCCCCAAAATGAAAAAACAACTAAAATCCGGATGAAACAAATTGTGATTTTTTTTTAATATTCTAGCAAAATAGCTCGATAATCTATCCATCAGGCAACTGAAATTTCTCTGATATGCCGAAATTGTAGTCTCATATTTCCTCTACAAATTGGAACTTCAAGAAGAGGTTTTCAAGTAGTTGGTCACAGTACACAGCAGTGAACCTATCCCATATGTTTGTAATCACCAAGTTTTTCAATAATTCTTCTACGAATTGAAACTTTGAGGAAAGGTTTTCGAGTAGTCAGTGACACAACTGAACTCTCATATGTTTTTAATCCACTATTTTCTGAATTTTCATACAGTTGGAAGAATTTGTAGTGCAAAAACAAAGAATCCACTACCTTGTTATCAGATAGCAAGCACAAAATTGATGTTGCCGAGATAGCAAGAAAGCTAACCAGATTTCATTGAAATTGACAGATCATATTGCCAAAAATCGATGATTAGAATTCCACTTTTTCGAATCTTGCTATGATAGCAATATCTTCTCTCCAACCATATTGCTATTTGCAAACAGAATCGACCCGATTATATAATTGTTCTACATACAATATTGATTAAGGGGTCCTGAGAAGCCTCATCAAGAATATCATTCCATTCAATATAAGTCAAACAGGTATTACAAAAATAATAATGCTTTCAATTGAGGAGACTACTTGGAAGAAAGAGGTTGCACGGATATGGTACGAATTATAAATGTATCTGGTAACTTCAATTTATTTATTCATTGATGATGAAGTGAGATCATGTAAGATACCTATTTGTTGCTTTTTGATGTGTGGTAGGTATTAAAGCTGGAGCAGATAGTTGCAAAGAATCAAATCCATAGGAGTATATTTGAGAAATTGTTGGGGTTGGGTATTGTTCTCATGGACATGCAGGTATACAGGGTGTTTCACAGGTAAAGGAAAATATTCCAATGGTAGATCGGGGTCACCAAGGTGGTTCTGAAAATACCATATTTGATAGGTCTTAGAGTTTTCGTAACGGAGATACAGGGCGATTTATCGATTTCGAATAATTATTCATTCGTCTATAAGTATTGAACTACCCAGTATATTTTTCTAAAATTTGGTATGGAGCTTAAACTTGGGACGTTGAATGCATTCACCTATCGATCGAAGTGAAAATCCAGGTTCGGCTTCAGGAAAAATTTACATTTTTTCGAAATACTAAAATAACACACTGTATGTAATAATTGACAAAGTTCATCAAAGGAATCGTGAAGAGGAGGAAAAACTGAACTGGATTTGATGCTTTTTGTTTTCCCGCCACCAATTCTCATCGTAACAATCATAAACAGGAAGCTAAAAGTATGTCAATTTCAAGAGTATTAAAATTATGAAACCACTTTCAATTATGATTATTTGATATATTCTTGTTAAATGATCGTTCGAAAGAACTTACTTAGTCTCACAGTCTTTATAACAGAGATACAGGGTGAATTATCACTCGTCCATAAGTATTAAACTACCCATCGCAGTAATATCTTCTCAAATTTGGTATTGAGCTTACTTGGGACGATGAATTCATTGACCTATCAGGCAGAATGGAAATACAGGTTCAGCTTCAGGAGAAGTCTCATATTCTTTATAACAGAGATACAGGTTGAATTATCGAATTATAATTCCGCCTGATAGGTTAATGAATCCATCGTCCCAAGTAAGCTACATACCATATTTGAGAAAATGTTACTGGGTAGTTTTATACTTATGGACGAGTGAATAATTATTCAAAATCGATAATTCACCCTGTATCTCCGTTATAAAAACTGTGAGACTTAGTAAGTTCTTTCTAGCGATTTTTTGACTAAAATATATCGAATAATCATAATTGACACTGGTTTCATAATTTCAATACTCTTCAAATTGACATACTTTCAGCTTTCTGTTTATGATTGTTACGATGAGAATTAGTGGCGGGAAAACAAAAAGCATCAAATTCAGTTCAGTTTTTCCTCCTCTTTACGATTCTTTTGATGAACTCTGTTAATTAGTACATACAGTGTGTTATTTCAATATTTCGAATAAATGTGAATTTTTCCTGAAGCCGAACCTGGATTTTCTCTTCGCCCGATAGGTGAATGAATTCAAGGTCCCAAGTTCAAGCTCCATACCAAATTTTAGAAAAATATACTGGGTAGTTCAATACTTATAGACGAATGAATAATTATTCGAAATCGATAAATCGCCCTGTATCTCCGTTATGAAAACCTATCAAATATGGTATTTTCAGAACCACCTTGGTGACCCCTATCTACCATTGAAATATTTCCCTTGAAACACCCTGTATAGCTTGAAAGAAACCTTTAGATTTTGAATACCTATTCAGAGGTCCCATCTTGAACTGACAACATTTCCGATTTTCGAAAGCTCCTATTGCTGCCGCACATTGCAGAACTCCAGCTGTAGCAGTGCCAAATATTCATAATCGACGTTATCACCCATTGGTCGAATTGGAATGATACTTGATGGTCCGAACAAAAATGATAACACAAATTAATATGACAAGATTGGCGACTGTCAAATTCAGGAAAATCTATAAATGCTTAACTTTATTTCATCGTCTTACGACACTGATTGCGGAACGTTGAAAGATGCGTTATTGTTGAAAAGAAATATCCTCAGATATATTTATGAACACAAAAAAATGGATATATATATATATATGAAGAAATACATTGAGAATCCGCATTCTCCATGTGATGAAAATATCAATTCTTTCACATGGAGAATGCGAATTCTCAATGTATTTCTTTATATATATATATCCATTTGTTTGTGTTCAGAAATATATCTGAGAATGTTTCTTTTCAATACTTCCACCCAATCAAGGGGTTCAAACTTGAACGATGGAAACTTGTTATTTTTATAGACCTCTATCGCTGATTCGTGTTTAGGTTTTTCTCAATTCAGAATTTCTTTCCACGTCCTGTATGATAAATGTCAAGTTATCATACATTTGAAAAACCAATGCGTTATTGTATCTATAAATCAGGCGTGACGCTTCATACGTTCTGGAAGTATTTTTGTGATATGGCAACATAGCTGTCCGTATTTTAGACTTGTTATTAATTAGCGTAATTTTTGAATTCATTGATAATGTAAGTAAAGTTTGTTAGTAGAAGTCTTGTTAAGTGAAGTCCAAAGACGTCCCGTGCTTTGGGAACCGTCTGATGAAGGCATGCGGAAGTGATAATATTAAGTTCAAAATGATCCACATAAAAACCTTCTTCACTCTTTATAGGATGAACCCACCATTTACGCTTTAATTATCCTGCTTTGCCTTTTTTCTTCGAATATGTAATTCGAAGTACAAAATTAGAAATGCGACAACATCAAGCAGATCTTCCAAGACTGTCACATGTATATTCAACAAATTGATGCTCGTAACGCCCGTTCAACGTGCGTTGCATAACGCTAGTGTGGCCCCTCTATCCAGCAGTTTATTAGTTAGGGCATACATTAATACATAAACTAGATAGTCAACGCCTGTGTAAAAATTGGCAACGCTCCGATGTGATCTAACAGACCGGCGGCTTATCGGATGTGCTGATTCGTTAACCAAATATTGATATCGGAGTCGGTAAAATACGAGGCGATATAATGAATAGATGCGCACGTTACTACCGCTCTTTTCAATCCCAACTTGCGTTGCCCATTCTTAGATTTACGGTGCCTATCTAGGGTTTGTATTATCTTTGGTTAGGGCAAAGTCATGGAAACCATCCATACTCAAAGTGGCCGTGGCCCGGTAATGTTCAAAAGAAAAAACACGAAAACTCCAAGTCCGTCGACAAGAAATTGAATCAAATTAAAGGATAGGTCACCAGAGACGAATAGATCAATCCAATTAATCTTTGACATTTTTTAAACGGATAAGTATGTTCCATCTTGATTATTTACACTAACAAGATGAACCATCCTTGAAATGAAGCCAAAAATTCTATTCAGTAGGGGCGGTATATATATTATATGAGCGACAAGTTGAAGTAGTTTTTGATGAGTACCGAAGGGTAGAGATCCGTAATGCAGAATATAAATTTATTTTTAGATGTTTCTATGCACGAGGAGGAATGTCGTATCAGGGATGGATTAAAATAATTTCATTATTTAAAAGTAAGAATATCTGATTCATTTTACTTGATTCTTTGGGATTTTCTCCTCGTTTTTATTAAATAAAAGTATTCGTATCAGATGATTTTTTGCCCCAAAATGTCACTGCGTTCAACAAATTTTTCTATCAGGGAGTCTAAAAGAAAAAAAAAGACAAATCCAGTAGCTTGTCAGTGACAATTTGTTTTAAAAAATGTTTGAAGGAGAGAAATATAGATATATTGAAAAAATATCGAATTTTTACTCATCTTTGGACGTTTCGGGACCGATTCTGCTCCCGTTCTCAACATGTAAATGCAAATTTTATTTCTTTGAAAGTTGTGCATTTACATGGAGGTGGATCATCCATCTTGAAGAGAGAATTATAAATTCCCTCTCAAAGGAGCTTCATCGTCCTCGTTTGAGAGTGAATCTATAATCATTATCTCTTTAATTTTTCCAATGTGGAAAGTTCTTTCGGGTGTTCGACCGACTTGGAGTTTTTGTTTTTTCTTTTGTATCGAAGTGTCTTTATAACAGAGATTATTGACCACTAATTCAACTCCAAACTGCAATTCAAGCATTAGCATAATTTTAATACGTTCTAACTCTCCAGCGCCTGATCAATCGTACTAGAGCCCCTCAATATCCGCAAGTTACGCTACTAAAAAAACAAACCTTGCGAATACGTCTATAGCAAATCTTTAAATATGAACTACAGACAAAATGTTACAAAACTGCAGACTATCATAACACCTGGAAATCTCAAAGTGGCTAGATGATCCACTGACAGATGTTGGGATCTCAGAAACCCCAAAACTTGGGGAATCAAGCGGATTCTAGACAAATTATCTTCTTGAGATTCTCATCACTTGTCAGGCAGACATGTGTTGCGATACCTTTTTGAGTCGTAACATTTTGTCCCTCTGCTGGTATGACAGGGTTTGTTTCTACAGCCTATATATACACACTTTATGCTACTAAATGGCTAGGCCCTCCTTTATAAAAACTCTGCTTCATCACATATACTAGAGTGCCGTTCAGGAACCAATCGATCCACGAAAATACCCCAGAAAATGTGTGAAGAAGTCCATATTGCTCAAAGTGGAGTGGTAGTGTTTAAAGGAAGAATAAATTTCGAAATCAACTCCACGACATTTAATGGGTGAACAAAGTTATGAATCAAAAGGGGGAGACATGTTTCCGGCTTATAATAAGCCCATCATCAGCCAACGTCCTACAAAAGTCTAAACTTGTAACAGGAATACGGTAATAGTTGTTATTACTTACATGAGGATGAAAAATGTTCTTTTTTGAATATTATTAAATTTAGTAAACCTTGGCTGATGATGGGCCTATTATAAGCCCGAAACATGTCCCCTCCTTTTGCAACATAACTTTGTTCACCCATTAAATGTCGTGGAGGAGATTTCGAGATTTATTCTTCCTTTTATTTATTCTTCCTTTACAATATATATTTTCACAAATGTTACTGGCAAAATTACCAAAGAGCAGGGGGCGAGGGCGGTCAGTGTCCTCACCCCTTATCTTTCTTTCAAAAATGCATCGCTAAGGTGCAATCTGTGAGTAACTAATGTCTTTTTTTTAGGGTTAGATGTCAATTGCTCACGATTTTGAGTAGAGGAAGTCCAATATGTGAACCTGTCCAATCAAAATGTTGTGGAATCTGAAAACAGTAGCTCCCAATTACCTGTTACTATTGTTGAAAATGCCGAAATCAGTATCGCCGAGTAGGGCAAAAGTAATGGTGGACTTCATATGGACATGTGGCTGGGTTGTTTCTCAAGTATCTTTATCAGTATTTAAATTTGTGAGAAGAAGAATTAGTTGATCCTCACCCCAAATCAGTTGATAAATAAATTAAACACGATATATTTAGGTTAGCAAAACTTCCATTCTTTATGCATAACTTCCAACATCAAAATAATCGTGCGTCAATAACATTCCAACAATAAAAAAATATATAAAATACGCTTTTCAACATGGCAACTTGAGTATTGACTAGCATCAATTCACAAACAGAATACAAATTGGTTACAGTAATTCGAGCAGCGCATTAACATACAACATAGCAACAAAAACAATGGATTTACATAAAACGAACAATCCGACAAGTATTCGAGAGACGTCCACTTATATCACAAAAGTTTAAATATTTGGTACCAAGACGTTTCCTGATTGAGAATGAAATTACATTTTAAATATTTTGTAATATTTTTATAATATTCTTCAAGATAATGACATGTGTCGTTTTGATATCTAAACTTGAAGAACACCTAGGAAGTGTAGCAAATATAAACAAAACCATGAACGAAAAATTGTTCACAGACAGTCTGGCATATCCGACTGTAGTCGCGAACGTGAATTCAATCAGGAAACTTCAACCAGCACAATGAAAAAACATTAAAACAAGATAGATCACATAGATTCGAGAATCGAAAATTTTAAGCAGGTGTTTTCATCTCCTGCTTGATACAAGATTTAAACGCTTCCCAACCTTCGTTTTTGGCGTACGACTGCAACAAGAAAATGATATCAACTTCAGCAAACGAATTCGATGTCATGTTTGAGAAATCAAAGATAAATAGCATTGCGGCATGATAAAATCTTTTATCAAATGGAGGAAGAAATTGATATTGGAATATGTAGGTTTATCATTAAATGACAGATCAAATTGGGAATATCCTGCTCATCAAAACTGTCAAGATAGCTTTCATGTAATAAGGGGCAGAAAGATAACATAGCATTTTCGAGGTACCTGTGAAACTGTGAAGATTAGTCAGTATTAAGATATAAGATGAGAATATTATTATGAGATATATATGTATATAATGTACGTTTAATCTTGAAGGTTTGCGCAAAATGGATAAAATAGTGAATAAAATGATTCTGGCAATGTAATTCAACTTGCGATTCAAAATATACGCCATTCTTATGGAGCCCCTTCTGTTTGTTCCACCCCGCCCCCATATTAGCATATATCTTGAGCGATTCACAATGTTTTTCTTCCAAATTATACAAACGAAGAAGTTTCTTCACAACGGCGGGAGTAGAATCTTATCTTTTTAGGGCAGCACGTCGAGCAGCCGATGAATTGTCTCTGATTTTTGACTCCGAGTGCGAGGCTCGGGACTCAGTAACTGAGCTAGAGCCCGCTCGGAGAAAGGCCCGCATCAAAGCTGCAGAAGTGAGAAAGCTCCTGCAGCTTCACATGGATAAGCCCATGCATTCGGTCTACTTCAAGACCATTGAAGACCGGGGCTAATCCAAAGAACTCACTTTTGCCTTTCTCAAGTCAGGCGGGCTTGAATCGGAAACAGAGGGGCTCATGCCAGGATGGGGTCTTTAACACTCTCGTCTACCGTAGCCGTGTCATGGGTGAGTCCCTGACACAAATTGCAGGGCCTTTCGCAGGGCGCCCGAGACAATGCATCTGCTGTCTTCTTGCACGGTGTATGCAGTCTCGGCCTACATCCATAGACACAATGCGACATTGCGAGTGCTCTACTATCATTTGAGGCACTCATACGGAATAGACGAGACCCCAGTGCTTCCGTATGCTCCGGGGGATATTGAGTCCGTTGTGGAGAATGAGAGATGCCGAATTTTTTGGAACTTCTCATTCCCCACCCTCAGGCAAATACAAGCTAACAAGCCTGATGTAGGCCTCGGCCATCAAACCAAAGTGATGTTAGTGATCGAGTTTTCGGCGCCAGCCGAACCGAACATCGTTTTGAAGGAGGAGGAAAAACGGACTAAATATCGAGATCTTCTCTTCGAACTCCGCCGGCTCTATCCAGACCATTCTGTGGAATTGGTCATCCTGATAATCGGCTCCCTAGGAGGCACACGACATACGCTGCTCTCGGAAATCCAGAAAATCCCAGCGTGCAGCAATAAGGCACACATATTGGCTGGTGGAATGCAGAAGGCATACTTGGATCATTGCGTTTACTCAATCGTAATTCCTCGGCCGGAAAAACAAATCGCCCATGACTAGAGTCACACCATATAGTAGAAAACATGTTGTTTTGGCGGGTATTTTGAGTCTAGTCAATGATATAGGATGGTGGCTCCATGTAAAGGAAAACGAGGTGTATTTGTGTGTTGATTTCTGACCTTCACTGAATCATAATTCCACTAACCTTAAATCCTCTATGTAAACGGTCCTTCATTATGGCTATAAATTCTCGATAGCTCAATAAACCATCTCCGTCATCGTCAAATATGGCGAATACTGTATGAACTAGATGTCGACTCAGATTGGTACCCGTACATATCTTAACCGCTCTATGGAATTCATCTGTAAATGTCAGGTAATAATGTACTATTGAGAAATTTACACTTCAATAATCAGCAGACAAATTTGGCAAGATTGAACAATGAAATTGAATTTTTCGCTGGCAGGTCCATTATTGAAAATCCTCCACATACAAAACAAATGACGCGTAAGAATTTGTTTTATTTTTTCAAAAAGGACTCAGATTATCAACTCACCTTTCGATATTGGATGATCCGCGAGGGTGTACATTCTCATGGCAATAGTGAAATCTTCCAAATTATTGAGGAATTGGCAGAACACGTGAAACTCTTCGAAAGTGATACCTTTAGTATCCTTCATTCTATCTAATAACCTATCCAGGTACATGTCATATTCATCCGTATCTAAATATGTGTATCGCAATAGTATCTTGGCAAAATCAACCTCAGAAATAGTGGCAAGGCCTTTGGAAAACTCATTGAATTCCAATTCCAGAACTTCAGTTTGTAAGTGGAGCATAAACTTTTTGAAACTCTCAAAGTTCAAATCGTGATTTCCTCTCAGACCGAAGAAGTGAACAATCAGTGTCGTATCAACCACGTGTTTCCTCTGTAAGCCCTGTTCATCATCAACGTATTGTTCTTGAATTGTCGTCACTTGTTCAGTTTCTTCATTGGCCATGCCTCGTTTACCTTTCCAAGCATGACTGAATATTTTCTCCATCTAAAGAAAGAAGGAACAAAGTGAATAATAAATAGCAGAGTCTCCAGACAATCACATCCAGGTATATCTTCAATATTGTAAGGAAGAGATTACCAATATCATTAGTATTCGTATATAAACTCGGAACATCTCAAAAACAACACAAACCGTGCGATTTTTTTAGGATGAAACACTGATGTGATAGAATTAATATGCTTTTATGTTGGAAATCTTACATAGTAAGATCGATGATGATTCACCATATGTTCAATTGGTGATTATTATATTATATTCTCAATTGAGTGTATTTTTTGTCAAAAAAATTTATTGCAGAAGCCATTGAGTTATGGAAACGTCATGTTTTCAAGAATTATTTTCGCTTATACAGGGTGTCCGGAAAGGTCATGTCGTAAATGATAGTGCTGATAGAGTGGACCAAAATACTGTTGGTACTTCATATGAAAAATATGTCTCGCGCTTCGTCACGGAGTTATTGACCTTGAAAGATAGAATAGAAAAAATGAATGTATAACTTTCAAACGGTTGCCATGGTATTAATGATATTCGGACAGGTAAATAAACTCATACTAATTTCATATTCTGCTTCCACCATTCGATTCCCTTATCTTATCTACAAAAATGGTATAGAAAAAATCACATTTTGAAACATACATTCCAACCGTTTCAGAGGTAATAAAAGCTCCATTTACCCATTTAATAACATCAGTGAAGACAAAAAGATTATCAAAAATGGTTATGTGCATCTTGAACTTCAACACATTTTCTAGCGCTTCGTCACGGAGTTATTGAACTTGAAAGATTGAATAGAAAAAATGAATCTCATGTATAACTTTCAAACGGTTTCCATGGTATCAATGATATTCGGACAGGTAAATAAACTCATACTAATTTCATATTCTGCTTCCACCATTCGATTCCCTTATCTTATCTACAAAAATGGTATAGAGAAAATCACATTTTGAAACATACATTCCAACCGTTTCAGAGGTAATAAAAGCTCCATTTACCCATTTAATAACATCAGTGAAGACAAAAAGATTATCAAAAATGGTTATGTGCATCTTGAACTTCAACACATTTTCTAAACTTGTCTAAACATCTGCGTTGTATTCACGATAACATGTGATGATGATCATTTCTCAGGGCATGTGCAGATGTAAAAATTCGATTTAAAAGCCCCGTCCTAATATTTACAGGTGTTTGATTCTAAACATTTAAGATAGCCCCAAAGAAATAAATAAAGAGAATTAAGATCAGGTGACCGAGGTGGCCATGGAAAAGAACCATGGGGAAATGTGATGTTCAAAAGATCTCCTACAGCTTTGTCAAAACGAGGAGGCGCACCATCATCAGCCACATTTCACCTCGAATATTCAAAAGAACCTCTTCTAACAACTGATCTGGGTGTATTTGCAAAAAGAGTTGAATATTTACTTACATTTGAATTTCCAACAATCATATAAGATCCATAATTGAGCAGTTGCCAATTAGTCCTATCCATACATTGATAATAAATATAGTTTTATCACCTTTGGAAAGGTTGGGATGTATGTTTTTAAATGCGATTTTCTCTAAATCGGTACAAGATATCGATTGAAATGAAGTATTCCATTTTTGTAGATAGAAGATGAAGGGCATCACCGGTGAAAGCAAAATGTCAAATTTGTTACCTCTGTCAAAAATACTTTCATTAAACGGAAAAATATCGTCCCATCCTGTATAAAACATAATCACTGAAAAGCCGTTTACGTATGGAAAGGTGCATTAGTATGAGTTTATTCACCTGCCCGAATATCATCAATACCATGGCAACCGTTTGAAAGTTATACATGAATTGCTTTTTTATTATTCTAACTTTCAAGGTCAAGAACTCCGTAAGGAAGCGCGATAGACATATTTTTTACATGAAGTACTTCCATCATTTTGGCTCACTCTATCAGTCCTATCTTTTACGACCTGACCTTTCCGGACTCCCTCTATTTCAATCAGAATGTCAACGTCTAATAAAATCAAAGTATTTGCCTTCAATTAAATGTTAGTTAAGGTCACATCACAGTACTCTTCCAACGAATGCCGCTGGCAGATGATGTTGATTATCAAACACAATGTTATAAACACACAAAAAAGTATCAAGCTGTTAAATGTTTGCTTACAGCATCCAACGAAATGGATAGAACTTACAGCAACTTCATCTTCAATTTTTTTGCCTGCCAATAGTTTCCGTATCTGTTCAGGTATGATACAAGGGATATTACTGAGAAGGGGTAAATAACAAGAAAGTGTGCAAATACATACCACAAGAAATTCGTTCTTGTCCACTCGTTGGTTGCCGTCTGTATCAAACATATTGAATGCAATCCTGAAACCAGACTGAGGCTCTAAAAATAATTGGAAAGTTACATAAATGACTTGTATTAGAGAAATTACATGACTTCAAATTTTGTCGTGCATACACTAAGTGTCATCCTCTTTGACCAATCAAAGATTCAATTTGTGAGAAGTGTGATTTGAGCCCACCCTTCTGAATTTCAAGAGATGTGAATTGGAGAGAAACAATTTCAATTCCATTCAATCCCAATACCAATTGCGTTCAAATCAATACTAGGTGATTTGTTAGGCAATTCTATTGCGGAATTGCCGAAGAATATATTGTAGGCCAAACTGGAAGACCCAGTGAAACTAGGTTGACAGAACATCTTGCACATTTGAAGAATGGTGAGTTGGATTATAACATAGACATCATGGAGCTAACATTGATCAAACAAGTTGATGTTAGTAAATTGTAGGAATATTATGAGAGTGAAGAAATAGTATTATAGTTGTAGATAATCCTAAAGAACCTATTCTCTACAGTTCACTGCATAGAATTCCACTTACTTGTAAGTATTGATAGAAGAAACAAATATTCCGTGTAGGAAATTATACCTTGAAAAAAAAAAGAATATGGGAATTATCAAAATTTAATTGCATGAATGGACAACACACCCTTGTCTCTCAAACTTCTGAACAATCTTGGCGAGCCTTGGCTCAGTGATGGTGTTGCTTCTTTGATTTTCTCCAGTTCCTTCATGGTCAATAATTTTCTCTTCATTCTAGCTACAAATATAGGGAACAAGTTTTGTTGACTAGGAACTATTCTAGAACTTGAAGAGTACACAAGGGGCTCTTATTTATTTGCTGTTATTTCAAGAAGCATCAATTCAGATTTTATAAACGGACTCACGGCGTGGTTCGGCTTCCACAACAGACTCTAAAAAGTCTTGAGGGGTCATGTAGAGTTGTCCATCATATTCAACAGATGCAAAGCGAATGAATCTTTTTTCCCTAGATGTCAACTTTACCACCTTCACATCTTCATCCTGAAACAAAATACTTTCATGTGAACAAACTAAACCTTCAAATGTGTTGCTTAGTTCACTCATGTTCACTGATAGATACCCTCAAAACAAAGAATGGATTTGTTGGTGGATGAAATCATTATACAGGAGGGTGAATAGGAGATCACAAATCAATGATTGTTGACTTTATAATGTATCAAATTTGCTGTCAGGGTTTTGATGTGTATCTTCTGACACTTGCTCGGTTGCTCAGCTCATTTGTGATGTCACCAATGAACTTAAATTTTATTGGATTGGATTATTTGATGAATTATTATTTCACACTCAATGGAGTTAATAGGATTCCATGGTCCTAATTAGAATTATGAGGAATAATCATCCAAAGAAATGAGATACAAGGAAGATCAAAATATTAAAAAAACACATAGCAAATAATGAAATAAAGCTACTCAAAAATTAGAAAAAAAAGTGATGAACATGCAAACTCAAAAAATCTGAACATATAACTTGATGAAACTAAGAAAATGTTAGTTGAATGGTAGAAACTCTGAATGAATGAGAGTAAAGTAAAAGTGCAAGTAGAATTATTAGTGATATACTCACATACTGTAGATATAGTTACAGGCACCTAACAAAACTAAAGGTATGTACTAGATTAACATATTTCGGTACTCAAAAGAAAGAAACATTTACAATTCTTCCTGAATAATGATAACATTATACCATGAATGAATTCACTATGTTATTTCTCAAATCGGTAGGCTGGGAAACTAATCTGTAATCTGAAACAGTTCTTCAATTGGAATTCATGAGAAGAAATGTATCAGGAAATTCTAAATATACACCAATACAATGAAATACAATCTTGCAACAACTGTTGTCCTTTATCTCATTCAATAATCATTAGTCCAACCAAATTGGGATTGGTATTAGATTCCATATGATAACTTTTTCAGTGTTGTGCGTTTTTATTGAATTGAAGTAACTGATTTCAAGTAAAATCATATTTGGCCATTTTTCATAGTATTTTCTACAATCACACTCACTGTACAAAAAGGAGGAAAGGATTGACATTAAATCTTTCACATCAAACTTTTGATGTAATAATATTTAAATTCTGCTATTGAGCAACTTGCACCAGACAAGATAGTAAAATTACCTTTTCATCCACTTTGGGCAGCTATATCATCAGCAGCATGATAATTGAACTTGATGGCATGCTTGTTGAACATCTCTAAAAATGAAATTGATAAAGTGGTTGTTGCTAATAGTATTTTTTATTGAATAATGTAATTCATTCAATTCATGACTGAAAATTTTGAAGTAAATGTATAGCTAATTCCATATTAGGATAGAATAACAAGAAACATTTTAAATCTCACAACACCCAGCAGGAGACCCAGCACTTTCAATTGCTGGTGTCCACCCTTGAAAGGAATCCCAGTACATTAGAAAATCAAATCAGGGTTGGAAATTGATATCAAGTACCTATGTGAGAATGTATTTTGTTAGAGAAATATGATTTATAAAATAATTCATTGATTATTCAACTCCTATTATTTATATCAGCTGAATTAGAATTTTTATGTGAGTTTTAATCAAACATAATATATTCTATTTCAAATTGAAATCAACAAACTCATGAGTTATGACTGTATGATTTAATGAGAAAGTGTTAAAATGTCCAAGGATGGAAGGTTACAATGTTTTATTTCATTTTCCAATTTTTTCTAGCATCACTAAAATTCTTGATGGGAGTATTTATGTCATTCTTCAGTCTTTAGAAGCTTACATAGACAGTAGTTATTTGAAAAATATGTTCACATGATATGATATCTACATCATAATGATTAGTTAGTGTACCATTTTTGCATTTCTTTATTCCCACCACTGGTTTCCATGTTTGAAAATGGAAAATATTCAGCCCAGTTTTCCACTATAAAAACCATTCTCTCTTTTGAAGGTACCTGACTAGGTATTATGTTACAAGTTTGAATAGTCTTATCTACCTGGAAAAGAACTTGCTACTTGTAAAACATAATTTCCAGCATATAACAAATAGAAACAGGAGAAGACCTTGGCAGTGCTGTTAGTTCTAAGTGTCCTTACAAATAATTTTCAAGAGAAAAATCCTAGTTGATTATGGAATATTTTGAATACATTAATTTTTTTATTTAGTCCTATGCATTAATATACATTTCATATGTAACTTCATAGATTGAACTATAGTACCTGACTGAAAAGGGCTATAACTAGTTTCATTGTACATTGGCCCCAATCTTCCCTACACACCCTTCAATTTGATTGAAAATATATTAAACCACGAATTCAAGAGATGTGTTCATCTTCCTGAACACAATTGTTTTGAGATTATAAAGATGCAATTCAAGAAAAATAAAGTTCATATAAATACTCACAGTCTTGGGTTGTGCAGCATAAACATTTTGAATAGATCTTAACTTACAAACTGCTATAATTGTGGCTGATCCTCCACATAAACACATTACAGACAATGGCAGATTATTTTTGAAAAAATCTGTTTGTACTCCGGTTGGTTTTCTTGAACAAGTTCTGTTTATAAGTTTGGAGAAAAATGATCTAATGATGAATTGTCTTGCAGCCATCTTTCCTGAAATATCCAGAAGACAATCAATCTAACATAATTATACAGAATAACTACTTCAATGGAAGAAACAATCGACTATTTAGGTCAATATCAACTTCAAAAGAAAATGTTCACAGATTTTTAATTTTTAATACAATTATTTACCTCCTGAGTCCTGCCTTCACTCACTCCTTAACCTCTTCAGTCTTCGTCTTCACAGATCTGACACTTCTGACAGTAAGATTAGTGACAAAAACCCCACAGAACACCATGTACAAACGTCGAACCATATATCTACTACTCATATATGAAGCATAGCTGTCCTCAAAGCGGGACCAACTTCTGTCTCTATAGGTAACGAAATCGACCAATAGGCGTTGATGCTGACGTAGGGAAAAAATAATACGAAACTTGTCAAACCAATATGGCTGTTTCCATCTTCCACTTTCCGTCCTTATAGATTCAAAAAGTACCTCTCATTTTGGTCCCATTTTTGTTGAGATATCGTATATAGGCGATGAGCCATACATAGAAATAGTACATATATGCGTCGAACGTTTACTTGCATGTTTTTGTTGCATGTGGTTGCACAAGTTGACGTTTCTCAAAATCTCAACACGCAGGCGCCTCTTGGATTGTTCTGATTGGTCTATAGGAATCGTCTATGCATATGTTTGGGCAAAACGGATTCGTGCCACGGTCGCCACGGATTAGATTCATATATCTACAGATTTGACTGTTTGTTTTTTATCAGTTTTTTATTCTAGAAAAAAAACATCAAGAATCAGGAATTACTGAATTGTTCTGTTCAACCATAGATCTAATTCGGTTCAACAATCAAGTGTTCAACAAAAAAGGTTCAACCTCATTTAAAAATTCTTCATGCTTAAAAAAATCAAGAATTTAATGTGAACTGTGTATTTTGTGAACTACCAAACTGATAATGACCTCTGTGTGGAACTCAGTCAGAAATATATTGAAGCACCATGATATACTTAAAGTGGGTGATAATTATTTTAAGAATACTGAACATATCTTCTGTTTTCTAAATTTTATTTTCCAGGTTTCTTCACGGAACTTGAATTTACTGGAGTACCAGAGCAAGAATCTATTGAGAAAAAATGGAGTTGCAATTCAGGATTTTTGTTTAGTTGATGAACATGGGTCTAACGAATTGGACAAATTCAGTAAGTTGGAGATTGAGAAATTCACCCTTGGAGGATTTGAAGATAGTCATTGTTCTTTCACCATCTTCTCATTATCAATTACTCAACTTGACAGATTCATTGAATTAGTAGTCATTAGTACCTACTTCACATATTTTGTGTGTTGTTCAATCAGTAATTTTCCATCTGGTGAAATGGTGTTGTTTTAGTCAGGGCATGAATGTAGGCATTTTATCCCTGTGCTAATTTTTGAACAGCCTTCATGTCACTGAACTAAGGTACTCAAAATATTATTAGAAGTGACAATTTATATATTTATCATTAGATGTGAGAGAGTATGTGATCAAAGCTCAAATTCTTGCTGGTGGGAGAGGAAAAGGACATTTTGACAATGGATTCAAAGGAGGAGTTCATATCACCAAAAAGTATGTATTATGTGACATGACACTTTTTCAATATTAAATTATCCAGTTGTAAGACCAATTTTATGCTATGTGTATATGAATTCCACAGAAATCTTAATGGACATGTTTTTGCAGTTTTCCTAGTAGTAGAGTAGTAGTATGATATATTCTGTTGAAAAATTTACAAGAAATCTTACATAAAAAAACATTTTGCTAGAGTATTAATGCAGCACAAAATATTGTAAAAAGATAAAAGTATATAATAATTAGTACACTATACAGAACTAGTATCAAATTTTCAAATTTCTAATAGAATCAGTAATATCTTGAATATTTTGAAAAGCATTTTTCAGTAAGAATGATTTTATTACAGATCTGAAACAAGGCATTCTAAAGTCTTTAATATCTTCTTTCAAGTTATTGTAGGTCAACAAACCATAGTAAGAGGTGCCAGTCTTTGGATATGTTCAGAAGTAATGAATTTGGATATATGTGATTTCTATATGATTTTCTTAATGCAAGGCAAATGTCAATAAGTAATATCTCTAATAGTTCAAAAGGTCAGAAAATTAACCAAACATTATTTTGAATAATAGAACAGGTGTTGCAATAGTCTGCAGAATTGTGACAGTGTATTTCTATAGCATAGGTATAGGGGTCTGTGTTCAAATTACTTGCAAGGTATGATTGTTGAACAATCTACTTATTCATCTGTTCACTTCAGCCACGAGGTGGTTCTGAAGGCTAGATGATCCTTTTGAACAAGTTACTGAATAATTTTGGAATGTAATTGTTTCAATAAATATTCAATCAGGTGCTTATTCTACATTATGAAATTTTTATTACTATTCATTTATTGCTATCAGGTACCTATAAGTTCTGTGTTTTGTTAGTTAATTAGTGTTGATATTGTTTTTGTCCTTTTTATGGAAAAATCAAAAGAAATATTCCTACAATTGGAACTTACACAAAAAATCCATAGCCGATGCACTATTAAAATTAAATATTTTAGTGATTTTCTAGCATTTTTGACAATTTTATATTTATACATTATAAATCATTTTGAAGGCGAAAAAATAAGGAATTTAATGAGCTTATAAAAACAAGGTGTTCCATTTGAAAAATCATAAATTTGAGTCCTATCTCCAAAAACCATAAGTTTGAGTCATATCTCCAAAAACCATGCCCCAAAAAAAAAATTGAGTGTGCCACTTGATTATGCCTAAATTTTCTATGGGATCAGATTTTAATTGGACATTTTCGTTGAGAAACTTCATAGACATATAGGGGGTTCAAAAAGTATAAATTTTCAAAATCGCCCTGTATCTAATAAACGGAAACAGAACAAAATCTGATTAGGCCATCTCGGTTCTATCTCCAAAGATGACTGAGATATCATGCAAATGCATTGAAAACTGGACACACTGTACTTTCTATTAGTTACTTGAATATCACAAGAGGGTGTATCGCTATTTTGAATGGCCTTATATATTTCACTGAGTTTCGCTAATAATAATAATGATATACATGTATAGGAATGGTCAAACAATATTCAAATATACCTAACAGAGGCACTAATAAATATAGGAAGTGCTGAATTATTGTAGAACATACAATAAATATTAAGATAAAAAAATTATAAGTACATGAAGTGGTTGACATGAACTAACATGAATGAAATGAACACACTAACGCTGTACATGTGGAGCATGGGACATTTTGCAATGAGGAGATGTTAACCTATATTTGAAATTATTCAAGCTCACAATGTTTTAGACCTCACCCGGGAGATGATTGAATACTCTCAGTCCTAAGTGTGACGTAGAGTTGGAACTCACCTTGTATTTGACAAATGGAACATGGAATTCATCATTATGCCTAGTTTTGATACTATGGATATTTTCATTTTGAGGAAAATCATTCTTATTGTGGATTTATGCAGCATCAATTAACAATTATCAAGTAACAATTATCATCATCATCATCATCATCAAATATGCTTTATTGTCAGAAGAAATAGTTCTTATCGACAAAGTCATTGTATAGGTATCACAAAGTAAAATATTAAGAATGTTGAAAATATTAAAAATATTGAAAATATTAGAAACATTGAACAAATTAAAACATTAAAAACATCAAGAACGTTATGGTACAAATACAGACATAATATAATAAAATGTGCAGATGAAGCCACAGGATGCAAACATATGAAATCAATCCTAAAATATAGAGGCAAGCGTATTTTAATGCTAACATAAGGGTTCACTACTAAAAAATTCCTCCACGTTGTAAAAAGGATGAGTGGATAGCAATTCTTTTAATTTTATTTTAAACAATCTACATGATTGGATGTCTCGTAGATGTATTGGTAAGCAATTATAAATTTTTAGTCCATTATAAATGAAAGATTCCTTAACAAGATTGTTTTTAGGTAGTGGTAGAGGTAATCTCAATTTGTGCGATGATCGCGTATTATGGTTAGACGACGCTATATTATATTTTGTGACGATTCTTGTGTATTAAGCAAGTGGTTTCTACGATGAAAATTGAAGTAACAGTGAGGATTCTAATATTTTTGAAAAGGTCGCGGCAAGAAATACGCGTTTTTACTTTACAAAGAGCCCTAATGGCTTTTTTTGTACAACTTGCACCATATGTAACAGTTGTTTGTTGCACACTCCCCAGAAAGCAATGCCGTAGGTTAGGTGAGATTCAATAAGAGCAAAATAAACTGTTTTAGCAGTTGTAAAGTCCAATTCCCGTGATATTATCCTAATTGCGTAGCATCCGGTTGATAATTTTTTGCACAATTTCGTGACATGGTCGCTAAACTTCAACTTATTATCAATGTGGAATCCTAGAAATTTTGTGGAGGAAACATTATCAATGATATTTGTGCCTAAGGTCAAGGCAGAAAGCTCGCAGCGGAACGTTAATAGATTAGATTTAGTGGCATTGAAGACTAGCAAGTTATCGTCACACCAGGTCTTAATCAGTTCAATGTCTACTTGTATCTTATGATGTAAAGCATGCTCATCTTTGTCATGCCAAAATATAGTGGTATCATCGGCAAACAATGTATACTCTCCAGATATATTAATTTTTGTGAGATCATTTATATAAAGTAAAAACAATGTGGGGCCAAGTACGGAACCCTGTGGCACCCCGCATTGAGTTGCCTCCTTTCACAATTTGTGTACGATTTTCTAAGTATGAATTGAACCACTGCTTGCTGATTCCTCTAAACCCATAGTATTCGAGTTTGCTCAGCAGAATTCCGTGACTTACACAGTCAAATGCCTTGGATAAGTCACAGAATACTGCTGCGGCGGCCTCTCCTTCATTAATTTCATTATATACCTTCGTAAGAAAAGAAAAAATTGCATCATTGGTGCTCTTGTGCTTTTGAAATCCAAACTGGTTCTCACTCAAGATATTATTCATAAGTAAGAATTCCACTACTCTCTTCTGAACCAATTTTTCTATTATTTTAGCCAAAGTAGGTATGAGAGATATTGGTCGATAATTTGATGGATCAGCTGGATCTCCTCCTTTGTGTAGCGGTATTATAATTGAAGTTTTCAAAAATTCAGGAAAGGCACCTTGTTGAAATGATTGATTGATGAGATCAGCTAATACTTCGAGAGCAGAATCTGGTAGGTTTGCAATTATATTGATTGAGAGTTCATCTAGCCCTGACGCCTTTTTATTTTTTATACCACTGATGGTCTCTTTCAATTCTGCTGTATGAGTAGGAACAAAATAGAAGTTTTCTTCGACATAGAGATTTGACATGTAATAATCTAAGTCATTTATTGGGCTCAAGTGCTCAGTTAATTTAGAGGCTACAGTACAGTAGTAGTCATTAAGAGTATTGGGTCTCAAAGGGATTTCAAATGCAATTTTTTGTTTTCCTCTAAGGTCGTTCATTATTCTCCAGCTTTCTTTAGATAAAGTAACAATTATCAATTAACAATTATCAATTAACATTTATCAAGTAAAGGGTAGCTAAAATGCTACAAGTAAAGGGTAGTTAGAATGCCACCTAAGTTTAGGTAGCATTTTAGCTACCTGAAATACAAATTAACAATTGAAAATAAAAGGCGCAAATGTCCTTTCCAAGCCATTCAAGATAACCATAGAACATTTTTTCATAATATTTTAGACACATTTTTGGGATATTGCTATCACAAGTGGGCCCAAGATTAAAAAAATAATAGGAATAACGAAAAGTAAAAATAAACACAAAGCCGGGAAATGTTCAAGGTTACTTTCCATCATAGGATGGATCAATCCTTAGTATTAAAAACATCTCATTGTGCACACAATAAGACAACCTGCTTCAATTAATGTAAAAAATTGAAAGTTGACCAACCTTTTACTTGTTATTCAATAAATGATAATTGTTAATTGTCTGCCTAAACACAGTGATTGAAAAGAGAAGTAATAATTGTTAATTGATACTGCATAAATCCACACTTATTATGGAAGACAGAGACACAACTCAAATATAAAATATGCCTATGACAGTTGATTATTCATTAGTAAATTATTTCTGTGGCATATTCATAATTAAAAAATGTTCATGTATCAACCAATTTGGCTGAGTCCTTGCTCTGGTTGGTGGACCCAGGGCCCCCTCCGTGGAACGGCCCCCCCGCAACCGCGGGGTCTCGCGGTGTAGTAGTTACGCCACTGGATACATAAACGGGGAGTGATCTGGGACCACCAGAGTGTCCTCTCTCTACATTCTCCATTTGTCGCATGTAAATCCGAATCCGAAACAACCCGTATAATTCGACATGTTTCAGTCGATCCGACATAGACAATATCGTAAAACAAATGCTGGGACATAAACTGATCACCAAACAAACACCCACCCAAGGTATCGAAGTCAGGAAAATAATGATAGCCGAGAGCGTGAACATCAAAAGGGAGACCTACCTGTGCATTCTGATGGACCGACAGAAAAACGGTCCCGTGATCATTGCCTCACCGGCAGGTGGCGTCGACATCGAAGGGGTAGCCGAAAAAACTCCCCACCTGTTGAAGAAGATGCCGATCGACATACTCGAAGGGGTCACCCCGGAAATGGCCGACGAACTAGCCGATTTCCTGCAGTTCAAAGGTAGAGCTAATTTATACTGTCCATAGTTTCGATGGTTTATTTTAAAACTATAGGTACTATGGATCTAGAATTTCATGAAAAATACACTTCTCCAGGAAATTAAGGGAACATTTTCGTCAAAAGTAATTGTCCGATTTGGACGTTTTTTCTGTATTCGCACAAAAACCTCTTTTTTATACGTAGGTATTTGGTACTATCGAGTTAAAATTAAAACCCTCTAGAGTAGTAGATAGTTCCTTAACTATCTACCATCGCATATAGAAAATTTCATCAAAATCTACCGACGACCAAGAACGTTATGAATCGATCGTTTCCGTAAAAATTAGGGTATCATTTTTTCTCCACCGAAGATGGCTTCCAGACGAGGCCTCAATAGTAGTACATAATTCCTTGACTATCTACCATCGCATATAGAAAATTCGATCAAAATCTACCGGTGATTAAGAAAGTTATGAATAGTTTCCGTAAAAATTAGGCTATAACTTTTTCACCATCAAAGATGGCTTTCAGCCGAGGCCGCTACAATAGTACATAATTCCTTGAATATCTACCATCGCATCTAGAAAATTCCATCAAAATCTACAGGCGACTAAGAGAGTTATAAATCGTTTCCGTAAAAATTAGGGTGTAATTTTTATACATGGAAGATGGCTTTCAGCTGAGGCTGCTGTAGTAGTAGACATTTCCTTGACTATCGACCATTTCAATTGAAAAATTTATCAAAATCTACCTATGACTGCGAAAGTTATGAATAATTTTCGTGAAAATAAGTGTTGAATTTTTATTCTACATCAATGATGAATTTTAGCCATGGCCGCTAGTCAATACCTTCGACAATACAGTTCCTTTACTCGACTTTCCCATATAAAAAAATCATCAAAATCTACCGACGCTTAGAGAATTATTTCCGTAAAATGAGTTGTTTTTTTTCCATATCGATGATGTTTTTTTTCTTCATCTGTTACCACCACTAAAATAATATGAAGTTTATCCACTCACATGAAGGCACTATGAAATTGTTTTCGTAAGCAACGGCAGTATGTCTGTGGGCGCATCCGTGCCTGAACGCGCGGCCGCTAGCTCTAAAGTGACTTTATAAATATAGTGACAACAATAGTGGTACACTTTTTGATTGGTCAGACCTCTAATATGGAGGTGCAACCACCTGTCTTGTTTTCTCCATTCAGTTCTATGCATTCTAAATCACTTTGTGGATGCTTTGTCTCTGTTTTTTGCTCTTTGGACACAAAACATCCAACAATCATACATAAAACTCTATACGGCAGTACCTTGGATATTAAGTATTAGAATCCGTGGTTTGAGACTCGTAAGTCTCAGATTATTGGGATGACGAAATGAAAATATCAAATATCTAAACCTAACATCATCAGGTGGGCACTTCGAATGCGCAAATTCATTACTGCATGGGAGATACCCTTCAGATGGTCAGCTATTCAGTGACTTGACCAAGAATGAAATTCCGGAAACGGCAGCCATTTGGAGGTCTATCGTCGTCACTCTATTTAATCCACTCACTCTAGCTAGCTCTGGCCGCCAGTTTCAGGGACATCAAAAACTATCGATCGTTTCGATAGTGTAAACCTGTCGATACTATCGATAGTGCTATCGAAATCTTTTCCACCTCTATTCGAAGGCGAGCTGAAAGCGAAAGCAGCCAAGGAAATAGTGAAGCTGTGGAAGCTGTTCGTCGCCGTCGATGCTGTTCAAATCGAGATCAACCCTCTGGTCGAGACTGACGAGAACGAGGTCGTCGCAGTCGATGCCAAATTGAATTTCGATGATAATGCCGCCTACAGACAGAAGGATATATTCGCCATGGAGGATACGAGCGAGAGCGATCCAAGGGAGGTTGAGGCTTCCAAGTACAATTTGAATTATGTCGGACTGACTGGGAGCATCGGGTAAGCCGACTGGGTACCATAAAGAGGGCATGTCTCAGATTGATCTCTACTTCTCGTATGTAATACAACAAGTGTATTGATAATTGTTGAAATACAAATCCCTTCGATCTTGAGAAATGAACAAATTCTAGGCAACCACACTTCGCATAGCGCGAGTGTGGTTGCCTAAAAGCAACATAATTCGTTTCGAAAAAGAGTACGGATTTTAGATACTCATCAATAAAACGAGTTGTATTTGCTGAGATTATTTCACTCATTATTTCATGAATAAAACAATAATTAAAGTTTACTTTTGGCCACTGGTGCAGAAATGGTGATGTAGTGCCAGTATTCATGAAATGTTAGGTTAGGCGTTTGAATGGTTAGGTATGAGTCGCTAAAAATTTGTATATTATTATTTTAAAATACTTTGGCAAAAAGTATGAAGTCAAACTGGAAGATCTCACAGTGGCAGTAGACGCTGAAACTGCCACTAATCTACAAGATGGTTTGTTATTCCCACTTTTGATATCAAATATTTCACAGCCATGCTTCATTTTTTCATCACTGCAACTATATAGAGGTACTGGAGCTTGGTGTTTCTGATGATTCAGAATCACTATCGGATAATATGTCTTCTAAGATGATAGGATTGATCACCCCATCCATAATTTCAACGTGAGTAAAGAAAATGATAAGAATGATGAAATTGGCCAGTGTAGCCTCGTGGTTAGAGCGTCAATGTTCTATCCACGTTGGATTACCGGTAGTGGGTTCGTGTCCCACCACGACCGCAGACATTTTTCTGATGGCCTAAGAGAGTGTTTGGGATCACACGTTAAAAGGTAAGACCCCCGTCATTCCTTGCTCGCACAAGTCTCTTGAAGACTTTTGAGGGTTGCTCGTAAGGGTGCAACCGAAAGATGGATAAGAACAATTTTAGAACAATTTTAAATTAAAAACCAACAAAACATCCAAAAACGAAAGATCTAGGTTATGGAAATGAGATGAAAATCAAAGTAGTAATAGTAGGAGTAGTCAGCAATATCGGGACATGACCATCGATAGCAACTAGAGACAGGACGCACCAAATATTGTCTCGCGTCTCGTCAGAGGCCGGAAGTTTTTCTAAAGCGGCTAGCGACACGGATTGCTCTTTGCTTTGAGACTTCCGCATGCGCATAACGTTGACCGCTCAGGGAATGTGTATGAATATGTATGTTCTACTCACATAACTAAAATAGCATTTAGCATACGGATATTTACCACGCTAAATGTTCGATTAAGCACGTATTGACGGTCTGTGATTTATTCAAAAAATTAAACACGTTACCATGGCAACACAATGTATTGAACACATTACCATGGCAACACAGTTTTTCAAACACACCTTCAGTTGCTTGAGTACTGTCTGGCCTGTCAATTGTAGTAGGAACTGTCAACTTTCATTTTCGAATATTGTTGCAATTTGCAATCGGTGACAATCAGAATTATTCAAACAATTTCTGTTTGTATCAGAATTCTTCATTAAAAATGTATGCGAAATGTAGACGGAAGTGAAATCGAAGATATTGTTTGCATTATTCCAAGACCTCTGTGTAAAAATGAAGCTCTCATTTTTGTGACAAATTGGTTATATGCTAAGTATGACAATATATAAACGTAAAAACATTTATGCAAGCAAAAATTATGCAATCAGAATATGGATACAAACCTGAGAAATCAAAAACTTTGGTACCTCTTCAAGGTGAGATTAAAACTTCTTATTCACAAAGGTTAGTAAAATTCAGGTATCCTATGGACTGGACACATCACTTATACGTGCCTCGTTGGTTGCATGCAGTTACATAGTATTATGTTCTCAATTCCCATTTCCTTCGAATTGATTTGTAGGTAAGCGGAGGAGTTAATCTTATTTTCGAAATTATGGGATCTTGTCAAAGAGAGGAACTATGAGTTCGTAGAAAAAGTATAGTATGTAACGCTTTTATTAACTCCTTCATTAAACACCCGCTCCGCTCTGCTGCCTAAAATACTCCTTACTAAAAGTACGTTTATAACACTTGTTACATAATATACTATTGCAACATTGAAACGTATCAAAAATGAGTTGAGGAACACGATTGGCCAAGAACGTCTCAATCATCTCACTTTGATGAATACATATAGAGCATGATTTACTTTTAAGAAGCTTCATATTGAGAGTGTTATCTCTGAATTTGCCCATATTGAATCCAGAAAAAATTATGGTAATTTTGCACTTATCATGCGATTGGTTTTTTTCGAAATTTTTTTTTGGTACTTAGGTACGTATTTTTGTCTGAAAAACACGAATTTGATAATGAAAATGTGAACAAACCATTATTTATTAGGATATTTCACTATAAAGTTACAAATTTCACAGAACAATTTGCCCTTCTTTTTCCATCATTTATTTCCTGTTGAATTTTCTATCTTAAAATGTGCCATTGAAGTGCATCATGAGTATATAAAGTGTCCAATGACAAAATAAAAAGAGCAAGTACCTGATGTAAATGCATCCAACACAAGGGGGAAAAGAAGACAAAATTTCGAACTTTTTCTCGAAATATCTCGATTAATAGTGGTTTGTTCACATTTTCATTATCAAATTCGGGTTTTTCAGACAAAAATACGTGAGTACAAAAAAAAAATTTCGAGAAAAAACCCATCGCGTGATAAGTGCAAAATTACCAAAATTATTTGTAATACTTTTGTTTTATTTTATTCAATACCCCAAACTTGAGAAGCAACCTGAAGCAAACCCAAGGCCCCTCGATAGAATTTGCTACAGGCCCCATGGGACACTGGTACTGAGTAATGAATTGAATTTCAGGTGTTTGGTGAACGGTGCTGGATTAGCGATGGCTACTCTCGATATCATCAAACTACACGGTGGAGATCCCGCCAATTTCCTCGATGTGGGGGGAAATGTGAAAGAGGAGCAAGTCAGAGCGGCTTTCAAAATTATCACATCAGATGAGAGGGTCAAAGCAGTTTTGGTAAATGTGTTCGGAGGAATCGTGAATTGCGGCATAATAGCCAATGGCATTGTCGGTGCTTTGAGGGCAGAGCCTATGAGAGTGCCTCTGATTGTTCGCCTCGAAGGGACTAATGCACCAGAAGCTAGGAGGATCATCAAAGAATCTGGATTGGATATAATAACCATTGAGAATATTGATGAAGCAGCCAAAATGGCAGTCGGCTTTAAGTAATTTGGCTGACACTTGAAATATTGTTGTCTATTTTTTTATCAATTTATATTGTGCCTTATCTGTTGCATTTTATTCTGTTATTAGTGTACTGAATCGTTTGATAATATCCATTGTCATTCAATAAAATTTCAATATTATGTACAATCCTTCATTGTTGGTACCTACCTACTGAAAAATAATCATCCTTTGAAGTATTTTCACATTCACCTGGGAAATTAGTATTTTGATTCATAGATTAATCAGAATATTCCTGAGACCTCAAGTGGGTACATTCAAATAACACTCGCTTGATTCTTGGGAATAATGATATGGAACAATTCAATATATTTTTGAGGAATACTCTAGGCATATTCTACAAGTTTTATCTATTCTGGAATGATACAAAAAAAAAGTTTGTTTAGAAATTTCCTGTTTTAGATACCAGTTTTGAAAAGTTCATATGATAAGGGGTGGGAGTGCGGGAAGCTGCTGAAAAAGTTTTGACAATTTATCTTTGTTGACAGGTTACAAAATGTCACTTCATAAATGACTATTTTTCCAACGATCAAAAGTTAGTAGTTTTTTTCCCGGACCACTGGAAAGTAGAGTACATACTACCTATTCCAAAAATCAATAAGCCTAAAGAGCTGAAGGACCTTAGGCCTATTAGCATATTACCTGTGCTCTCTAAAGTACTGGAGAAAATAATGAATAATGAACGTTCAAATTAGTGAATATCTTGATTATCATAACCTCTATCCTGGACAACAATCTGGTTTTCGACCTGATCACAGCTGTACTTCAGCACTGCTGAATGTTACTGATGACTTATTTTCAGCACTTGATAAAAATAACATGGCAACACTTGTTTTACTTGATTATTCGAAAGCATTCGATCGTATAAATCATAATTATACTTCTTCTATCAATATTGCATTACAACGGCTTCACCAATAGCGCATCATCTTTTATCGAAATTATTTAGCCAACCGTATACAGATAGTGAAAATTGAAGATAATTACTCTGATCCTTTACATCTCACTACTGGTGTCCCCCAAGGATCTATTCTGGGGCCTTTACTATTCACAATATGTATACTTCAAATTTGTCATCGTTTTTGTCGCATTGCAAGTCCCATTATTATGCAGATGATACCCAAATTTATCACTCGTTCAGCCCTACAGATATAGAAAGTCTGAGTTACTGATTTTTGACAATAAGAACCACCGAAACCAACTTCGAGAAACAATTAATATTTCTATTGACTCTGAGCCTTTGGATATTATTGATTCGGCAAGAAATTTGGAAGTAATCATAGATAGTGACTTGAGATTTAGTGACCACGTAACAAAGATTATTAGAACGGCTTATTGCAATCTCAAACTTATCTATAATTTTTTCCAAAATACTCGATACTAAAACGAATAAAATTTTATGTGACTCCCTTGTTCTCAGCCATTTCAATTACGCGAATATTGTATATTTTCCATGCTTGACAAAACACGGTCGCATTCAGTATAAGTAAGTAAATACAAAACAAAATATCCTAAACATGTTGTTTTCGATTCGAAATCATTTTTTTTTTGTAATTTCATTTTCCATAGACAAAAGTTCCAAAGAATTCAGTCGTATCTCTTGTCCTAAGGACGAACGCAAATGATCAATTTCCATTTTGAAAATTATGTTTTTTCAATCCCACTCTATATTGCCTATTGAACATGATTGTTTATTGAGTAATTCCTATCTAACAGCTCGAATTAACTTCTCATCCAATGATGTTTTTCCTTGTTAAAAATATGGTTTGCGAAATTTTAAAGTTAAGCTGAATATCGTTGCAACAAACATAAAGTTTGTGATTCCTTAAAAAAGTTGATTGCACAATTATTTTTGAATTTGAATAAAGGTATCCTCAACTGATTTTGTTATGATTATTTCATGAAAGTATTCAGGGTGAATATAAAAAAAATTACAAATTGGGAAATTATTAACGAAAAAGATTGAAAAACTATAAAAATGTCTTAGGAGGCCATGCTTCGGTATCTAGGCATAACTTTCAATTGTTACCAACTTTTCACAATAACATTTGACTGAATTTTCTGAAATAAGGGTACTTTAACTCTTGAGCAATTTTTAAACTTGTTGACCTACTCTGTATGCTGTTTGACTTGCAACCATTCTAAGTGCACCTTGAATGATTACCGAACATGCATGCATGCATGCATTTTGGTTGTGCAATTCATTAAAAAGATTCCCATATGTTGCACACTTAAATGACCCCACTGATGTATACAGTGTGTCCCACTTATTACCATGCTCACCATGGGTATCTTTTTAACGGTGAGAGATACGAGGTCGGTTAAATGACACCAAATGTGGAGTTTGTCACTATAATGTGAAAAAATATTTTGATCTATTCGTTTTTGTTTTATACGCAAAAAACAGATTTGGGTCATTTTCATGTCTCCTCCATAACTTCTTTATTTATGAAAATATTCAAATAGGAATTTCACATTCTCATGGCAGTTTTTCAAAGGTATTGAATTTTGATTTTAATGAACATTTGAAATAATCATGATCAGCACCCAAAAAGCAACAATTTGAGATTAGTGCAGGGCCCCCAGAGGCCGGGGCCCCAAGGCACGTGCCTCACATGCCTTGTGGTTGAGATGGCCCTGCATCTCCCAGGAAGAACTGAAAGTCCTTTCAACTTCCACAGCAACAATAAAGATGCCTGCAAACACAGGTGCACTCACCAGTTAGACACTTCAAATTTCATATTGATATAGGTAATTTTATGATTTTATATTAATCCAATATCTTCTCAATATTGAATCCTCATTTTTCCTGCCATATAAATATTAGATTTCAACTTTTTTGTTTTGTTTCTCCTATGGAAAATGATTTCCACACATTTTGAAAAGAACTGCTTCCCATGCTAATATCCATAGATAATTATATTCACGGGAACATGTTTTCCATAGGATACACTCATGATAAATAGGAAGTCATTCTCATTTGTGATGGGCACTGAACCTTAATTAAAAATTGGAAAATGTAATATGTATTACAAAACATAGCAAACATAGATCAAATAGCTTTACAAAATTAGGAAGTGGTGGAAGTAACTTCAACACTTAATGAGCATTAATTTGATCACATTATTGAATTTTATAGTTTATAGGACTTGAAGTGCTTGTAGTAGGAATAATGAACCTATCACTATTTAGAAGTGTCTTTTTATAATTTCTCATCAATTTAGTTAAATTGATTGTTCCAAAGAATTTACACTGGTAGATTCACTACTAATATTCTCAACAAGATTATCATTACTCTGCGTAACAACTTCATACTGGGCCTGCTGTTTTTCTATGGTTTTATTAACTATAGTGGTTTGGGCTTCAACAAAATTTTGCATCAGTTTATTATTGAACTTGATGAACTTTGATGAGCAATCTTCTACACAATCTACTTCGTTTTGATTTAGATTTCTGCTGTTGACATTGTCTACACATCTCGTGAAACATATCTCCGTCATTTTGTTATAAAGTTGAAGGAAATCTTTGAACTAGAAAATATAATAGAATGAAAAATAGAAAACAGTGAAGTATGGTCTTACGGTCTTACATTTCGTAAGGCATTGGGATCCATTTTGAAATGTAGGTGACTAACCTAGTAACCTAGTAAATTTTTCGACATAGCAAGCGCGTTGTTCCTAGGGTAATTCTGATTGTACTGTCGAATAGTGTAGAATAGTAGAATTGTACAGTTTTTCGAGAAATTGTACAGTCGCCATTAATTTAACTAGTTTAGAACATTTAATTTGACATGACATGTGAATTAGAAGTGTCTAAATCTTTCGAAGGATTACAATCACCAAATGCGCATGCGCCTATAACGTATCACGTGACTCAATGTGACCAATCTGACAATGAGGTTTGATAACTATAGACCGTGAGAAAGAATATTCAAGAAATGCGAAACCAAAGATTACTGAATGACTCGAATTCCAAACCATACTCTCATGGATTCACGAAAAAATGAACACTCCACATATTGTGTGGAATCAGAATTCATCAATATTGTCGAATTGTACAGTTTTGTACAGATTTTTTGATTGTATCGCCTTGAACATGCAAATGTACAGTTTTTTGTACAATTGTACACCCTGGAACAACACCGAAGCGTCAGTAAATGAGAAGGACTAAAATAAATCTGGAAACATAATGAAAAAATAAGTATGGCAAGGGCATGGCAGAGCTAGGTGGCTGTAAATTGACATAGCCACCTTCTTAGGCAGACCATAAAAGTTGGGAGGTACGATTCTTTCAAGAAGTAGCGACCCTTCGTCCTAAAATCTAGTACACAGTTGTAATAGATCGTACTAGATTTGACAAGTGATAAAAAATTATAGGAATATTGAAAATTCTATTCTGGTAGTTTCAGTCAATAATAAAAATGTGGAATAAAACAGAAAATATGAATACTCCAGAATGAGTAAAAGGAGAATTCTTATACAGTGAGTACATAAATGTAGAACGTACTAGATTTTGAAGGTTTTATCTGTAGTAATATAATCCCAATGAACTCAATATATGTGTTATATGGTAAAATAATGTAATGATATTTCCCTTATAGGGGATTTAGGCAGAAGTACAACGCTCATCCTGTAACACGCATCCCAGATCGTTCTCCTACCTCCCAATGATTCCTACATGCACTAGCATATTTCCGAACACTCAATATATGCCGCAGTGACAGATAACGTCACAGAAGATTCTGGAATGTTCTGGAAATAATCGATGGAACAATTAGAGAGAGAGGTTTGTTCTAAGAAGCTTCTAGAACAAAAAGAAGGAGACGGAAGATCATTCGAGAAGGTTCTCGAACCAAAGCCTGCCAAGTGATCTCATATATAAACGGCCGAATAACTGCCGTCAGTCAGTCGAGCAGCGAGTGTCAGAGAGACAGTCATATACCGCGTGATATAAATCGGTTTACATAAATAGTAGTTATAAGTTCGATATAAATTAGTGTTTCTTTAGTTTAAATAAATCAGTTCGAAAATAAATAGTGTCGTGTTCGCTTCTGCACCCCCGAATAACGTGATAATTGATGTCAGAAGTGGGATATTCCAGTGTGAAGTGAACAGACCGTTGCAATGAAGA